GAGGAACCCTATCTAGGTCTTTCTCATTAAACAGAGGTATCATTGGTTTGTGATCTGTATGTAGGATAAATCTATCGAGACCAACTAAAAATCTGTCTAACTTCTCACATGTCCATACACTTGCCAAACACTCTTTTTCAATTTGAGCATATCTTCTTTCACAATCAGACAATGTACGTGACACAAAAGCTACAGGTTTCCACTGATCATTAGTTTTCTGCATGAGACAACCTCCAATGCCATAAGAACTTGCATCTGAACTAACCATTGTTGGCTTTGTAACATCATACATTTGTAAAGTTGGAGCATTTGAAATCTGGCTTTTTATCTCATTAAAAGCTTTCTCTTGGGCTTGATCCCACACCCATATGACATCTTTGCACAATAACTCATGTAGTGGATGAAGGATTGTGGAAAGATTTTTCACAAATTTCCCAAGATAGTTAACTGCCCCCAGAAAACCTCGTAATTCTGTTGTATTGGTGGGAACACTCATTTCTAAAATTGCTTGGACATTTTTAGGATTAGGTTTTAGACCGTCTTTCCCGACACGCTGTCCAACAAAGTCAACCTCCGGTGCTCTAAATACACATTTTTCAGAGTTCAATTTGAGACCGGCCTTGTGAATTTCACGAAGAACTTTACCTAAATTCTTGTCATGATCAGTAATATCAACTCCGCCTACAATTATATCGTCCATGAAGACATCACATTTTTCAATGTTTTCTAGTAGGCTGGACATTTCGCGCTGACATATTTCTGGAGCCAGTGAAACCCCGAACGGCATGCGTAAATGACAATACCGACCAAACGGTGTCATAAAAGTTGTAAGTACTTGACTTTCTTTGGTAAGTTTGAATTGATGGAAGCACCCACTGACATCCAAAGTGGAAAACATAGTACAGTCAGCAAGTTTAGTCAATACGGAATCTGTTGTGGGCATCATGTATCTCTCGCGTTTTATATTCTTGTTGAGCTTCCGGAAATCCCCACATATTCTAACCCGTTTTCCCGATTTGCGCGGTACAACAACAATAGGCGCACACCACGGTGTCGGTTCTTTTATTTTTCGTATTTTATTTTCAGATTCTAGTAAATCCAACTCTTCCTTTACCGATTTCATAAGCGGATACGGTATACGTCGTGGATTAGCAACTGAGTAGGGTTCTGCACCCTCTATAAGTTTTATGTCAACCTCACTCCCATTGTACGTACCATTGTTACCGAATAACTCTGACTCTATTCTTTCATCTACAGGTAACTTTGTAAAATTCTTACAACAGGGAATAGAATCAGTTTTACTCTTACACTCAGTGGTACTGTTACACTCAGTTGTGTTTTTACACTCAGTTGTATTTTTACACTCAGTTGTACTCTTGGTACACTCAACTGTATTGTTGTTACACTCTGTTTCACAGGCAGTATCAATTGTCTTAGTACTGACTGATATCTCAGGATTACTACCCCTTTTCACCAAGTTGAGCTTGTAAGCTGCATTTCTAGACAATAAATTGTCTACAATATTATTGACTACTATAACACGTAGATACTGATTACAGGAAGAATCAATTCTTGCAATAAACACACCCCTGGGATCCAAATTTCCCCCTGGACTTCGTAACTGACCATCAAATGGTTTCAATACAGGCTTGTTTGGCATATCAGAGTAATTCTTATAAGACATAACACAAGCATCAGCCCCTGTATCTATTTTGAAATTTACCCTACAACCATTGATAGGCAAGCTACAACGCCATGGTGGTTCAACTGTATTACATGCATCAACATTACACATAGTATTACATGCATCTACATTACACATAGTATTACATGCATCTACATCATTTATAGCATCAAACATATCTACATTGTCTACCACTTGTGGTTGAACATAAACAACTTCACGAATAATTTTCTCAGCTTGCTCAGATTTCTTTGGATTTTTGTCACTTTTTCCTTTCTTGGAACGGCACATAGAACTGAAATGATTCATGTTTTTACAATTGTAGCACTTTTTGCCATATGCTGGGCACTTTTGTACTTCATGATTCCTACCACACTTCCCACATGGTTTGTGAGATTTAGATTTATTTTTATCAAATTTCACATGATCAACACACTGATCTTCTTGAATATTATCAGCATTCAATTTCGCCTGGCTATACACCATTTCATGATTACGTATACGTTGGATGCATTTCTCTAGAGGTAAATCTTTTGTTTGCAACTCCAGAGCTAATCTTGTGTCACGAAGTCCATTTATGAGTCTGGTACGCAAACGACGATCTCTATCTGTAAAGTTGCATTTGTCGCTAAGATGATATAGATCACGAATAAATGACTCACAGCTTTCGCCTTCACGTTGACAGCGTTTGTCAAACACCAGCTCCTCATTAAACAAATTCAGCTTCGGAACAAAATAGTTATCAAACTGTTGTAACACCCGATCAAAACTACGTGGATCTAATTCTATTACCTCACCCTCCAACAGCGGTCCCACTACAGGTGGAAAATGTAACGTACGGTAAATCTTTTCCGCTTCATGACCCATCGCATAAATTAGGGCAGAAACTTGGACATCATTGTCCTCAAGGTGAAGCTTAGTGGCGAGACGAAATCTCTGAAATCTATCTTTCCAATCTGGCCAGTCATTAGGCTCCTCAAATCGGAAATTCTCTGGTGGGTAGAATTTTGCCATTTTATCACACAGATAACAGCATCAATATCACACAGATATCAGCGTCAATAATATCACACAGATAACAGCTTCAATATCACACAGATATCAGCGTCAATAATATCACACAGATAACAGCTTCAATATCACACAGATATCAGCGTCAATAATATCACACAGATATAATATATAAGTAGCTCGTAGCTATATAGTCACACGAAGTAGTATATTATCTCACGAAGAATTTGGGCGAAATCTTTGGTTTCAAAATGTCGACCCCTCAAATGTACCTTCAGCACTTCCGGTTGACACGAGGCAAGCCTTTTCACACAGAATACTCACGACTCCTACATTCAGGAAAAGTCACACCTAGCTGAAAATGATCTATGGATGTTCCGATTGAACGTTGTAATCGCTTTTATTAACTGCCACCATGTTATGTTCTCTTATTTTAATAAATAAGATGGACAAAATATGTAGTACTGGTTTAGTTTTATTTCACTTCTCATAGATGGCGTTCTATACTGAACGAAAAGACATATACAGTAAATAAACCCGGGAGCTACAGAATGAGCACTTATTACACATATCATGACAATGCTCCTTATTATATTTTTAAAAGTCTTTCAATTAAAGTGAAATGAAGCCAAAATCAGCTAAAATTATGCAATGTCGTAAAATGGCGTGACTGGAATATGATGCAATCAACTGTGACGTCAGACACGTATTGCCACATCAACAACTAAACAAACAATTAATATAGACTTCACTGATTGGTTTAAAGATTCTGCGCATCATTTGTGATGTCATAAACATGTTACCCAACCAACAACTAAACAAATAACAAATAGGAATATAGGTTCGTTCAGTGCCACGCTCTTGAATCAATTATAAACAGGGATAATCAACAGATATATGAGAGGGTCAGCCATTTTTTGACTTGGAAACCTCAACTCGAGGAGTTTGCTTCATTTTCTTGTTTTCTCGCATGGATCGAGATCTCGCGAGATTTTAATTTTTCCAGATATCAAACATGGCGGAAAATGGAAATTCTACTTCTAATACGTAAGTGTCGAAGTTACCCCGTCTATTATGTCAACATTACCCCACACGTCAACATTACACCCCTTTGCCCTATATTTGCACATAGCCATCTTTTAGATATCTCTCAGGAGATAGCTTTGTGCAAACTAAGTAAGTCAGATCATAATCATCATGTTGACTACATCATACATCACCCTTAGGAAAAATGTTATGGGTATTACCCATAGTGTTATCCATAATAATGGTAATTCATTAGGTCATTTATGGTTTATATTTACTTCAATTATCCTTAAGTTATGGGTACCTGGGGGCTATGGGTAACAATATGGGTAGTTATGTGAAACAACAACTACTAAATTCCACTTGTTATTTCACAGGAGGTAAAAATGCACACTGCCTAGATTCTTTGTAAGGGTTGTCAGACATCGGATTGGCCGCCATATTTGAAATGAGAATATCACTAAAAAGAGCTTTGTGCATGTCGTAACATATCGACAGTTTATTTTGATGGTAGAACATAATTAACTGTACAATGAGTATTACGACACTTTGATTGATTGTTGTTCCAAAGGAATTTAGTCTAGGTGCTCTATTAAACATACAGTTCATGAAAATCTAATTGAAGTGACGGTTACGTCCGCCATTTATGACAACGGTATCTGACTACTGTTGTCAGGCTATTACGGTGTGAAAAGACTTATAGCAGTGATTAACTATAACTATAACTATGTAATTGAGATGATAATGTAACTCTCAATAATCAAGCAAGCATCAATCACTTTTTACAATATTTCCTGTTGATGAAGCAATATCACTTATCGATCTGGTCATGCTGCCCATTTACATTTTAAAATTGTTTGTTGCAAAAGTAAGAAAATTTGATTATTTTTTTGTTGTAAATATAACACGCTTGATAAGAATGAAAAGTTGTAATTATTGTAATGTTTATAAACAGTACACGAAACAAGTTGTTGTAATTATAATATTGTGTCCCAACCCTTTAAACTAAATGTAGAAGAAAAACTAAACACTATAAAAGATTTGAAAAGATACATTTAAAATATAGTATTCACTTTTGAAACACCTTGTAGGTACAGAATTCATCTCAATATAGTTATACAAAGATATATAAAGACCGTTCTTTCATTTTTTCAGGAGTGATGTTGTAAATGTACTTCAATTCGCAATAAGATGGCTGAAGCGCAACGTTCACGGCCAAGCCGGCCTGCCCAGCCAAGCACACAGCAACATCCTGGCAACACATCAAATGGAGTAACAAGATCTTTAGACTGTTTACAGCAGATTAAACAATACCACGATGAGGCTTACCTGTATATTGAACAAGGACTCACAATGGATGAGCAAGGAAATAAAGAGCAAACTATTGTTTCATACACAAAGGGTCTTAGCCTTATAAAAAAAGCTCTAGACATTGACGTTAACCATAACACACTAACTGGCGACCAATTAGATAAAGCTAGTAGATTACAAACCAAAATGACCAAAACTCGTATTCAGATTCAGTCGAGAGTTGACGATCTTCAGTGTGCTAGTAGAAGTAATGTTGAGACTCCAATGGAAATACAGAGCCCGGCATATGAATTTCCTCCAAGTTATGAAGACTCTGTTTATGACAGTATCATGAATGATGAGACAAGTAGTAATAGTAGTGTCGACTCATTTGTGGCAGATGCAGAACAGGTACCTTTAACAGTAATTTGCTTTTGGCTAGTTTCAACAATTTTAGCTCAGATTCTGTACGGCTATGAATAATGTAATATTAAAGTCAGGGTAATTTTTAGTAAGGTCAAGTTTTGCTGAAGTAACAGAAGCGTTGACTCATCTGTGGCAGGGGTTGATTTTACTGATAGCTAGTAGCAAGTTTGCTACCTTATATCAATTTTTGCTACCTGAACATAAGCAATTTTCTTTTCCTACTGATAAAACATTAAGCTCAGGGTCAAAGGTCAGGGTCATTTTAAGTAAGGTCAAGTTTTGATAAAGTTCATCTGAAGTAAGTTTTAATCGTCATGTATCATTAGAATCTAGAACAAAGATTTAGCTAAAGCACTTGCAAAAGAATAACAGTTCGTGACTTCTCTGAATATAAGGTGACGGGTTCAGGGTTCTTTGTTCATATCTTTTAGTATACTTCTCCATCCCTTAGATTTATAATTGAATTAAATACAGTTGTCTCAATTTCTATTTTCAGCTATTTTCAATTGAAAATGAGGTCCAAATCTATTATATATCAGCTGAAGGATATGTTAGTGCACCATCATATCCTTCCTCATTGAAAATATGCAAATTCAGAGGTCAAAATGAGGCGTCCAGAGAAGACGGAAGACCCCCGGGATTCCTAAATGTTGGTGAATGGGTGTATCCATTGATTCCTGGGACATCCCCTGTGTTACAGGCAGAGTATGGAGCTTATATTTTCCCAGATGTGCAGTCGGATCAACCAGGTAAGTAAAGTATAGAGGCATTTATACAGGCAATTTACAGCCATTCAAATAAATCTTGCAGAAACTTTTCAAGGGGAGTTGAAAGCCCCCAAATTGTTATTTTCAATATTTGAGAATCAGGATCTATCAGGAGTCTTTTAACTTGTTACAACTTTTTTTGTAGGAAACTTACCAAATTTTATACCTTACAAAAAAGAAGCTCTGTTAGCAATTTATCTTATGTTGATGAAGGCTTTTATAACTTTTCTTGATAGACCTCGCTATAGTCTTTATTTGTTTGTACAAATAAATATTCATTGTCATGAAAATGTCATGCAAAAATCGAGTAAAGTCACTGTCAGTCACAATAATGTATATTCCTACTGTATAAATATCAGCTCGATAAAACTAGCCCAAAAAAATAACAGAATCAGTTGAACTTATTTATTTTTACACATATTTACCAGGAGCTGCTGTTGGTCTTATGCTTCCACCAACCCTCTCACAATCAGAGAGATCAAGGTTTGAACAGATCCTTGGTTCTTTAACTGATATGAGAACGACACCATCAGCCCCTGTAGAAGGTGTCGCTCCCTCTGCCCCTGTAGAAGGTGTCACTCCCTCTGCGCCTGCCCAAGAGAGACCAGCGTCAAGGCAACCAGAGCCCAGATCCCGAGTGGCACCAGAACGACCAGCCAGACCACCAACAATCGCTTCTGCAGATGCTAGTAGATTACCACAGAGAAAAACTAGTACCAAGATTGCGCAGGGGATTGTCACAGGTAGGATTTTACCCAAGATGGAACAACAGTGATGTATTACAAAGAATTAAATACTTTATTTTGTACTAGGAATTACATGTACTAGGAATTACATAATTAGGTTAGTTTTAAGTACAATAGCACTCACATTTCAGATGATTCACATCTCTGCCAATTGATGGAAGCATTATTTCATACCAGTGATTTGCCATATCCATTAAAATTTAAGTTGTATATCCTATATGTACTATGTGCTATAAGGAGTAAATTGGGCAAATAAACACAACTGAAAAGTCCCTCGTTTACATCTTAAAGTAGTTGATACATAGATTCACTATCCAAATCTCATCTTTAATATTTACTTTTAAGCTTCTGAATGGATTTCATGGGGTGTTGAGAAAACTGCAGAAAAAGGGGGTGAAATCCTAAAGTTTGGCTCAGCTAAATTGAAACAGCATATCAAGCCTGATGAGTTGAAGAAAGATGTTGACCCTAATGTTATCAAAGGTGTTGAGGTTGCCAGACAGGCCACTGGGGTTGCTGTTAAAGTGAGCGGCTTCCTTGGTTAGTGAGGTTTTATTTCATCGTACTAGAGTTGTTCATTTAAAGGGGTATTCCTTGCAAGACCATCTCTCTCCTAATATGGTAGCTATAACCATATACATACTTTGCAAGTTTATCAAAAAACAGAAAAATGTTTTGAAATGGTCAATATTGATCACTTAAAAATGTAGTGCTCAATTCCAGTAGGCTGCCATCTTTTAAAATTTCACTCAGGAAGTGATGTCATCGACTCTCAACTTTGCATATAACATTAGGTAAGGAGCTATTAGAATTACTAAACCAGCTGAATATTTTTTTCTATTTGGTCTATATTAAAATCCTCTTGATGATCTCTTCTTTAGTTCTAAGTTGACAACTCATGAAAATATTTTTACACAGAAGATAAGGGCTTCTTGTTTAGAAGTGATTTTGTACTTCTTTCCTATACTGTAATAGACAAGGTTATAACAGGTGAGAGTCGATGACATCACTTCCTGAAAGAAATCTGAAAAGATGGCAGCTTACTGGGAATGAGTACTACATTTTTAAATGATCAATATTGACCATAAGAAAACATTTTCCTGTGTTTTGCTAAATATGTAAAGTATATATATGATTGTAGCTACCATATCAGGGAGAGAAATAATCTTGCAAGGAATGTTCCTTTAAGTGATCAGTGTTTGCTTAAAACAGATTTCAACATTTTTGGAAAAAAGATGATTTTTGACAAAAGTTGTTAATTTTCAAATATTTGAATTTCGTGCCATTGGAAAATAATCTTAAAATAAGGTTTTCTCTGTTCTCTGTGTTCAAGATCTTATTTCACTCTTATTTGCTCATTTTTCAACCATTCCTCTTAATTCTTTCAATGGGAAATAGATCACTGGATGTAAGCAATGCAATATTTTGAGCAAAAAGTATTTAAAAAATAATTTGTTGAAAGTGATTTAAACTTTTCTTGGGACCTTACTAAAAAATTTCCATCAGAAAGCATCTGCTTTAAGAAAATAAATTGCTAGATTGGAACTTTTATATGTTGATTAATTTTCCTTTGAACTTTTCAAGGTGCTTTCAATGAAACATGTCATAAATTATAAATTTTTCTATTGCAGTCAAGAAGGTATCGCAAGCAGCAGGATATCTTGCCCGTCAGGCTGTTCCAGTTATCAGACGGAAAGGTAGTGAGATGGGCCTAATATCTGACAGCAAAATGGACAATATACTAGAGGTGGCTTCTGGAGGCCTAAAAGGTACATGTATACATAATACGAGGGGTGCTCATAAAGTTTCCATAATATTTTTTTTTCAAAATGATGTGTATTCTAATGATTTTTTTTAATCCAGCAGAATATTCTTATAACAGAAATTGATAATGGTTGCCATAGTAACCATAACCCAAGGGACCCTGGGAAACAACTCAAGTGTCCTTTGATTGGTTCAATTCAAAATTTTCTTTGATTATCAATCTGAACTAAAAATATTATTGCTGAGAAAGAAAAACAATGATGACTTTTAATTACATATCAGCATCTATAAAGATATAATGAATGTATATTGTGCTACTTTTGCCAGGTTGATTTGGCTAAAGAAAAATAATCATCAGTATTTTGACTCCATCTTATAATGTACATGTTAAATCCTTGAATGTGTTGACTTTTGTGTTGTTCTAGGTTGGGGCACAGTGTACCTGAGTTTGGAGACAGCGGGAAAGTCATTGCTACACAACATCACAAATGAAACAGTAGATGTAGTACAACACAAGTAAGTTGATGTCTGTTGAGAATACGCTTTAAATAAAATAGAGTTTGTTTTGTTAGTCAGTGAAGCTATACAGTTTTAAGAGAACCAGTTGAGAGGGCGACTGTTATTCCTGGGGGTCATAATAAATCCCACAAAGGAATTGCCTTCAAACACAGGAATTTCATATAATGTATAAAAGCTTCGAAACCAAAAGTAAGAAAGTACAGTAAAACTTGTCTTTGTCTCTAGTGGACACCCTGCCTCTGTACATACTCTACTGAATTTTGTATAAATTAGCCTCTCTGTAATGAACACCTACAAACATTGAATGTTTTTTCTTAGCAAAAATAATGTTCAATATATGCAGGTGTTACTGTACTTTACTTGAAAGGTGACTTTAAAGGTGTATAAAGTGAGTCATAACTACCATTTTTTGTATAATCAAGGAAAGGTGAATATATAAACATCAGTAAGTAGGTGAACCAGGAAGTCGCATGTTTTTACCTATCATTTTATACATTTTTCCGTAAAAAGCTTCAATATTTCTATGTAAGATATTTGATCCAGAATTTGAGTTCAATCTTTTAATTTGGATTTCGTGATCAGTTTCAGCATTGCTCAAGATGGCTATCATATTCTAGACTATTGTATTTCCACTTTCCAGGTATGGGTCTGATGTTGGTAAAGCCACAGAACATGCCATGCATGCTACAGGAAACCTACTTGTAGCGGGACACAATATTAGCAGCCTTGGGCCTAAAGGAATTGCTAAGCGTGCAGTAAAAGAAACAGGAAAAGCTGTGATAAACAGTGGAGAGATGGAAAAAGAGGAGACTGAGAATAAAAAACCAAAGCAAAACTAGGAGATTAGAAAAACATAGAAGCAAACAGGGAGGCTTGTAACACCATTTGAGGAGACACAATTGAGAGAATGTGTGCTGAATTCAATGCAAATGTGCCATCACACTTGAAACTACCTAATCCAAAATCTGATGCAATACTCTAAGGTATAAATCTCCATTATGTAAAAGTGAGTTATACCTGAGGTCAGCATTGACAGAAGTTGGAAACAAAAACTGTGCAACTATGTTTTGAGGAATCAACAGAATGAAATTAATAACGTTCAATGCATATTGTCACCAATAACTATAATAATTTGGAGCCCATTAACAGAACCATCTTAAAGTTAAGAATTCATGAAGTCCATTGTTTTCTAACTGTGACATCATCGTAACTATGGTTACAACAATTGATTTACGATTTCGTAACTTTACGAAGTTTCTGTTTTCTTGGTTAACAACTGGCAGCTGAAAATTTTTGTGGCAGTACAATTATAATGAAACAAATTGAAAAGTTACTGACAAATAATGCATGTACTTTGACCTTTCAAAGGATTTTAATATGTCCAATTAGTGTAAATATATTTATTGTTATACTTGTATAAAATGAATTGTAGAATAATTCAGTACTGTCAGAGAGCTCCACTTCAGATACCGGTTAAATGTATTGTACAAATATTTCTACTCTATGCACTTGAAATAAGTGAAAATAATGTACTTTTTCAATGCATTTGTTAAATGTTCGTCCAGTGATTTGGGTAAAAGGTACAAATATATACTTATTTTAGTAACTATTATTGGCTCCAAACTTCACTTAGGAATACAGATATTCAAGACTACATGGTCTCAGAACATGCTCCAGAGTTTCCATGTCATATCAGCCTTGTTTAGTTCAAATATCAAAGCATTATGTCAACTATAAAGAAGTTTAATTCGATGAAACTAAAAGTATCGAAATCAACACCTATGTCTGCCATCTTAAATGCGAAGGTAATGGCCATTTCATTAAGAATGTTTAAAAAGAGTTTTTTTGTGGTTTTGAGCAAGTAGTGCACTTTGAAACAATAAGATGTATTCTAACAGCTCTATAGATTATTATAATATCCTTCATTTTGCATGTGCCACCATTCCACTAGTTTGACCATGATTGTATAAAATATACAATAAAACAGACAAATTTATTTTTATTTCATGTTTTATTCTATGCACTATACCTTATATAAAATGCTGGTTTGTGTTGTAATATATACACAGTATAAGAACTCAATATTTACAGACTTTACGTATATGTACGCAATTTTGTACATATTTTAGATTTCTCAGTCAGCTTAAATATTTTGTTTGTTAAAATATGCTTATCCATTAATAATTAAAATAAAGCTCAAAAATATCATAAAATAATAAAAATATAATATTCTTTTTGTACACAATTGTTTGAAAAGCTGATCAATCAAATAGTCATAGTTCATGATATTCTCAAATACATTTGAACTGTAACAAATGTGTTGTGATGTTAACAGTAGATACAGTACTCAATTTTTGACAAAGTAACAGATATTGAATTATTCATTGAAACACAAGTTTATCTCAAAATTTCCTGGTTCTGTAGAATTCATTGTTTTATTTTAATTTAACACTGATCAAAATATGTTGGCATTTGTGGGAAGACAAGGTCATCTCATTATGGTTTTAACAACAGTGAAACCTCTAATGTGGAACACCTCTAGAAGTGGAACACTTCAGAGTCCGAAGACCAGATGACTTAATTATAAATTAACCTCAATAAGTGGAACACCTCCCAAGTGGAGAGTCTTGTCATAAGTGGAACACACCACAGGTGTTCCACTTACACAGGTTTTATATACTGAATATTTAAAAATGTTGACTTGCATTTCACCTGAATTTTTCACAAAATCAACAAATTCTCATCCCTCTAACAAAACTAATTTTGTTCTTCAAAAACTGTTGAGATTTGAAACATCATTCCTTAAAATTAAGCAAGACACAAACATTTAGTGAACAAACTCCACATCATAGGACTTATGCTAATCTGACTGGAGTAAAACCTAGAATGTTACTCTACTGTATAATACCTCCACCATCTGATTCCGGTATGATACATTTAATGACTGCAATATATTCATTAACTAACAACTACATGGAACTCCAAAGTGGACATCTCTCTTCAGTAGATGAACACATTATTGGATTGGAATATAAGTATATTTTTCTCAATAGATGATAATTTATAAGTGAATTGCCACTTATATGTTCAATACACCAATCCAGCATATTATGCTACCTATCGGTTTTGATGTCATTCTTACAGTTTCAGGGCATAAAGTATGACATCATAAATTAAGCCACCTCAATTTTAATGTCATTCTTATGGCATTAAGTTTGACATCAAAATCTAGCCAACATACAAGTTTTCTTGCTTCATCAAAAAGGGTCAGGATTTACTGGAAAGGTCTGTATATTCAAACGTTGTTTCTGTACAGTATTGGAGGATAACTATGAACTAACAGTTGCTAGTCAAATACAAGTACAGCATTGTGTGTCACTGTCATGTATGTCTGCCATCATACTATACCTAGTACTATGTACCACATAATTATGTGGATTTGTTTCACATTTAACGTTCAGCAATCATTCATCTTTCATCTTTAGCACTGCCATATCATACAATCATTCACACACTGGTTTGTGAAATATAATCTTGCTAGAAACTACAAGACTTGCTTCTGTCTCATTGAGAAAATCTTATTTACAATTTCATGTTCGTACTACATTATTAATAATTAGCGAGTTGTTCTCATTCCTTATGCTAAAGGACTGAAAAAGCTTGATCCACTATTCAAGTTCAATAATTTTTTCTTTTTCTTCAATCCGCCATCCAATATTGTGGATTCAAGAGTGTCCGATACATTCTGTGTGTCAGAAGCATCACTAATTTTGTCAGATTTACGCTTTCCTGATCTGCGTTTAGATTGTTCCGATCGATTTTCTATGTCCATTAATGGTTGAACGCTTTCACTGCTGGGGATGGTTGATTCCGCAGAATCTGCAGATGCTGGTCGTCCGATGTCAAAGGTTGTGTTCAATGTGCTGGCACTCTGTAATAATAGAAAAGCAGCAAAATCAATATACTGCATCTTAAGGTGGGTCAAGTAGAACCTGTTTATGAATGTTACTAGTGAAAGATCCAAGTTAATCAGTCAAATTATTTATCCCACTTATCCTGCCTTAATACAGGGTTACTCAAAAATGCAACCATCTGACTGGAATAACTTTCAATTATGAAAGAATATTTCTGCTGTCCTCAGCACTTTTTCTATGGTAAAGTTATTAAGACATTAAGGGATTACATTTGAATTTGAAAGGTGTTCAAGTGAGAATTCAAGTTTGCAGTGTATGCACGATCATTTGGAAGACGAGAGATAAAGATTTCCATCTTTACATTGAATTCAAGAAAATGTATCTAAGAGATCAAAAGCTTATACATTGATGCAAAGAAAAGCTAGGGTGATGATGTAGAAAAATTGATATTTTCTGAAGATGACATTAGATGTTTAACATGTTTACCTGCTTTAAATGGGCTTATTAACATTCACATGTTAATCTGTTTTAAATGGGCTTTTGCAGATTACTGACAGAGACAACACTTACATCTGAGCCGGAAGGTGATTGAGTCCTGGAAGATGAATTCTTGCATAGCTCTGAATCGCATTTACATTGGACACCACACTCCAGCCCTTTCCTCACACATCCGCAGTGGTTTGTTCCACAAAGATTTTTCCCCTTCTTACAACTACATTTTGTATCACCGCCTGATTTGTTGTGGCCCTAGAAAAGCATGTTAAAGGTTAAAAAATCAATTCATCGCCTGATTTGTTGTGGCCCTAGAAAAGCGTGTTAAAGGTTAAAAAATCAATTCATTGCCTGATTTGTTGTGGCCCTAGAAAAGCATGTTAAAGGTTAAAAAATCAATTCATTGCCTGATTTGTTGTGGCCCTAGAAACACGTGTTAAAGGTTAAAAAATCAATTCATTGCCTGATTTGTTGTGGCCCTAGAAACACATTGTTACATGTTGAAAAATTAATTCATTAATGAGCATATTTCCGTTTGCTATGATCTGTATAACTTAAAAGGTAAATGGCATATCAAAACTGCACAATATCTGAAAATGCTGACCAAGCTTTAATTCAGAGTTCATCACAAATATCTTAAATTACTAGTACTGTTAAACCTGAGAAGTGGAAAACCTCCATTAAATGGAACACATTTCCTACACATTAACTCAATGTAAAATGAACCTCTGTAAGTGCAACATTAATTTGAGGTACCAACGATTTTTCACATGCACAGGTTGTTCAAATACTCTTGTGTTTAAAAGAATAGATTTGTTAATTGAGAGATATAAAAACGACTTATGAATTTGCTATTGATCAATTAATTTACTCTGGAATTTACCTGATCACTTCCGTGACCATCTTCATCATTCCATGTTAAGTTAGAATCCCCTTTCTTCTGGCGCTGAAAACACAAAATATACATTTCAGATTAAATACATTATATCTAAATCTAAGTATCTCCCCATTATTATACAAATATTTCATTCTATTAATTGGATTTCCACGAAGCTTCTTAGGAGTTGTTAACTACATACATGCACAGCATTGTAAGTGATCTCCCCAGGATTTTTTCTCAGGTGGATGCAAAATTCTCATTTCCACAATTCAGACCAAAATTGATAAGGAGACCACTGGTTGTACACTCATGGTTTGATCATAAAATAGTGTCTAAATGGAGACTGAACTGAGTACTCTGTACCTAAACTATTAGTAAATACTGGTACATGTACATGACTATTCTCACTAGTATTTTATTTTATGAGGCTGACAGTTAAAATTATGGATTTAGTGCTTTGAATGGTTCGAATCGATATTCAGAAGTGTTTAAAACATATTTGCCAATTTCCACCAAAGCAAAGTTGTCCCTATTCACCATTGAACCATGTCACCATAATAAAGGCTTTTTAACTTTTAATGGAGTGCAGTGTTCAAAGTAGGCACTTATTAGTACATGTATCTATTTTCTACACAAAAGCAAAAAATACTCCAGATATTCATGAATTACTGAGCTACTACCTTCAAAGTTCAAATTCTTCGAAAGTGGAAAATATTGAGTCTTTTTGTGAAAGGATGCAAGAGAGTGGAGAGGTTGAATAGTGACTAAGTGTTGCTAAGGGGGGGGGGGTAATCTAACCCTACTATCACACCAAAGTAATTCTCACTACGTTCTCAAAAACGGGCTTAAACTGTGCACGAACCGTTTGGGATCTGTTTACAAACTTCATGAAACTACTAGAACGAGTAGGTCCTCCAGAACTTAGAGCATGCTCAAAACTTTCTGGTGATCGTCAAAACGTTGCCGAATCGGTTTTAAACTGTGTGCGAACTGAATGAACGTAGCTACAACGTTCTACAGTCTGTTTATGAGCTTCATGGACTTTCCCAGACGGGGAATGTGATTTAGAATTTTGAATCGATTCAAAATTTGATGGCGACCATACCGTTCTGTAATCAGGTCATGATGACCTTCTAGACTAAGGGACGCGTTATACGACGTTGCACACCAACGTGGTGCGACCTGAACGCACTGCAAATGAGATGGACGTATTGAAGACTGTTTATGAACGAAGTAGCTAATTATTTTAGACATATTTCCCGACCACAGCCAGATTGAGCCCATTTTACGACATTTACGTAGGACTGGCAAGAATGGGTAAGAACTAGTTTGGTGTGATAGGGGGTAAGGGTAGATTGGAAAACTGTCATGTAAGTGCTATTTATACATCAGATGTACCTCTGTAGGTGTATTGCCCTGATTGGCATCTCCCTCAGATTCTGTTGGTCTAGGTCCACTACGCTTCTTTTCCTTAGTCTCCTAAAGAGCAATCAGTCCAACACACTTAATAGTTAATCAGTGCAACACACTCAACAGTAAGTCAGTGCAACACAACACTCTATCTAGATAGAACCCTATACTAAACAACAGGGGCCCATTTCTAATAATTATTGCCAATGAATATTCATCAAATTCATTTGTCCTAATATGTAGTTACCAGACAATTGAAGTACATGAATCATGACATGATTTTTAAAAAACGGGTCCCAGAGGTTTCAACAAATTAAATGTAACACAACACACTACAGTTATATTGTCTAACATGCTTTTTTCAAAATAAACAATTAACAATAAAGCAATACTAAAATCAGGGATAAGAATAGAGTAAAACAAAGGTGTATGAGGATGATATCCAAATGTCAACAACTGTGAATAAATAAATACTGAAAAAAAATTGTGAAAATATGTAAATTTCATAAATATGTAAATTTCATCAGGCTTTAGTCCCTTCCCTGCCCCTATATAACGACACTTAAAAATGTTGAATTTTTCAAAAAATCAATATTCTTCATCAATGCAATCAGTATTGACCACCATCCCTAAAAGTAATAATCAACTTTGCCATTCAACAACTGGATAACATCCTTAAAACATTTGATTATACATTTTATGCACAAGTAACCTACTTTGCTATTGATAATTTTTCTCTGTAAGTCCTTATGTCTTTGTTGGAAGCCAGGTGTTAGCCCAGGCTGCCAATCTGCATCATTATCAGAATCGGAGACATCCTCATCTGAGTTATCCTCAATCTCATCCTCGTCTGACATGTACTCATATTGTTTCTTCTGCGCTTTATGTTTCCTCTTCTGTAAAACAATATAATATAAAAACTTCAAATTGCCTATGATACAGGTTTTCAGTGGAGAAATTAACCTAATTTTGTTTTTTTGTGTATGTAAATAATACATTGTAGTGATTTAGCAATGATACAACCGAAAACCTTCATGTAATCAATTATGTCATACCCTCCATGTAAGGCAAGACATTGTGAAATATTTTTGTTCAGAATGATGTTACAACTGTTAAGCCGATGCAGTGAAACCAGTATGTAATATATCGGAACATATGGCTAACTTGTCAGCTTATAATATCAAAATGTTTGGTGCATTTCAAAGAATTTGGTTTGCGAAACTATAAAAGTGCCGAAAACCTAAAAGAATGTCGCTACTTTCTATTAATGTTTTCTTACTTCAGTCATTCTCTCAAAATGGCAAGACCAAAAGTGATGATCAGGAAAAGTACCTTGAGCAGGGGTTTCATTAGCAGCAGGCAACAGGCGATTTTCTCCAGTTTTAACAAAATCGCCTGTTGTTTTTAGGGACTTTTCAACTTTTCCATGTTAAATTTATGATTTCCATTAATTTTGCCTGTTTCTTCATTTATTTAGCCTGTTGTGAGAAATTCAAGTGAAACCCCTGCTTGAGTGTTAAAGATCACTTACCTTGACTGCCTGTCCGACAGGTGTAAAGAATGATGTCCCTACAGGGGAAGCAGGTAGGCTGTCTCCAAGGCCTGGCATCAGTTTAGTGGCGTATGTATTCTTTGTAATGTGCTGAAATATACAACCCCAGTACATATATATAATATTATCCTATATGAGGTTCAGGATATTGGGATTATATCCTGAGGCTTGTATAATATACCTGCCCAAGAGCCGTAGAATTGAATATGTATTGTGATGAAATATACAACATTCTTCTTGGTTTATTATCGTTATGTTAGAACGACTAATTCTCATTTTTCTATCTGCTTATATGATAGGTTGTTACTTAGAGTTGAATATCCTTGTTTAATACTTATATGTTTAATTCATTTATCTTTTTAAAACATATAGTACTAGTTCTGGATTTCTTTCACAACATAGTGTTTCTAACCCTGATCTAAAAATAAACATCGAATTATTATTGTGTCAAAATGTCCAGAAAAAAGAGCCTGTATTTCAGTGGTAGCACACTTACTAAGATAGAAGGGGGGGGGTCATGATCTTTTCAATCTCAAATAAAGTTGATTGCTTTTTCACAATTAAGCCGTCAATGCAGGATTTCGTCCTGTGATTTTATTGAATCTTCATAATATACAACCTACCATTTTAAGTGTCTTATTCTCTGCCTGACTGTCTACTAGCTGTTCTTGTAGAGCCTCGACCTTCTCAAGCAACTCTTCCTAAGTAACAGAAATAAAAAAGTTAATCGCACCAAACATCTGGGTTTGAAAGAGTTAATGTAAGGAAAATTGCCATAGTTTTGTTATTTCTACTACAGTAAAACCTGTGTAAGTGGAACATCCCTTGAAACAAAAAATGTTCCACTTGGTAGGTGTTCCACTTACAGAGATTCATTGAACATGAAGTTATTGGGGCATGGAATTAAAAAACTATTGCTCTTGTGATTTGCTCCATTCAACAGTTCAATTTTCAATTTATTTATTCATTGATTACTACAAAATAATGGTTGTATAAAAGGTTTTTCAGATACATTTACAACCCCTTACCTTGGCTAGTAAGTCTTGCCTTAGCACCTCATCTTGTGTTGTGTTCGCTTGTTTGGATATAACAGCTTTCCATACACGTGCCATCTTAAATGATCAACCCAATGGTCAGAAAATGAAATATACCCCAAGGCCAGTAATAATATAATATTGAATATCTCCATGAAATGTAATATTTCAAAGATATTTTATGTTTTGGATATATATTTCTGTTCAAAATTCTAATAACATTTATTTCAATTATTCTGTAAATGGAAATAAAGTCCCCAGAGCCAATGAGACTTGAAAGAGTTAAAAATGAGGACCTTATTTAACCAAAAATTAATGTATATTTACATCAGCCGAATATTCATTACTCAAACTGTTCTCATCCACTTTAATATACAATTCACACATAGCCAGGCAAGGTGTGTCTGATTCCAGCCAATCCGAAAACAGTATTTCACATATAGAACAGTGTGTGAAATAATCAATAACATACTCAAGGTCACTAGTTAAACAGTTGTCATGGTGATGAATGGACTTTTCACATTGAATTTAATGACTTGCCAAATTGACCCTTGCAAAAAATATCATTGAAAAATGTGTTCTTTTAGTGATTTCGTTCCTTTAAGATGATTTTGTAAAAAATATTTTGCAATGTGTGAAAAGAATTTAAGCCCAAGACTCAATACATTGTGGCTGGTTCATTCCACTCAGATGTTGTTTCCTCAACTCTGCATTCCCGCTGCGTGGTCATGCAAAGATTTGGAAACAACATCTTCATGGAATGGTTCAGCACACAATGCACTGAGTCCAAGGCTTAAATCCTTAAATATATTTCCGTACAAAATTTTACCTTTTGTTCATGTTCCATCTGAAGTTGAGCCATCTCATTCTCATGTTGCAGTTTCATGTTTTTCACTGTTTTCTCAGCCTCATCCATCATTGCAGAAGCCTCCTTGTGTACAGCCTTGCTGGATTCACACTCAGCTACAGAGAGAAATAAATAGTATTTAGTTTATCTTGCATTTGGTGTTCATGAGCAACCCATTTTGCTTATAAGTATTGATTATGTATTTGTTTTTATTTGTCCGTTCCTTATTAATGGTTTACCGGTTGAATGTTAGATGTTACTAAGGCACTTTCAAAAATGTACTAAACAATACAATTAGACAAATAGAGTATCTTATGCATTTCTAGGTGTTATGTGCAGTAGAGTGTTATATTTTCAACAAAAACAAACATGAACTTAAATGTTTGTGTTGTGTGAATGATAAACTCTTCTTGAAAGATTTTGAAAATGAGGACAAGACACACAGTGATAAATATATAAATATCAGACTTTTTATCAAACAATTCACCCAGCATTCCCTAAACCTAACCAGATCTATACAGAAAGACAATATTACTCGAATTTGTCTGCTGAAACTTAGCAAGAAAAACTGGAAAAAGAAACATGTCAATAACAAACAAAATGTCACTCCCTGCCATTTGTTACAGATGCCCACTGCCCAACTCTGACCACTGAACACAAAAATCCACAAAAGTGTTGTTGACCTTGAAGACAATACCTTTGAATTTCTCTGCATAATTTGTATTTTGCAATTGCTTTATCATGTTTTTTTCTTCTCTGAAATATAAAATTAAAAAAAAAATGTTGGAGATCAAAACAAAAAATGACATTGAGGACAATACCTTTGAATTTCTCTGCATGTACTTTGGCTGTTACCATGCCATTGTGGAGGTACTTAAGAGCTACCTTGGCTTCAACTATAGTGTGGATACGTTCCCATTTGTTATTAGTAGCTTTGGGGTCATTCTGGTCGGCTAATCTACCCTGGATCTCTTCAATCTGAATATTCCTGAATAAAAAACATTACAACTTTTTAATTTGGTGATAATAAACAGGGGTAATAACATACATGAACAAAAATAATTTTTCTGAGAATATTGTTCAAGGCAATCCTTTCTCGTAAATACTAAGTATTGTCGTAAATGTCTTAAAATACCTGAGTTCTAGATCCTGATCTAAGGCAACTAGTTCTTTACTCAATACAGCTTTGCGATCATCCTACAAAACACAAACATAATTTAGTTTTTGATAAGTTTAAATAACTCGAAGGAGCAGATTATGTCCATTCCTATTTTTTTCTAATATATAAATGTAACATATTATATTAATAGGTTATAGTGGCTATTTGAAGCAGAAAATCAATGGAATATGTATTTTAAAGGTTTCTAGTGTTCAAGATTTTCATCAAAGTTTGAATCATGATTTATTGGAAATGAAAGTAACCTAATTAGCACCCAATTGTTTTTTTCATTTAATTTTGAATCATTCTTGGCTCAACAGTGAGCCACAAAAAAGTACTGGCAGTAAAACCTCTCGATTCATTAAAAAAATTGAAAAAATCAAACCTCAGGCGGTAACTTGTTCAGTTTTTGCTTTAAGTTAGTCCTGTGAGCTGTCAGTTCCTTCCTGTCTTTTATAAGTTCATCCAGCGTACTTTGAGCTCTTTTTACAGCTACTTCCATGTTTAAGTCTTGCTGAAGCCATGACTGAAATACATACATCATTAGCAATTAATCGATCACCACACAAGATTTACCATTGAAATTAAATCATCATGGTAAAATGGCCTTTAAACTCTCAGTAGCAAGAAATAAAACACAAAAGCAAGTAGTCAACATTCTTAATTGTACAGAAATGGAATAAAATGAGTTACGTTATTCAAATTTTAAAGAGATATATTGTGAAATGCTCGAATTGAGCAGATGTTTAACCACATAATGTCTCACCCTGATTCTATTGCCCACACCAGACATCTCTTGCTTCTCTTCCTTGGCAGCTCTCTGGTTTACAGCCAGTCTGTGCTTCTCTGTAGCCTCCTGTTAATAAAATAAATAGGATATGACATAAAATATTCCATTTTTTATTTATTTGCAGTGTTTTTTCCAAGGTTTATTTTCTCAAGTGAGAGGAAAATTATTGACAAATCAATGTTAACTAAAACATTTTTTGCTGATTTTTCGTAACAAAATTATTTCATACATCTACTCTTTACATTGACATGTATTTTTACAATGTAGGATACTTGAAATTATTTGTAAAGCTAGGAAATAGGTCAAAAGTGAATTTCGCGAGACAAAAATGGTGGCCATTTTGAGAATAGGCGAGCTTTTGAACCAGGAGTCATAGGGGAGTTTTCTGTATTGATGTTGAACAGAAATAACTTAAAACAGGAATCCTCTCGACAGAGGTTTTAAAACGTGCCACTGTTGTTGACGGAAAAGTGGATTTCGCGAGTCAGATGGACAAATCAATGTTAACTAAAATGGCTGAAAATAAAAAATGGATATAATTTTTCGCTGATTTTTTGTAACAAAATTATTTCATATATCTTCTCTTTACATTGAAATGGATTTTTACAATGTAGGACACCTGAAACTATTTGTAAAGCTAGAAAATGGGTCAAAAGTGAATTTTGAGAGACAAAAATGGCGGCCATTTTGAAAATAGGCGAGCTTTTGAACCAGGAGTCATAGGGGAGTTTTCTGTATTGATGTTGAACAGAAATAACTTAAAACAGGAATCCTATCGACAGAGGTTTTAAAACGTGCCACTATTGTTGACGGACAGACAGACAGACAGACACGGACAAGTCTAAAGTCAGAATTGAATTTCTCAGATCTTGTAGATGATTTTGAAAAAAATTTGGCAATTTGAAGCAATTTGAAAAAAAATTGTTGAACTTTTTTGACCTTGAGAAGGTCATTGAAGGTCAAATCTCAAATCTATTTTGACATTTTATTTTTCTTGATAAACCTAATTATCCATTTTTAGGAATCCATATAATATCAAGAGACTAGCCTTCCCTTAAAGGTTTAAAGGTTTACATTTGTTCAACATATGATTCTAGTAAACAAACAGTTAAAAAAATCCAACCAAGGAAATAATTTATTATATTTTGTGTAGTATAAAACAAGTAAACTGTTACAAGTGCTCATACTTCACATGATATGAGTTTATTCCGGTATTTTAAAATGTCTTCAATAAAAAGATGTCACTGCTTTTAACAACATCAATTGAAACCTCATTCACATAGTAACTGCTGAAGTACAAGAAAATCAATATTAACTAGAAATACAAAAAACACATAAAAATCAATATTAAACCAAATAAAAGGGGCACATTAATTCAAAACAACTTTTTTTGAGTTTTAAGTGTGAATGTTAACATGAAAATCCTATTGAGATTAGGAGGTCATTCTAACCTATTGGTATGACTCGTCGATACTGAACTACTTCTGAGAACTGCTTAACATAAAAATCAACTGAGAAAGTAGCATTTCTTTTCAACTGACTCGAATCACTTGTTTATTCAAAGTGAGAAATGGCTTCAAATGTAGACGATCATTGTAAGGCTGCTTTAAAGTGTGCACTATGTCAGGACATTCTATCTGACCCAAGGACATTGCCGTGTTTACATTCTTATTGTCTAAAGTGTCTACACAGCCTCATTGAGAAAAGTGACCTACAAGGAGGAAGCTTCAACTGCCCTGAATGCCGACATGAATGTATTGTTCCACAGCAGGGTGTGGCAGAATTCAAGGTGAGCCCTACAATCGCCTTCTTAATAGATGTCTATAAGGACAGTAATGACCAGACACAAGACCCAGAATGCTCAATATGTTTCGACACCTACGAGAAGCACACCCCGGCTAATATCCGCTGCCTGGAATGTAATAAGAGCTTCTGTACTACATGCCAGAAAACTCACGACTCGCTCTTAAAAGGACATAAAATACTTGACCTCACAGGGGATCGTGCAAATGATTTGGAAACAGCCTTTCAGATGGTGAAAGAACGCACTGTGTACTGCAAGATACACCCCAATAAGCCTATAGAATATTTCTGTAAAGCTGATAAGACTGTTCTCTGCCAGTCTTGCTTTACCATCAACCACTCGGGTCACCCTTGTGAAGACATCAATGAGACTGCTGCTAAGAACACAAAACAAATCGGTGCACTAATATCAAAGGGAAATCAACTTGTGGACTTGTATGAGAAGGCAATCGATAACACCCAGGTCTGTAAATCTGAACTTGAACAAAATACAGAAAATGTGATTGCTGAAATAATCAACGATATGAACACATTATTAGAAACAGTCCGGTCAACGTACGAATCCTTCATAGAGCAGGTGACACGTGAGAAGCAAACAAACGTAAAGCAAGTCGTGTCCCACATTGGCCACCTTGAACTTGATAAATCCATAATTAAGAGTCAAGTCAACAAGTACTGCGCTATGGTAGAGCATGGCCATCCGGTGGAAATAGCAGGCCTTGCTGAGCAGGTCAACCAAAAGTCTGAAGAGTGGAATGAGCAGCCCAAGATGGAATTTGATGCAAAAATTAATGTTCAATTTAAAGTTGGCACATGCTATGATGATAAGGTAGAATATGGACAAGTTACTACTATACAGAAAGTAAAACTCCATGAGAACATTATATCTGGTCTCCTTGGCACACCAGAGGGTCAATATGTAGTTACAGGAGCTACAACTTCTAGAGCAGCTATATATGATAAGAGCCACAACTTAGTAAAGGATTTAGGAAGGAACTTTTATGACATTACATACACAAATGAAGGGAACCTAGCAGCTACTTCAAGTGACACAGACACAATAAGCATCCTACAGCCAGATGGTACCCATCAACATGATCTTGAATGTAAAGGGTTAAAGAACCTTGAGGGCATAACTTTGAACTCAGCAGGGGAGTTTATAGTCTGTGATTGGGAATTAGAAGCAGTATACAAAGTGGATACCTCAACAGGTGAAACTAAACAGCAATTCAAGCCAGGCATGTTTGAGAGCCCAAGATATGTGGCATGCAACAGCAAAGATGTGGCTATAATCAGTAACTGGGACGGGCACATTGTGAAAGGAATCAACAGAGATGGTACTGAGGTATTCTCATATGGAGAACATGGTGATGGAGAAGGACAGTTGAGCTGCCCATGTGGAGTATGTACTGATGCTGGAGACTACATCTTTGTAGCAGACCAGGAAAACCATCGAGTACACATGCTGGACCCAAACGGAAGATTTGTAAGATATATGTTGACAGAGAAGGATGGATTGGAGGAGCCAACTGCAGTCACAATCGATCATGATGGCAATCTTCTTGTGGGAGATGATGATGGCAATCTTTACATAGTGAAATACATGTACAGAGAATAAGGTACAAACTGTAACTACATACATACATTTGAAACTGTACACCGAATCTATTAGCAATGGTGTCAAGTTACCAACAGTTGTGTACAGATAATTATGGGTTTTATAAGCCATTTACATTCACAATTGATCATGATGGCAATCTTATTGTTGGCCTGTGGGGGATCTCAATGGCAACCTTTTTGCTGTGAAATACAGAGAATAAGATGCAGTTCAAATGAAACAGATAGATTTGTAAACCTAAAACCAGAAGTGTGGTTTTGACTCAAATGGTGAACCTGAAATCACTATTTTGTCACATACTGATCCTACTCTGTTAAGAATGGCGAATAATTGCCGACAGTTATGGAAAAAGTTAATTTCATGAAGGCAGAGGGATAAATGAAAATGTTTATGATAAAAAATGGGGTACCAAAAATGGTCAACATACTGATTCTATTCTATTAGGAATGGCTGTGGAAGAACAAAGTTGATTTCAATATCATGGAGAGGGGTATAATGAAGATTTTGGCAAATTTAAATGAATGAAAATCTGGCATTATCAAACTTAATATGGCGGATGACATGTTAAATCATAATGAAACAAACTTTATTTTTCCACAATTGTCAACATTCGGACATGCAAATTCATTACACTTACCTTAAGTCTTTTGTTAATGGCAGCAGATTCCTCCAGTTTACGCTTATACACAGCAGCTTGTTTACTGTGTTGCTTTTCCATACGGACAATCTCAATTTGACGTTTACGATCCTGAAATGAAAATAGCGTTCAAGATGTTTATTTAGTAGATGTTACAAAAAACAAGTCAAAGATGCATTCATCCAGTATCATCTTAAAAATGTTATGGAAAATACCAATGTTATGGAAAATACCAATATGACTGAAATAAGAATGAAGTTTTTTTTGTAACAACAATTTGAAAATATATCTTACTCATTACAAAATAATATTGTTTCACATACACTAACATCATTTATAAATTAAAAGATTGATTTTTTCTTAACATCAAGATCATACAACATTTCAGTGTAAGGGGTATCATTAATAGACAAATACACTATAACTAGAACACTGCATCACATTGTAATTATTTGTATATGTGAAACTATTGAATAGAACAATAAACTAAATTAGAACACAAGAAATCTTGTCCTATATAAAACTATGGTACTCTACATGGCCCTTTTAATTTAAACAAGGCATTAACCTCTTCAATGTCAAAACCTGGCAATAATTCTCTAGTTTCAAACCGATTTTAGAGCCTGGGATTCGAGCAAATGTGACCACCTGCCATTTGATACAGACGCTGAATGCCCAACCATCAAACACCAAATGCCAAACCCCAAGACTGTCCACTAAAAAGACTATAATTACATGTCACCACTTCTTGTGGTGACAAAATAAAAGAATACATGTCTCAATGGCCATTATATTTACCTGGGCCTTTAATTGAGTGAGTTCTTTCTCTTTGTCTTTCTTCCACTGTGTGTAGTCCTTGTTCTCTTGCTTAATCTGGTTTATTAGCTTCACTCTATGTTGTTTCATCATCTGAAAGTTCATTGAAAAAAAAACTGCTAAGACAAGGGTCATGGTACTGTAATACTATCCCAAGGTAGCAGCAGCATTTTCTCTGATTCTCTGATTTTCTCTCATTCAAGTATGAAATCTTTGTGTCAGTACTAATATTTATTCTGATGTCACTGTTCAAATCTTACCTTGATGTCAGTGTTTAGTTTGGAGATTTGTATATCTGATCTTTCTTTATCCTTCAATAGTTTGGATTGTTCATTTAACTTCTTACGGAAACCTGCAATCTTCATCTCCAGTTCTTTTACTTTTTGTCGCCTCTGTTCACTTAATCTAAACACAGCATGAATTAAACAGAATTAAGTAATAGTTAAAGCGTAGCTCTGTTAAATCGGAATGTGCATTTAACAAGACAGTTTTCTTTTGTTCTTTGTTATAAGGTGTAAAAGAACATAAAATGTATTGTTAGTACCTCAGTTGAAATACTCGATTTTGATTGGTCAACGAGCGGTGAATAATTTTAACTGTACACCGCGCAATGCATTGCCGGTGAATAATATTCCCAGCATTCCACTAAAATGACGTCATTATCAGACGATAAAATGGCCGCCGCTAGCACTAGCCGTTTCAAAAATATTGAAGATGAGGATATTATTAGTCTCTTAGAGAGTAAAGACAGTCAAAATACGAAGAAAAATCTAAAACTTTGTACAAAGCTTTTAGTGGACTTCGCCCAGGAGAGTAATTTGACTCCATTGAGTGAACTTACTGCCGTGGCAGATGTAGATCTCGAGGGTCTGGATTCAACTTCAAGTCAACTTCAAGGGTCAGAAAAATCTAAGATATTCTTCGGACTAACAAAACAATTATAGACCTCTCCATTCGGTTTACTGTCAAAATTATATCCCTCGACTGTAAACCTCGACCTACGGTCTCAGTTTACAGTCTCGGGATATAATTTTGACAGTAAACCTCTGGAGAGGTCAATAATTGTATATTGTAAAAATTCTGGCACATTAGCTCTAGCTAGTGAGTGAGTCGATATATTACAAGGCAAATTACTTCAACAATTTACATAAATAGTAATAATTTGCATTGTACTGAGAATGAACCCAGTTTATATCCATACTCACTTATTGGATGGGATGTGCATGATGGTCTTTTCCAATTTGTTTTCCATTTCATCCTTCTCTTTTGTGAGTTTGTCTATTTCTTCCTGGTAGTTCTTTACTGCAGTCTGCATGAAATACAAGTATTTCCAGATATTTTTTGTGTGGATCATGTTATGAATGCACATATGTACATGCAGTTTGCAGTATTACATGTTCTTAAAAGTCAATAACTGTTTACATGTTTCCAGAAAGTTTATTCAATTTGCTGAAAATAAAATACAGTGATCTCTCCAGCATTAAAGCAAGTGGGTGCAGCATCTACCTGAGATTTTGAAAATAGGCTTGCAGCACCCACCTGAAAATCCATTTGCACCCACTTGAAAATGAGGTAAATCATGAAAATAGGCATATGATGGTTGATCAATAAGTAATGGACGCTTTTTTACACAGATGCTTTTTATAGACCAATCCCTTCGATTTTCTTACCAGTGATACATCATTCAATTATCTATCAACTCTGAAGATTTGAAAACAAAACATGTAATATATTTTGATATATCTTTATTTCCGTGAAGGATGTGTAGGTACCCCGGGACCGACATGACGTCAAACATTCTGAAGCTATTTTAGCTTGTTTAACATGCAATGCAGTTGAATGCAGGCTGAACAAAACAAACCATTATGGTCATGAATTACCCCATTTTGTTGCCATAGTTGATTTTGAATATTTTATCATCACTATGTGGTATTCATGCCACATTCATTCCACAGGGTCCTCTACATAGGTTTTCCATCAAGTGCTACGTGTACACAATTCCTCATCCTCTTAACTGACAAGATTGTGAGACAAGGCTGAATTGATTCTCTGACATGGTAGCAAGATGCAGTTGCACGACGGGTTGTTTTATTTCATCAATGGCAATAAACCTGCATCCTTTCTCTATAGAAATAAGTAGTATAGGAATAAATAAGTCACATGTGAGCAGATCTGGACAATATGGTGCATTATTGGCCATGGGCTCAATTTTGAGGTCCAGGGATATTGTTTTCTGAACATTTTGAGATCTGTGGGCAGGTGCATTGTCCATATGGAGTAGGGTGTTCCCTTCTCTCACCACCCCTTTCTTCCACTGAATGCTTTCTCAAATTGACCTGCAAACCCCTTCCATACAACACTCTGACATCACAATACTTTCTGTTTATGTGTTACCAGTCAGCAAGAAATTTCAAACAACACAACACTTGTTGCATATAAAAAGTTCAAATCTAACTGAAATTTGCCAAACTGGCTAAAAACTGAATATGTGATGTAAATGTTGGTCCCAGGTACCTGTACCTCCTTCACGGAAATAAGGATATACCAACATGTATTTGTCTTCAAATCTTCAGAATTGATAGATTATAGAATGACATATCACTGGTATGAAAATCAAAGGGATTGGTCTATAAAAAGTATCTGCGTAAAAAAGCGTCCATTACTTATTGATCACCCCTCGTATTTTGACCAATTTTGGTCTGATTTGTGAAAATGAGAATTTTGCACCCACTTGAGAGAAAATCCCCTGGAGTTCACTGAAATATGTGCTTCATTTAAACAAACAGACTAGAAAGACTGATGAAGCAAAATTGTTAATGTTAGGATATTCAAAGATAAAACATCTCCCCTCATAGTCTACTCTAATTTGTTCAAAGGTAAAGCAATTAAAAACATCTCACCTCATAGTCCACTCTAATTTGATTAATGTTCAAAGGTAAAACATCTCACCTCATAGTCTACTCTTATCTGGTCAATGTTCAAAGGTAAAACATCTCACCTCATAGTCTACTCTAATCTGATCAATGTTCAAAGGTAAAACATCTCCCCTCATAGTCCACTCTAATTTGATTAATGTTCAAAGGTAAAACATCTCACCTCATAGTCTACTCTAATTTGATCAATGTTCAAAGGTAAAACAATTAAAAACATCTCACCTCATAGTCTACTCTAATTTGATTAATGTTTATAGGTAAAACAATTAAAAACACCCCTCATAGTCTATTCTAATTTGATTAAGTTTAAATGTAAAACATCTCCCCTCATAGTCTACTCTAATTTGATTAAGTTCAAAGGTAAAACATCTCACCTCATAGTCTACTCTAATTTGATCAATGTTCAAAGGTAAAACAATTAAAAACATCTCACCTCATAGTCTACTCTAATTTGATTAATGTTTAAAGGCAAAACAATTAAAAACACCCCTCATAGTCTATTCTAATTTGATTAAGTTTAAACGTAAAACATCTCACCTCATAGTCTACTCTAATTTGATTAAGTTCAAAGGTAAAACATCTCACCTCATAGTCTACTCTAATCTGATCAATGTTCTCCTCATTGTCTTGTTTGTTTTTTAGTAGCTGTTCCTTGTCTGCAAGCTGTTTGGATAACACCTATAAGACACAAAAAAGAACATAAGAAAAGGATTAGAGATGAAAACACACAAATTATGTAAATAGTACTAATGCGGTAATCTTAGTTGATCAATGTAGGAGCTTGATTCTAAATAATTGTGATTGGATCATATGAATTTATTGACCAAACATTCTATCATAATCTCATAAAAGCACTAGATTTTTTTTATCGTAAAACAGGCTTTTTATTTAAGAAGCCTTAAGGTGGGACCTGGTCGACTTAAAGGTCACTGAATAAGATTCCACCTTAAGGTAGGATCATGCCCATGTTTACCTGTAGTTCATTGAAGGCCAATTTCTTCCTCTGTGCAAAGTTGTCACTGATCTCTTTGTCCTCCTCCGACATTGACATCTGTGTTGGGGTATCAACCATCTCTCTGTTACACTACAACACACAATGTAATATACTTCAACACACATCTGCACAAGGATCAGTCCATCTCTCACTTACACAACAAAACAATATTATGAGAAACAAGCTATTAATAAAAGAGCTCTATGGTTTATAACTGGATGTGAGCCACTTTTCAAAAGGTTCTGAGCGCTTTTGTTAAATGTAGGGAGACAATGCCTGATGTTACACTAGAATGGATTATTCTGAATCATTGTATAACTGTATTCTAACTAACCTTGGGAGAACAATGTTTGATGTAACACTAGAATGGATTATTCTGAATCATTTTATAACTGTATTCTTACTAACCTCTTGTGCTTCAGTATCAACTAACGCAATTGATTTATTAAATGTTTTATGGAGCTCTTCACAATGTTCTGTCACTCCTTTGAGCTGTTCTTTGAGGTTGGCCAGCATGGAATTCTGGGTAGCAGCATCCCCTGTATCAGTCTGGGTTAGAGCATCTATTGAGCTGTGGAAAAGGACGAAGGATGTGTTTTATTTATTTTTTCATTCATTAAACAGTAATTTATTCATTTGTTAACATATTTACAAAATAAATAAGGCTCGACACCCAAGTGGGCCAATATAGCCATTTTTAGAGTAAACTTTTATCTGACAATTCTCAGATGGCTAAAATGGATTTAATACTTTGATATTTCAACCTGACATTTGGACTCAGATCTCCCAGACCCACAGCCATTTCCAGTGTTATACAGGTACTTACCCAGCAGATGCCATAAGCTCCTGTATCTGTTCTCCTAACTTCTCTTTCATGGATTCAGCCTCTATCAATTTGCTGCACAGCTGTGTTGATTGGTCTATAGCTGTTTGAAGTTCTTTATTTAATGAACGGTTCTCATGCTGCAACAAAAATGTGAGACTAGTTAACTCATAGCAGTAGCAGTATACTATTTTAGTGAAGGGTTCTCACTAGGCTTTTTCCGGAGTCTAATTTTACATTTTTTTCACATTATTTGCAGTAAAACTGTTTAGAAAATACATAAAACTGGATACAAACAAGGAATAGGAAGTCAGAAACCTTTTAGAAATAAATATTGGGATTAAAATAGCGAGATAATCTTAAGAAGTATGTTGAAAAGTATATTAATAGGATATCTCTGATCTCACATGGGGGAGAAGTAGTCGCGATACCACGGAAAAAGTAGCCACAATACCGCTAAAAATCCGGGGTCTAAAAATTTCCTGGTGAGAACCCTGTAGTGGATCTAAACATATGGTCCACTCTTTTTCAAACAAGGCATTCAAAATGTAAAATGTCACCACCTATTTGATACAGACACCAAAAACAAGAGTTGGAGACTATAACAATATGTCACCACTTTTTGTGGTGACATAAAAACCAAATATGTATTTTGGATGAGTTTACTCACACCAGGGTGAGGCCAATTTAGTTTGTGAACTCAAGGTTCAACGGATGTGTTGTATTTTAGTGTATTTTTATTAGGTAATCCAATAAAAGATAGAGATCAACGATTATTGATCTTTCTTGTGTCAATTCATTGGATTTACCATAGCTTGTCAGTGCCAGTAATTATTCATACAATAAGAAAATGGCTCTATTTCCATAAAAAAATTAACAGCATTAATGCAACAAAATCCCAAGTCTGATATAGAAAATGTACATATACGAGATGATGTGATCTTTCTCAAGGAGCTCTTACATCCACTCTCCCTTTGCTATTTTTGTACATACCTCTAATTGGTTATTTCTGTCTCTGAGGGCTCTTACATCCACCCCCTCCAGTGAACCATTCAGCACCCCAACACCAGCACCACCTATTGTTTGTAGTTGTAAATTCTGCACCTAAAAATAATAACAAATATCCTCTGTAGATTATTCTTAAAGGACACTTAAACTCATGAATCAGACCATTAGTAAATGTTTAAATGAATTTTACAGGTTAGTGAAATTAACTAAGTCTAAACTCGTATTACACCCTATGCAGACAGAGCCTGTGGGAAATATTGGGTGCGGCGCAAATGAGCGGAGGGTGCGGAGCTAACGGTCATTTTTTAATTTAAAATTGGGATATTTCTGAAACTAAGCCGTTTTGGGACTTCAAATATATCAAGATATGTGTATTTGACACCAAATATCAATAAAATTGTGAAAATAGTAGTGCAATTCATTTTATAGCGACGCAGTATGCCTTAAACATTTCCCAGACCTATATATTTTGAGACTATCCTTTTAATACTGCGTCCCCAGCATTCATAATAAAAAATGGTGTTCAAGATACACTACCCATGCAAATTATTTTTGCATCTTGGAAGCCAGGCAGTATCTGTGTGATTTCATAAAAATTCGGAAATGTTCTTCAGATATGAGCCCCTCTAAATATTGGGTGCGGAGGTACGTTTATGGAGCTCCTCCGCACCCAATATTTAGAGGGGGCTCATATCTGAAAAACATTTCCGAATTTTTATAAAGTCACACAGATACTGCCTGGCTTCCAAGATGCAAAAATAATTTGTACAGATAGTGTACCTTGAACACCATTTTTTATTCAGAGAATATTTCCAACCTTTGATATATTTTTCGGAAACAAAGTTCATTGACAGCAAATTTTGTGGTACAAGTTGAACATTTTGTGATGTAATTTCATATAATTCAACCCACCAATTGTTTCAGTCTTAAAATCTCAGCAGCCTGGGGATCTCTGTTGACCACTGGTTTATTTTTAATTTTCCTTGCTCTGTCAGCATAACGCAGTGTATTTATGGACTCTTCCATGTTGCTATCTGCTGGGCTGACACAGGCAATCATTACAGTGTGGCTGTTGCCTCCTAGTGAATCTATGGAGAGATTAAAAAAAAATTATAGAGCTACTGGTTTATTCTTAATTTTCCTTGCTCTGTCAGCATAACGTAGTGTATTTATGGACTCTTCCATGTTGCTATCTGCTGGGCTGACACAGGCAATCATAACAGTGTGGCTATTGCCTCCTAGTGAATCTATGGAGAGATTAAAAAAAAATTATAGAGCTACTGGTTTATTCTTAATTTTCCTTGCTCTGTCAGCATAACGTAGTGTATTTATGGACTCTTCCATGTTGCTATCTGCTGGGCTGACACAGGCAATCATAACAGTGTGGTTATTGCCTCCTAGTGAATCTATGGAAAGATTAAAACAATTTTATAGAGCTACTGGTTTATTCTTAATTTTCCTTGCTCTGTCAGCATAACGTAGTGTATTTATGGACTCTTCCATGTTGCTATCTGCTGGGCTGACACAGGCAATCATAACAGTGTGGCTATTGCCTCCTAGTGAATCTATGGAGAGATTAAAACAATTTTATAGAGCTACTGGTTTATTCTTAATTTTCCTTGCTCTGTCAGCATAACGTAGTGTATTTATGGACTCTTCCATGTTGCTATCTGCTGGGCTGACACAGGCGATCATTACAGTGTGGCTATTGCCTCCTAGTGAATCTATGGAAAGATTAAAACAATTTTATAGAACTACTGGTTTATTCTTAATTTTCCTTGCTCTGTCAGCATAACGTAGTGTATTTATGGACTCTTCCATGTTGCTATCTGCTGGGCTGACACAGGCGATCATTACAGTGTGGCTATTGCCTCCTAGTGAATCTATGGAAAGATTAAAACAATTTTATAGAACTACTGGTTTATTCTTAATTTTCCTTGCTCTGTCAGCATAACGTAGTGTATTTATGGACTCTTCCATGTTGCTATCAGCAGGGCTGACACAGGCAATCATAACAGTGTGGCTATTGCCTCCTAGTGAATCTATGGAAAGATTAAAACAATTTTATAGAACTACTGGTTTATTCTTAATTTTCCTTGCTCTGTCAGCATAACGTAGTGTATTTATGGACTCTTCCATGTTGCTATCAGCAGGGCTGACACAGGCAATCATTACAGTGTGGCTATTGCCTCCTAGTGAATCTATGGAAAGATTAAAACAATTTTATAGAACTACTGGTTTATTCTTAATTTTCCTTGCTCTGTCAGCATAACGTAGTGTATTTATGGACTCTTCCATGTTGCTATCTGCTGGGCTGACACAGGCAATCATTACAGTGTGGCTATTGCCTCCTAGTGAATCTATGGAGAGATTAAAACAATTTTATAGAGCTACTGGTTTATTCTTAATTTTCCTTGCTCTGTCAGCATAACGTAGTGTATTTATGGACTCTTCCATGTTGCTATCTGCTGGGCTGACACAGGCAATCATTACAGTGTGGCTATTGCCTCCTAGTGAATCTATGGAAAGATTAAAACAATTTTATAGAGCTACTGGTTTATTCTTAATTTTCCTTGCTCTGTCAGCATAACGTAATGTATTTATGGACTCTTCCATGTTGCTATCTGCTGGGCTGACACAGGCAATCATTACAGTGTGGTTATTGCCTCCTAGTGAATCTATGGAAAGATTAAAACAATTTTATAGAGCTACTGGTTTATTCTTAATTTTCCTTGCTCTGTCAGCATAACGTAGTGTATTTATGGACTCTTCCATGTTGCTATCTGCTGGGCTGACACAGGCGATCATTACAGTGTGGCTATTGCCTCCTAGTGAATCTATGGAAAGATTAAAACAATTTTATAGAGCTACTGGTTTATTCTTAATTTTCCTTGCTCTGTCAGCATAACGTAGTGTATATATGGACTCTTCCATGTTGCTATCTGCTGGGCTGACACAGGCAATCATTACAGTGTGGCTATTGCCTCCTAGTGAATCTATGGAAAGATTAAAACAATTTTATAGAGCTACTGGTTTATTCTTAATTTTCCTTGCTCTGTCAGCATAACGTAATGTATTTATGGACTCTTCCATGTTGCTATCTGCTGGGCTGACACAGGCAATCATAACAGTGTGGCTATTGCCTCCTAGTGAATCTATGGAAAGATTAAAACAATTTTATAGAGCTACTGGTTTATTCTTAATTTTCCTTGCTCTGTCAGCATAACGTAGTGTATTTATGGACTCTTCCATGTTGCTATCTGCTGGGCTGACACAGGCAATCATAACAGTGTGGCTATTGCCTCCTAGTGAATCTATGGAGAGATTAAAAAAAATTATAGAGCTACTGGTTTATTCTTAATTTTCCTTGCTCTGTCAGCATAACGTAGTGTATTTATGGACTCTTCCATGTTGCTATCTGCTGGGCTGACACAGGCGATCATTACAGTGTGGCTGTTGCCTCCTAGTGAATCTATGGAAAGATTAAAACAATTTTATAGAGCTACTGGTTTATTCTTAATTTTCCTTGCTCTGTCAGCATAACGTAGTGTATTTATGGACTCTTCCATGTTGCTATCAGCAGGGCTGACACAGGCAATCATTACAGTGTGGCTATTGCCTCCTAGTGAATCTATGGAGAGATTAAAAAAAAATTATAGAGCTACTGGTTTATTCTTAATTTTCCTTGCTCTGTCAGCATAACGTAGTGTATTTATGGACTCTTCCATGTTGCTATCTGCTGGGCTGACACAGGCAATCATAACAGTGTGGCTATTGCCTCCTAGTGAATCTATGGAGAGATTAACATTTTTTAAAAAAATTTTCAGCATAGCTGAAGTAATTTTTTCAATTTTCAATTTCGTTTTGTTTTAATTGAATACCAAGTACATGTACATTAAATATTGCTAAATATATGCATCGAGACACCTTCATTTTATTTATGCCTCAGACTGAATCTACCTTATATATCAGTTCTTATTTTTACATATAAATTATCCAGCAAATTTCAAGTTGAGGCTACTTTCATTAAACGCATTATTGAAGCATAAAAAGTGAAAAAACTATTATTAACACCTTGCCGGGCCTGTTCTATACTAGGGGTATTAGTGCTAGTTTAGAAGGCTTTTATTTTACTATATTGACCTGAGCAATATGTGACGTCATAGTGGCAGGCCAATATTGGATTAACAGCCTGGCAATGTTCCCTTGGAAATTATATATCATTAAGTGCGTATAATTTTCATTCAGTGGCAGTTCGTTCCTGCTTTTTCAGCCCTGGGCATAAACGGTGGTAATATTACCTTGCAGAAGGCGTGTCAATTTAGAGTCACGGTAAGGTATATGACTTCTCTTTTGTTTCTCATCCCCGAGGGCACTGATGACATTTCCTAAAGCTAGTAACCCCATGTTAATGTTGACTCCTGTAAACAAAAGAAAGATAGTGTGTATTAATATACTTTCATAGTCACACTGCTTTCCACTTGTATTCGTAAATAAATATACATGTACAGCGGTGGCGGTAGGCATATATTTTTGTGAGTCATCATGACTCAGGTAGTTTCAAAAAAGTGAGTCACAAGAAAAAAACTTGAGTCAAAGCTATAAAAGTGTTTTTCTTGAGTAAAAATGCATACAAAATGTAGAAACCACATACAAAATCTATTTTTTGATTTTGTGCATACCTTTTATTGTACTCTTATAGCACATTAACAACTAACAATTAATTAATTAGGCAATTGCAAGAAAAATGTCACTATTAATCATCTGATTATCTGGTCCAGCGAGTCATGGGTGTGAATGGAGTGGGAGAGGAGTTTCTCCCTGTGTGGAGTTACACAAATTGGGGTCAAAGCGTTTCATGTTGAAATTCAACATTTTTGCAATCATTCCAAAGTCTAAAACGGCAATATAAGTCCGACCACAATACTGGGCATCATTTTTAAATTGAATACGGTAGAATCTTGTAATTATAGCTGATCAAATGAAACCGAAAGTAGATTTGTTTTCATACCTAATTTATCATCATTACCCCCCTTAATGTGCGATCGACTGGATTTTCATGTGCCCATTATCTATCTTCATAGGATCAGCTTCAGATCTAGTGAATCGAAGATCTTAACTTGAGGGAGTTAATTGAAAATATTTGGTGAAAACTTACGCTAGATCGGTCGGAATTTGCGAAGGAAACTAAAGGTTCGTAAATCTAGCGTGTGAACATTCAAGGGAAGATTTTATGCGGTAATTTAGATAAATATACGATCACTAAAATCCTTAGAAGGGAGTATGAAATTAATAAATTATTGTTCAATGTTATGTTCGTTTTATTGCATTTTTGATACGCCCCCTAGCAACGTGCTTCACGAGATAAACAAATCGAGGGACCAATCAATGTTTTCAAGTTTATCATTGAATCTGAATCACAGGGCTTTAAAAATTATATGAAATACCGAAATGAGAAAATGATCGGTAGGAAGGAGGCTCGATTGCGCTGAACGAAATGTTAGATTTCCTGAATTAGCAAAATTATAAATTTGATCCATCATGTATTTTCACGTATAGGGATCAATTTAACCAAGTACCAAGCGGGGATTTTGCATGTGAAACAAACGTGCGTCAGAAAGACTCGGTAGACAATGAATATTTGTGTCAGAGTTGCAAAAATGTGAGTAAAAAACGTAAAAAATTGCGTTAACGCCACCTCTGATGTACGAGGGTTGTCCCAGAAGTAATGCACTATATGTTCTAACTTTATCAATAATGGATATTTTTCCATGGATTTTTTCATTATTTGTATTTGGTTAACAACTTAACATCATGCTGAATAAATTTAACAATATCCCTAACATTTTGATCATTTAAAAGAAAGAAATATTAATAAAATAACACTTTGGATCTTTCATAATTAGAAAAATTGGAACCTGGTGGAGCACCTGTCAGCCTTGATCTAATTTTTATGCTTATTTCATACTTTTGTACAATTACTCGGGGTGGAAAATTTTCTAAGAGGCTCCGTTAAGGAAAAAATGACTTTTTGAGCTGGATGGAATTTCTGTGTATTTTCTATTCTATTAGGGTGTCCTGCATAACGGATTTCGCCTGCGAAGCATAGAACTCTTGCGAACATATCTAAATACTGGTCCGAAGAAGACATACCTTGAATTTTTTAGAAAAAATTGGCTAAAAATGGAAACTACAAGAAGTCAAAATGTTCAACTCAAACAAAGTTGTAGCTATTCTATATCAATATTTTGTGTTATGCAAGGTTTCTCAGATGTTTCAAGACCTTCATTAGTATACTTGTGTCTAGAAATGTGACATTTAAGGACAAAATTTGGCATTTTTAATCATTTTCGCTTTCAGCATTTACATATAGTTCCTTATATCTCAAGATTAATGCTGACTGGTTGTTGCTTTTTTAATTAAATCTGTGCTTGTACATGTGTTCTTCCATTTAAGGTATAGAAAATGTATAGTGGACAACCAATGCTCGTATGAGAGCTCTCAGATCTCCCCTACCCCATTTATTATGGAAAATTACCGAAAAATATGAAAAAATAAAATAACTTGAAATTATAAACTTTAACAAAGTTGTAGCTATTCTATGTCAATATTATGTGTTATTTAATGTTTTTAAGATATTTCAGAACCTATATCAGTATACAAGTGGCTAGAAATGAGACATTTAAGGACAAAACTTGGCATTTCTTTTTATCATTTTCGCTTTCAGCAGTAATATATAGTTCCTCATATCTTGAGTTTTATGCTTTCTGATTGTTGCATTTTCAATCAAATCTTTTCTTGTGCATGTCTTCTTCCATTTAAGGTATAGAAAATGTATAGTAGACAAACAATGTTCATATCAGAGCTTTCAGATCTCCCCTACCCCATCAATTATGGAAAATAAATGAGAAATATGAAAAAATAAAATAACTTGAAATTATAGACTTTCATAAAGTTGTAGCTATTCTATATCAATATTATGTGTTATTTAATGTTTTTAATATTTTTCAGAACTGTTTTTGGTATTCAAGTGGCTAGAAATGAGACTTTAAGAACAAAACTTGGCATTTTTAATCAATGCTGCTTTCAGCAGTAACATATAGATCCTCATATCTTGAGTTTTATGCTGACTGGTTGACGCATTTTTGATTAAATCTGTTCTTGTACATGTCTTATTCCATTTATGGTACTGAAAATGTATAGTGGACAAACAATGTTCATATTAGAGCTTTCAGATCTCCCCTACCCCATCTATTAGGGAAGATGACCGGAAAATATAAAAAAATAACTTCAAACTACCAGTATAAACTTTAACAAAGATGTAGCCATTCTTTATGTGTTATTGAATGCTATAATTATTTTTTCAGGACCTTCATTGTATACTAGTGTCGAGAAATTAGACATTTAAGAACAAAATTTGTCATTTTTCATCCATTTTTCATCATTTCCACTTTTAATAATAACATATAGTTCCTTATATCTTGAGTTTTATGCTGATTGGTTGATGAATTCTGGATCAAATCTGTTCTTTTGCCTGCCTACTTTGATTTAAGGTATTTAAAAAAGGTCATTATATTAGAGCTTACATATCTCCCCTACTTCATTTATTCTAAAAATAACCAGAAATATAAAAACCAAACAATTCCAAAGTATAGACTTTAACAAAGTTGTCGCTATTCTAGTTCAATACTATTTTTCAGATATGTCAGGAACTTCATGAGTATACAAGTCTAAAAATTAGACATTTAAAGTTGAGTTGCAAATGGGGCGGGTATTCTCTATCTTTGTCAATTGGGCTTTTCTGGTTATAATATGTTGCAAACTGCTCATGAATCTATGCAATTATAGTAGAACACTTGGAATATATATAAAAGTAATGGAGTATAGTAGTGTGATAATGATAACCAGTGATCAAGCCATATTGATTGAATTCCCTCATATCAATTGCAATGTTGTCAAAGGCTTGGTGATTTCCATATTACACCTAAGTGTGGTGTAATTAGGAAGTTCATGATGGATATTGGTTACTGTACAGGGTGTCCGGAAAGTAAAGATACAAATGCTCTAATTTCAATAGATTTACCTGTTGTAAGATAAATTGCTACAGATTATAGAATGACATTAGAACAATTAATCCTGCAACTGTCATGACAATTTGTTTCAAAATGAAAAAGTTATGGCTGTTATGGTAACGGTAGTCCCTGGTATGTGGAGCAGCGTCACAATTATGTTTTATAATTTTTTTCTCCTGCTCATATCATCTTGACACTCCATCATCTGTTGTATTATACATCAAATTATGTACCACAACAGCAAAAGAAGTAGTACTGTAACATTATTTGGTCATTTGACATTACTACTTTTATCCAGTATTATGTATTTCCCAACATTATCTAAACATTCATGGTGCATCTTGACCAGAGATTTAAGACCTGACAAAACCGCTGATGTCCATCTTTCAGATTACTGATAAAATAGGTTTCAAGCAGTCTCATTTTCTTGTTGAACTTCTAACAAATATTGCTTTAAGATTTTCATTAATGTAGGAGTCCAACGGGACCTTATCAGTGTAATATGGGCCATTGTACAAAAAGGTTTAATTTCAAGACATTCAATTGTAAGGTTTGTTTTCTTTGCTTTGTGAATTGGTGCATTCAGGAGGTGCACTATTGACTTTCCTATTAATCCAGGGACCTTTTTTAAGCACTTAAATAATTTTTCTTTGATTATACTGCTTAGTGACTTTATATATTTTTATTTTGTAGTTATGATATGCATCAGTGATATCATTAGTCTAAAGAGAATACTATGGCAGCAAGAATCAATATTGAACAAAACAAAACATTGATAGGAAATACAATAATAAACACTGTTTCAAATGGTTAAATTCTAGCAATTTATGATAATTTAGCGATATCATGGAACTGCTCCGCATACCCCTAACCACCCCTGACCACCGTAATCATGACAATCGTAAATTTAACACGTTTATGTTATAAAAGTTGGTAGATGAATTGTAATATAGTTCCTCTATAATCTGAACCTAAATCTATTAAAATTAGAGTGTTTGTATCTTTACTTTCCGGACACCCTGTATCTCTATGGGATGAATTTCACTTATGGCAGAGCTGCTATTGAACTTTGCAAAACTGATGGTTGCAACAATCTATCAAATACTGATCATGAAGAAGTTGACACTCTCCTTATGGCCCATGTCTACTACAGTGCTGCAGACAAGATAAAGGAATTCAATGTTGAGAGAATTTGTATTCAGTCTGATGATACAGAATGTTGCTTGCAAAGAAGGATGAGAGTTAAAAAGAGCTCTTAAAGTTTCTTATGTCCTTCAAGGTAGCATTCTAAATTACTATATGAATCTCAAAGTGCAATACCTATTTGAAGATATATCAAAGATGGGTGTCTTGTACCAGTACTCACAAACAAACCTTCGTAGCAACACAAGAAACATATGTCCTTGGCAATTCGCAAATGTAAAATGGCAAAAGGCAGGGAAAATTGCATATACAAAGTTTCTAGTCAAGGGTGTATTGCTACTTGTCCATGTGGCAATAAACAACATAGTGCACATTGTTGGACAACATTTCAGGATGAGTTTCTCAGAACTATAAAAATTATTTAGAGATCTTACATATCTGAATATATAGCTTGTGGTGTCACGAGCAGCTTAGACCTTCAAAATGACTTAAATGCAGCTCTAACATAGAACCAGGGAGATTTGAAAAATCAGGCTGTTGCTGGATTAAGTTCGAGAGTTGTGAACAATCATGTAATAGACATATCCTTTGATTCATATGAGAATAAACTGTGAAATAACAAAATTATTTCGCACTATTCTATTTTTGAGTAATCTTTTAAAAATTTGGTAGTGTAGTAATTTTATCTCTAATATGTATATTTGTGTTTAAAACACATTTCCCATGCTTTGAAGATAACAAGACACATTATTGAATATATATGATCTAAAATATGTCAACTAATCCCCATTCAACGAAAAATATAAACAACTATTGCTGAAAGTGAAATATTGGTCATTTTGCCCATTTATGTGTCATTTTTTGATTTTAGTGTGCAAATAAATGTGCTAAACTTTTGAAAAGTTTAAGAATATCAACATACAATAATAACATTTGTGTTGGTTTTCTTATTAAATGGTGGAGGGCAGATCTTAGTCCTCTAATAAAAACATTCGTTGTCTTACATACATTTCCTTTAACTTAAATCAAAGAAGACAGATTCAATATATGAATCTATCATCAAAGAATTATAATTGTGGAAAATTATATGCTACTGCTAAATGCAGAATGCTAAAAATGCCAAATTTTAGGAACATGTAATCAAATGAAGGTTACATTAAATAATACATAGTATTGATAGAGAATAGCCACAATTTTGTTAAAGTTTATGTTTTGAAATTACTTTTTCATTTTACATTATAAATGGGGCAGGGGAGACATGAAAGCTCTAATATCAACATTGGTTGTCAAATATACATTTTTTTTTATTATCCTAAATGGAAGAAGACATGTACAAGAACAGATCTGACCAAGAATGCACCAACCAATCAGCATAAAACTCAAGATATAAGGACCTATACGTTATTGCTGAAAGCGAAAATGAAAAAAAAAAGTTTTGTCCTTAAATATCTCATTTCTAGGCACTAAAATACTAATGAGGGTCCTGAAACATCAGAAAAAGATTAAATAATACAGTATTGACATAGAATCGGTACAACTTTGTAAAAGTTCATAATTTGAAGTTATTTTACTTTTTATTAATATTTTCCGGTCATTTTTCCTAATAAATGGGGTAGGGGAGATCTGAAAGCTCTACTATGAACATTGGTCATCCACTATACATTTTCTATACCTTAAATGAAAGAAGACATCTACAAGAACAAATTTGACTAAGAATGCACGAACCAGTCAGCATTTTACTCAAAATATAAGGTCCTATATGTTATTGCTGAAAGCGAAAATGGTAAAAAGGCCATGTTTTGTCCTTAAATGTCTCATTTCTAGGCACTAGTATACCAATAAAGGTTCTGAAATATCTTAAAAACATTAAATAACACATAATATTGATATAGAATAGCTACAACTTTATTAAAGTTTATGGTTTCAAGTTATTTTATATTTTCATATTTTTCTTATAATTTTTCATTATAAATGGGGTAGGGGAGATCTGAAAGCTCTAATATGACCATTGGTGGTCCACTATACATTTTCTATACCTTAAATGGAAGAAAACATCTACAAGAACAGGTTTGATTAAAATTGCAACAACCAGTCAGCATAAAGCTCAATATATGAGGAACTATATGTTACTGCTGAAAGGTAAAATGATTTTTAAAAATGCCAAGTTTTGTCCTTAAATGTCTCATTTCTAGGCACTAGTATACCAATAAAGGTTCTGAAATATCTGAAAAACATTAAATAATACATAATATTGATAGAGAATAACTACAACATTGTTAAAGTTTATAAATTCAAGTTATTTTACATTTTCATATGTTTCAGTAATTTTTCATAATAAATGGGGTAGGGGAGATCTGAAAGCTCTTATATGACCATTGGTGGTCCAATATACATTTTTTGTATCTGAAATGGAAGAAGACATGTACAAGAACAGATTTGATCAAAATTGCAACAACCAGTGAACATTAAACTCAAGATATAAGGAACTATATGTTACTGCTGAAAGCGAAAATGATCAAAAATGCCATATTTTGTCCTTAATTATCTTATTTCTAGACACTAGTACACTAATGGAGGTCCTTAAACATCTGAAAAACATTAAATAATACATAGTGTTAATATTAAATAGCTAGAGTTTTGTTTGAGTTGAACATTTTGACTTTTTGTAGTTTCCATTTTTAGCCTATTTTTTCTAAAAAATTCAAGGTATGTCTTCTTCGGACCAATATTTAGATATGTTCGCAAGAGTTCTATGCTTCGCAGGTGAAATCCCTTATGCAGGAAACCCTAATAGAATGAAAAATACAGAGAAACTCCATCCAGCTCACAAAGTCATTTTTTGCACAATTCTCACACCTTCCACCCCGAGTAAATGTATAGTTTATATGCGCATGCATGTATATTCCACATGCTTATTTCTGGTTGATTCGCATAACTAAATAAATGAAGCAATCAATTTTTGCTGTTGATGTCTTTTTGAAAAATTAAAAATTTACCTTCTTTGAATCTAGCGCCTTCAGCTCTAGTCCTCTTCACTCGCTCAGAGCCTGCCAAATCCACAAGGTGAAATTTGGACTTGCACACGTCATTGCTGAAAAACAACACATAATTTTATACAGCCTGTGTGCATCACTGGAAGCGTTCCTAAGATAATGAGATAATACTGTTCTTGATTCATATTAGTCATTCTAGGTTTTGAGCGACTAAAATTCAAACTTGGATAATCAGTGACATGGATAAAAATGTACTCTATAATATTGTCAAATATTTAAATCTTAATTCTGCATTTGTATGTACATTGCAAGGAGTGCACTGAAGCATATATGCATTTTAAAACTTGTCAAAAAGGTTCAATTTGAACCCCATGTTAAAGGAATCTTTCTCAATAGCATGCTAAATAGTCTACCAATTTTGGTCAACATCTCAATTTAGTGATTGTGAATTAAAACTATTTTATCGAGGTTTAATCGTAAATAAATGGTCAGATCTCAACTTGAAAGGGGTCACACTTAGAAAAATAGCTTGTTTCCTTTAACATGTTTTTACTGCTTTGTTACCAAGTTGACCGATGCTCCCCTGGGAGCGTGTTACTCTGTTCATTTTTGACAGAGTGCAAATAGGGTAATATTTAATCTTTGAATTTTAAATGGGGTGCAGTACAGTGATCTCCCCAGGATATTTTCTCAAGTCGGTGCAAAATTCTCACTTTCACAATTCAGACCAAAATTGGTCAAAATATGCCAATTTTTCTCATTTTCAAGTGAGTGCAAATGGATTTCAGGTGGGTGCAAGGCTGTTTTCAAAATCTCAGGTGGGTGCTGCGCCCACTTGCTTTAATCCTGGGGAGACCACTGACGTAGTTGCTCTCGTGCTGTACTTGCTGTACTGTATTAATTTACCTGTCTGTTTTATTATGCTTCAGTACACTTATTGTGAAGATGGCATGTGAGCGTGATGATGTATTGTTCATGGCAGTACTACCAGTTGTACGTAATAGTGAACCCTGCTCTAACATTGTGATTGTCTCTGTTAAATTGGATACTTGGACCTCAGTAAGACCAGTCAACTGCAATATCATAATAATAATAATGACAATTTAAACATGTGTCGGCGAACATATGCCATTTAGGTTTATGAATTATATACAACTAATTTATTTTTCTCTGAACTATATTTAATTTATTCATCTATTCAATAGATGTTTAAAAGAACATCTGTATCAATGTTTTTCAAATTACTGATGAAGATGGGTGGATGCCCACTAGAACTTCTCCAGAAGAAATAATGTTCAAAGAAAAATACTTATTTTTGTTAAACCTGTAAATAGATGTGTCAACATTTAGGAGAAAAGTTTCTTTCTCTTATATATGTTTATCACGTTTAAGCTTCCAATGACATTTTAAAATTCTCCGATATCTGAAAAAATTCAGAAACCCTGACTCATTCAATATCTCAATGCTTAATAGCAAAAATGACGATACATATCCCTAGATTTTTATATTAATTAAGACAATTATTCATGCATGTATTAATCTTACTTACAATGATATCTCCTTTGACATCTTCCCTTATGGCTACATCTTCTTTCTTACTTGATGACGACAGTAGATCATGTAAGTCTTCATTGTGAATCTGCAACATAAATAATAAAGTAAAATAAAATACAGTGAAGCCTGTAAAGAGGAACACCTCTAGAAGTGGAACACTTTTCAAAGTCCCAAAAACCAACTGACTTAATGTAATGAACCTACATAATTGGAATTCCTCCCAAGGTATTACTGAATATAAATATATCTGAGTTTTGTTAAAGCTATTCAAATGAAGGGAACAACTTAAAGCAATAAAATAAAAAGATTTGATTTATAATGCATCGCCCACTGGACATACTGGACACTGCACATACACCAGCACAAGATGACAGCAATATACAACTTTTTGTGCAATAAAACCATCTGACCAATCAAATTACTTACTTCAAGGAACGAGACTTTTATAACAAAGTCATAGTCTGGTTGTTCATTTATTCCCTCAAATAGATCTTGAACAACTCTTGGGATAACACCCATATTATCTCCATCTTTCTCAGGGTTCATGTTATATGCACTGCCCATTGTGAATGTCTTGCCGCTGCCTGTCTGGCCATAAGCTAATACTGTAGCATTGTATCCTACAAACAAGCAGTCACCAGATTTATAAGTAGTAGTTCAATCAGAGTAGTAAATCAGATTACTAATTAATTTTTTTCAGACAGATACACTTATTCAAAGTGTCTAGTATATAGTGTTGTAAATGTATATAATTTTAATCATTGAGAATAAAAATTTAAAATTTTTTTATCTTTTAAAATTTTATTTTTAAATAAAAAATCAAAAAAAAATCAAAACAACATGTGGTTGTGGATACTTTGTGCAAATCTCTCTATTGATTCAATAAAGAGAACTCCTACCTTTAAAAACACCTTTCACTAAGGGCTGTACAGCTTTTGAATAGATGACCTCTTGATCCTGATTGGGGCTGAACACAAAGTCATATGTGAATGCTCTGTTTTTGCCAGCCTGAACCTGTAGCAGAGGAATTAGAATTTAATTACAATTGGGACAGGAGTTTCATAAGAAGGAGGCAGCTAGTCTCCTTGTTAAACCCCCCCCCCCATAACCACCTTCCCAGAAGGTTTGTCAAGATTTGATACGGTATGAAATATAATGCTGACTGAGGTGCTTAAAAACATTAAATAGTGAGGAAATTCCTTTAGTCAGTACATAAAATGAATGATATTACATACCTGGGGTTCACCTGGTATGAATGTAAGACATGGCTGACACCCCTCTACTGTCTCCTTGGTAATAAGTGGCCTGAAAACACATCAATCAAAATTATGTGAAAATTAAAAATTAGCCAGAAATTGAAAAAGCATGCAAAGCTGTATGAACACAAATAGATAGATACTAGGATATTTAAATTGATGACAAAAATTTGGACAATTCGACACCACCTAATTCTTTAAAAAAGAAATAAATGTTTATTTAAAGATTTGCATTCCCCACTGGTATCTGCCGATACAAAAAAGCCAATAAAACCTACACTATTTATAAATCATTTAATGCCACTAGGGTAGCCACTCAAGGGGTGAAATGTCTCATGTTTGCTAATGGGTTTCAGAGTACAGAATTATACATTTCAATCAATCAAAAGTTCATAACAAGTAATGTGCTGAGTACCTGCATCTTACTGCAACTTTCACTGGAATCACTTTATCTTCAGGCATGGTTTGTAGGATATCTAGAAATAACAGTAAAACAGTATAACATCTTCATTTGAAATCAATAAATTCTTCATCGAAAAGATGAAAAATTCAAGTTGGAGAACGACTGATATTGGTGAAAATAATTTGCAATATAAACCAACTTCTTCATAGATATGTACCTCAAGAAAATTAATCCCATTTACTCTAGTTCTGAGTCTTACAGAAACTGAGTTGATGGGTAACAGATAATAAAATGATATAGCTCAAACTAAGGGACAAACACCAGAAAATGAATTGATGAGGACCAAATACTGAAATGACGACACTTTTTGTCAAAATTTTGCTGTTAGGAGTGTCGGTTCTATGGACTATTTTAATATTTGAGCTTGAAACTGCATATGAAAGTGAGATAAAGGAGGTACTGAGTTTATCTAGTTTCAATACCTCCTCTACGTTTCTGGCCTTGCACACATACAATATAACTACTTTATATTTCAAAAGTCAAAAAGTAAAGGTAGTCACTACGTCTATTTCCAAACACCCCCATCAAAAAATGTAGTTAGCTTGGCTGTACTGCACATCTATGCTATGATTCTATATATATTATGTGTATTATCCACTGTAGAATGCATTTGCAGAAAAAATTACGAAAAACTGTAAAAAATATCTGGTTTATTCCATTTTTACTACAAGGTATTTTAGGGGGGTAATTCAGAACAGGAGTTTTACCGAGTTTTACAGTGTGTTACCGACTTAAGGTTTTCCCCTAGCATGGTGTAATTGTGCATGATAGGGGATTTACCTTTGTGAATATTTAGCACATAGCATTTTGATGGATGGAATTTCATTTGCCATGTTGATGCCCAGGAGACCAGTTTATCAAGATTCTCCTGTAGTGTTAATGCATCTTGCTTGCTTTCGACTGTCATAAATAAAAGGCTGTCGTCAGCAAAAAGCTTAAGACTGGCTGAGGATGATAGGTTATTGCCCATATCATTGATATAAACAAGGAAACAGAGTGGTCCAAGAACTGTTCCTTGAGGAACTCCTGATTTTACTGGAGTTTTTGAACTTGATTCACCATCGAGCACTACCTGTTGTGATCTTCCCACAAGCCAGGATCTTAACCAGTTCAAGTTATTATTGCGAATTCCATAATAGTCGAGTTTGAGCAAGAGGCGTTCGTGAGCCACCGTGTCAAACGCTTTGGAAAAGTCTAATACCAACATGTCTGTTTGTTTATTGTTGTCGAGGGCCCGAGCTATATTCTCTATTGTATTGACAAGTGTGTTTCACATGAGTGCTTTGACCTGAATCCATGTTGGAATTTTACTAGAATTTCATAGAGGTCAAAGTGGGCCATAACATCACCCCTGTCACCCCTGCATATCAAGAAACCCAAATTTAAATCATTTATTACTGACATCTATTTATTTAAACGCACAGAGTTTGTGGGGGTAATTCCAAACACTAGCATGGGGGTAATTCCGAACACCTAAAGCATCATAATTGATTATTTTATTGTAAGATTGTTGGTATACATCATTATATTGTATCTTTCAGGATATAAATATTATGTAGAGGTATTAGAGGTACTATTATTCAATTCAATGATCTGCTTGCCATTATTTGGAACCCGTTCGTGTTAACCCCCCTGTTTGGATTTGGACGTATTGACTCTACTACATGTACCTTTGCACATATTTCTGACCCCAATCGATTCTAAACACCAGCCTAAACATTCTCTCAAAGCTATAAAAGTTGTAGTTCAACGTCGTTAAACTCAATAACGGCGTTATTTATTATTAAGAATTTTCTTGGGGCCATTATTGAGTTTAACCTCTTTTCTATTCTTTCCATTGATGCAAGTTTTGGATCCACCGAAACCATTTTTTCGCGATAACATGCAACTGATACTTGACAACAATATAAAAACACATAACATCAAGCGATTCAACACAATATTATTGTATTAAATGGTCATTTATACAAGTAAAATGAGGTTAAACTTACCAATCTCTAAAATGACATTTCCGCATGTCCTTCATTGTGTCTGTTCGTCCCGGGTTAAAATTTAAACTATTGAAACGAAATTGTTGTCAAATAGATTGATAATTATCACGCGATTACTCGGGATAAAATAGCCATTTTTGAGGATAGCAGGTATCTTTGATTGATTTATATAGCGCTTGTATACACACAAAATCGTTATTAATTGCAAACCTACTGTTCGTTGATGCAGTGTCGCAATGACGGTTAATTCCTGATACGATTTGCAATTTCGATGTTACCGGAGCTGACCGATATTTTCGTAAAATTCCAAACCTGTCTCCAATATTTTCGTAATTATGCATCAATATGGTCTAAGGGGGGTACGGGATGGTGTGTATGTATTTATAAGGTATGTATGCATGCTTGAATCACATTCTTTATGTAATATTACCATGTTTTCGGAGTTTAATTAGTTCCGCATGTTGAAACCTGCTGAACGATTAAATGATCGCAACAAGGGCAAAATCATCATGGAAGTTAGACCTAGCCGGGGCCATAAGACATGTCAGATAAGAAACGAGGCCCAGGCTAGGTCTAATGTTGTTGGACTATAAAAGTTGCAGCAATGGTTGTTTCAAATTACAGAGGTATACACTTTAATCTTTAATCGACCAGTATTTCAAAATATCAGCCATCAACTCGAACATTTGTAAACGACCTGAGCACACTCATCTGGACTTGTAGGCTAGTGTAACAGGAATGTGCTTAGTTCAATGTAGCTTTGTCAGAAATAATTCCTAAAGTCGAGGGCAGATATTTTGAAATACTAGTCTATTAAGATTGAAGTGTGTACCTCTGCAATTTGGAACAACAACTTTGGCTTTGAGAATAAGTGGTCTGAAATCAAGTTCAAAATCAAATGATGAATTGAATGAAATTCAGGAAAATTCGATTCTCAATTCAACTGACTTCAGTTCCACAAACTGCATAGCAAATAGGTTTTTAACTCACCTGTTACGTAAACAAATATCTCAGCATTGACTAGTTTAGACTATAAATCAATAATTCATGTAAATCGACAGAGGAAAACATGTAAATGTCTATATTTTGTCCTGGACGATTTTGAATTTGACCCAAAATTCTAACGATCTGATTGGTCTTTTACTAAAATTACGAACATAATTTTGTTCGCTTTTTGTTATTTTCAGTGGATAATGACCATTTTGTTCTTTTTCCCAAATCAGCTATTCAATTTCATGACGGTAGAATGTACAAATCATAACAATTTTACATCATTCGTGACTTATTTGCGTACAATACAAAACAACAACCTTTATTTCTCTTTCCAAAATATTAATTAAATAATAAATGCGTTCGTAATTTTGATAAAACATGGGCACATCTTTTGATGACGTCATCTAGCAACTACACAAACAATCTGAAAAACGAGCACTTTGCAGACAACTTTAAGGTACTTTTAGTATACTTACTGCACTTTTAGAATGATTCTGATTTGCAGAGATATAGGTTATCTATGGTTCTTTCATACATTTCAATGTGTTTAATTTGGTTGCTGTGTAAGTGACAGAATTTCATGTTCAAAATAATTTGATTTTTTAAAATTTTTCGTTTTTTTAAAAATCTCGCTCATATGATATTGTATACCATTTAGCTAAACGTACAATTTTATGAATATATCTAATCCTATTTCCTAAATTCTATATGTAGGCCCTGTCACATCAAAAGTGTGATGGTTTTGATGCTTCCCAGAAACTGAATTTGAAAATGAAACCTTTTTTGAGCTCTCAGGCAGCCGCTCAGTAGTCACGTCAGCATGAACCATTGAGCGTGTTTGTAATAATTCACTTCACCTCCTTCCACCTTGATTTGAATCAATGGATCAAATTTCCGGAGTTTAAGGTCAGGGTGCATGATGGGAAATTTTCTGTATTCCTCAATTGAGTCACATGTTATTTTTCAAACAAGAATCACTCCTTCCCCACATTGTCTATATCTTCCAGTTTTGCACAAAGAGTGCACTTATGTGCCACGAAAAGACTTGTGAGAAGAATGTTTTGATAAAGTGTATAGAAAACAAGAAAATTCAGTGAAAAAAATCAGAAAAATTTCAGAAATTTTTTTCACTGAATTTTCTCATTTTTTATACATTTTACAAAACAAACCTTCTCACAAGGCTTTTCTAGGCACATAAGTGCACTCTTTGTGCAAACTTGGAAGATGTAGACAATGTGGGGAAGGAGTTATTCTTGTTTGAAAAATAACATGTGACTCAATTGAGGAATGCAGAAAATTTCCCAACATGCACCCTGTCCTTAACCTCAAATTTTAACATAAGTATTTTTCTAAAAAAAATACGGACTCATTATTATATTTTTTAAAAGTCCTCTATAAAACATCAAATGAAGCCAAAATTAGCTAATCTTTTGCAATGTTGTAAAATGGCGTCATCAATACACATTTCAAATCGTGACTTCATAATCTTGGTAATGAATTCTTGGAATATCATCATCTGTGATGTCAGACATGAATTGCCCCATCAACAACTAAACAAAGAAATAATGTAGACTTCACTGATTGGTTAAAAGTTTCTTCACATTGTTTGTGACACCATAGGCATGTTACCTAACCAACAGCAAAACAAACAAGTGTTGTTCAGTGCCTTGCTTGTTTTTTTTGTACGGTGAATCAGTTAACATAAAACAATAGGATAATCAATCGATGTACCTTTTTGAGGTTTGTTCCAATTTCAGTTCATCGACTGTTCCTGCGACAATTTGAAAAATAAGATCGAGACTAAATTCAAACTTTTTCCTAAGTGTATACTGGTATTCCACATGCCATGATCTCGGGCTCAAAGAATTGGCAAAAAGTAATTTCTTGATTGTTATAGTTTCTATTTCTATAACAGTACAGATAGCAATAAAACTAATCATGTTATAAGTCTATAAACTTAGTATACTAGTAAGAGGAGGGAAAGCCCCAGAGTTTCAAGATGACAGACATAATTACCTCTCTTGCTTACCACCTTCGTTCGTTCGAATTTTCATCGGCTCGTTATCAAATACTACACTTCGATGGGATGTTTTAATTGATATAGGCATATTCCGTACACCTTTCTTTATCTTGATGTGAAATGAGAAGCTATGATATTGGTTAACACGCCAGAAATGAACATAATATTATTCGAAGCGTATTTCGAAAATTTTGAAACCACCATTGATGACGTCATTTGTTTGTCGACTTTTGACCAATCAGCGACCGTGTCATCTCAATACAGATTTACATTATAAGCGTATGTCATCTTTGAACCCTGGTGTTTCTCCCCCTCTGTATACTAGTATTCGCTGAACTATAATATATTGGCTTCATTGCATGTCAAGAATACTTTCAAATTGTATGCATGTAAGATTTTGCATCAGTGAATTTTAAAATCCTGACAGATGTTAAGCCTAATGATATATAATCTACGCTACTTTGGATTATAATCCAACCATCAATATCCTCAATTTCTAGTAGCGTACATGTTATAACCATTTTCATTTTAGAATGGGTACCCACAAAAGATTTTCAATGAGTTCATTTAATTCCAGAAATTTAAAAAGCACAATGGGGAAGAAGATCAAGAAAGAAGACAAAGCCCCTCCAGAAGATGTGGTGAGTACTAAATCTCTTGGGAATTTTATATTGAGACTTATTACAGGCCCGTAGCCAGGATTTGTTGCCAAAAAGGGGTTCACTTTTTGAAAAATTCCAGGGGGGGTTCACTTGAAATAATTCTGGTTCAAAATGGCCAAGATCACTAAAAAGGTGCTCAGAATGGTAAAAAACTGTATGTTTTTGAAATTTTTTGCCAGGGGGGGGGGGTTCACTTGAACCCATTGAACTCCCCCTGGCTACGGGCCTGTATTATGAAAGCATTGTATTTGAATAGGTTGAAGACCACAGTAGAGTTTCCCATAGGTGGCCATTATAACATTTTACCCTGTATCTTATTAACGATTAGTATCCAAGCCTAGTGCAATATACCACAGTGTTCGGGAGAGACTCGCCTAGCCTGCTATAACAATCTTACCATGGGTTGTCCACCGAATTTTTGAGATAAATAAACTTGAAGACACTAACCCCCTCTATCGTCAGATTTCTCAGAGAATTCTGGTAAAATCACCAAGGTCAAAATCACTCCGCCGCCAGCTTAAAGTGAGATTTCCCACTGAACTTTGGCATGTTTTCAGATAAATCAGGACCTACCTTATAAATATTTAGTCCCAATTCACATCCCAAACGCCAGATGGCGCTCCAATGGGGTAGGAAAGGAGAAAAATGACTTTTTATACAGAAAACCAAATTACTAACGGTAACCGCTAGTGTCCTTACTCAGGACTATATCCTAATAGTAAACTGAATTAGTTTGGTTTCTTTCACCATGGTTATATTAGCATTGTAGGCATTATCCCGATCACAATGGTATATAACAATGCTATATTTGAGAAAATGCACGGGGGAAGATTCAATCCTTATAGACACAGGTCCTTTTAGCAAAATTCAGGAAATTTGATTTTGAGATTTCTTGAAATTTCTTTGGGGTAGGGGTACACCTTACAGTTTGCATCACAGATTGAGTACAGCCAACTGAGGGGAACATGGCCATATGGGGTATCATTGGAAAGCGATTTCTACTATCTTTCGAGTGATATCCATTTCAAGGCGTTCAATTGCATATTATGACGTCATAACGTTAGGGAGAAACAAAGGTTCATTCAAAACTGCCCAGAAGACAATTGAATGGCACGGGAGAATGGAATTCGGGGTGCTTGGCACAATGGCCTCGCCCCCAAAACACCAAAGTTGCTTCAAAATGTCACGATTTTGGTACCATTGTTCAGCTAAGATACAGTCCTTTAATATGATATGCGCTATTAGGCTTCTTAATGAACTTAAAAACCTCAAAAGGGGACAAAACCTACAAAATACCCCAAAAATGCGCCTTCTAATAGGTTGAAGACCACAGTAGAGTTTCCCATAGGTGGCCATTATAACATTTTACCCTGTATCTTATTAACGATTAGTATCCAAGCCTAGTGCAATATACCACAGTGTTCGGGAGAGACTCGCCTAGCCTGCTATAACAATCTTACCATGGGTTGTCCACCGAATTTTTGAGATAAATAAACTTGAAGACACTAACCCCCTCTATCGTCAGATTTCTCAGAGAATTCTGGTAAAATCACCAAGGTCAAAATCACTCCGCCGCCAGCTTAAAGTGAGATTTCCCACTGAACTTTGGCATGTTTTCAGATAAATCAGGACCTACCTTATAAATATTTAGTCCCAATTCACATCCCAAACGCCAGATGGCGCTCCAATGGGGTAGGAAAGGAGAAAAATGACTTTTTATACAGAAAACCAAATTACTAACGGTAACCGCTAGTGTCCTTACTCAGGACTATATCCTAATAGTAAACTGAATTAGTTTGGTTTCTTTCACCATGGTTATATTAGCATTGTAGGCATTATCCCGATCACAATGGTATATAACAATGCTATATTTGAGAAAATGCACGGGGGAAGATTCAATCCTTATAGACACAGGTCCTTTTAGCAAAATTCAGGAAATTTGATTTTGAGATTTCTTGAAATTTCTTTGGGGTAGGGGTACACCTTACAGTTTGCATCACAGATTGAGTACAGCCAACTGAGGGGAACATGGCCATATGGGGTATCATTGGAAAGCGATTTCTACTATCTTTCGAGTGATATCCATTTCAAGGCGTTCAATTGCATATTATGACGTCATAACGTTAGGGAGAAACAAAGGTTCATTCAAAACTGCCCAGAAGACAATTGAATGGCACGGGAGAATGGAATTCGGGGTGCTTGGCACAATGGCCTCGCCCCCAAAACACCAAAGTTGCTTCAAAATGTCACGATTTTGGTACCATTGTTCAGCTAAGATACAGTCCTTTAATATGATATGCGCTATTAGGCTTCTTAATGAACTTAAAAACCTCAAAAGGGGACAAAACCTACAAAATACCCCAAAAATGCGCCTTCTAATAGGTTGAAGACCACAGTAGAGTTTCCCATAGGTGGCCATTATAACATTTTACCCTGTATCTTATTAACGATTAGTATCCAAGCCTAGTGCAATATACCACAGTGTTCGGGAGAGACTCGCCTAGCCTGCTATAACAATCTTACCATGGGTTGTCCACCGAATTTTTGAGATAAATAAACTTGAAGACACTAACCCCCTCTATCGTCAGATTTCTCAGAGAATTCTGGTAAAATCACCAAGGTCAAAATCACTCCGCCGCCAGCTTAAAGTGAGATTTCCCACTGAACTTTGGCATGTTTTCAGATAAATCAGGACCTACCTTATAAATATTTAGTCCCAATTCACATCCCAAACGCCAGATGGCGCTCCAATGGGGTAGGAAAGGAGAAAAATGACTTTTTATACAGAAAACCAAATTACTAACGGTAACCGCTAGTGTCCTTACTCAGGACTATATCCTAATAGTAAACTGAATTAGTTTGGTTTCTTTCACCATGGTTATATTAGCATTGTAGGCATTATCCCGATCACAATGGTATATAACAATGCTATATTTGAGAAAATGCACGGGGGAAGATTCAATCCTTATAGACACAGGTCCTTTTAGCAAAATTCAGGAAATTTGATTTTGAGATTTCTTGAAATTTCTTTGGGGTAGGGGTACACCTTACAGTTTGCATCACAGATTGAGTACAGCCAACTGAGGGGAACATGGCCATATGGGGTATCATTGGAAAGCGATTTCTACTATCTTTCGAGTGATATCCATTTCAAGGCGTTCAATTGCATATTATGACGTCATAACGTTAGGGAGAAACAAAGGTTCATTCAAAACTGCCCAGAAGACAATTGAATGGCACGGGAGAATGGAATTCGGGGTGCTTGGCACAATGGCCTCGCCCCCAAAACACCAAAGTTGCTTCAAAATGTCACGATTTTGGTACCATTGTTCAGCTAAGATACAGTCCTTTAATATGATATGCGCTATTAGGCTTCTTAATGAACTTAAAAACCTCAAAAGGGGACAAAACCTACAAAATACCCCAAAAATGCGCCTTCTAATAGGTTGAAGACCACAGTAGAGTTTCCCATAGGTGGCCATTATAACATTTTACCCTGTATCTTATTAACGATTAGTATCCAAGCCTAGTGCAATATACCACAGTGTTCGGGAGAGACTCGCCTAGCCTGCTATAACAATCTTACCATGGGTTGTCCACCGAATTTTTGAGATAAATAAACTTGAAGACACTAACCCCCTCTATCGTCAGATTTCTCAGAGAATTCTGGTAAAATCACCAAGGTCAAAATCACTCCGCCGCCAGCTTAAAGTGAGATTTCCCACTGAACTTTGGCATGTTTTCAGATAAATCAGGACCTACCTTATAAATATTTAGTCCCAATTCACATCCCAAACGCCAGATGGCGCTCCAATGGGGTAGGAAAGGAGAAAAATGACTTTTTATACAGAAAACCAAATTACTAACGGTAACCGCTAGTGTCCTTACTCAGGACTATATCCTAATAGTAAACTGAATTAGTTTGGTTTCTTTCACCATGGTTATATTAGCATTGTAGGCATTATCCCGATCACAATGGTATATAACAATGCTATATTTGAGAAAATGCACGGGGGAAGATTCAATCCTTATAGACACAGGTCCTTTTAGCAAAATTCAGGAAATTTGATTTTGAGATTTCTTGAAATTTCTTTGGGGTAGGGGTACACCTTACAGTTTGCATCACAGATTGAGTACAGCCAACTGAGGGGAACATGGCCATATGGGGTATCATTGGAAAGCGATTTCTACTATCTTTCGAGTGATATCCATTTCAAGGCGTTCAATTGCATATTATGACGTCATAACGTTAGGGAGAAACAAAGGTTCATTCAAAACTGCCCAGAAGACAATTGAATGGCACGGGAGAATGGAATTCGGGGTGCTTGGCACAATGGCCTCGCCCCCAAAACACCAAAGTTGCTTCAAAATGTCACGATTTTGGTACCATTGTTCAGCTAAGATACAGTCCTTTAATATGATATGCGCTATTAGGCTTCTTAATGAACTTAAAAACCTCAAAAGGGGACAAAACCTACAAAATACCCCAAAAATGCGCCTTCTAATAGGTTGAAGACCACAGTAGAGTTTCCCATAGGTGGCCATTATAACATTTTACCCTGTATCTTATTAACGATTAGTATCCAAGCCTAGTGCAATATACCACAGTGTTCGGGAGAGACTCGCCTAGCCTGCTATAACAATCTTACCATGGGTTGTCCACCGAATTTTTGAGATAAATAAACTTGAAGACACTAACCCCCTCTATCGTCAGATTTCTCAGAGAATTCTGGTAAAATCACCAAGGTCAAAATCACTCCGCCGCCAGCTTAAAGTGAGATTTCCCACTGAACTTTGGCATGTTTTCAGATAAATCAGGACCTACCTTATAAATATTTAGTCCCAATTCACATCCCAAACGCCAGATGGCGCTCCAATGGGGTAGGAAAGGAGAAAAATGACTTTTTATACAGAAAACCAAATTACTAACGGTAACCGCTAGTGTCCTTACTCAGGACTATATCCTAATAGTAAACTGAATTAGTTTGGTTTCTTTCACCATGGTTATATTAGCATTGTAGGCATTATCCCGATCACAATGGTATATAACAATGCTATATTTGAGAAAATGCACGGGGGAAGATTCAATCCTTATAGACACAGGTCCTTTTAGCAAAATTCAGGAAATTTGATTTTGAGATTTCTTGAAATTTCTTTGGGGTAGGGGTACACCTTACAGTTTGCATCACAGATTGAGTACAGCCAACTGAGGGGAACATGGCCATATGGGGTATCATTGGAAAGCGATTTCTACTATCTTTCGAGTGATATCCATTTCAAGGCGTTCAATTGCATATTATGACGTCATAACGTTAGGGAGAAACAAAGGTTCATTCAAAACTGCCCAGAAGACAATTGAATGGCACGGGAGAATGGAATTCGGGGTGCTTGGCACAATGGCCTCGCCCCCAAAACACCAAAGTTGCTTCAAAATGTCACGATTTTGGTACCATTGTTCAGCTAAGATACAGTCCTTTAATATGATATGCGCTATTAGGCTTCTTAATGAACTTAAAAACCTCAAAAGGGGACAAAACCTACAAAATACCCCAAAAATGCGCCTTCTAATAGGTTGAAGACCACAGTAGAGTTTCCCATAGGTGGCCATTATAACATTTTACCCTGTATCTTATTAACGATTAGTATCCAAGCCTAGTGCAATATACCACAGTGTTCGGGAGAGACTCGCCTAGCCTGCTATAACAATCTTACCATGGGTTGTCCACCGAATTTTTGAGATAAATAAACTTGAAGACACTAACCCCCTCTATCGTCAGATTTCTCAGAGAATTCTGGTAAAATCACCAAGGTCAAAATCACTCCGCCGCCAGCTTAAAGTGAGATTTCCCACTGAACTTTGGCATGTTTTCAGATAAATCAGGACCTACCTTATAAATATTTAGTCCCAATTCACATCCCAAACGCCAGATGGCGCTCCAATGGGGTAGGAAAGGAGAAAAATGACTTTTTATACAGAAAACCAAATTACTAACGGTAACCGCTAGTGTCCTTACTCAGGACTATATCCTAATAGTAAACTGAATTAGTTTGGTTTCTTTCACCATGGTTATATTAGCATTGTAGGCATTATCCCGATCACAATGGTATATAACAATGCTATATTTGAGAAAATGCACGGGGGAAGATTCAATCCTTATAGACACAGGTCCTTTTAGCAAAATTCAGGAAATTTGATTTTGAGATTTCTTGAAATTTCTTTGGGGTAGGGGTACACCTTACAGTTTGCATCACAGATTGAGTACAGCCAACTGAGGGGAACATGGCCATATGGGGTATCATTGGAAAGCGATTTCTACTATCTTTCGAGTGATATCCATTTCAAGGCGTTCAATTGCATATTATGACGTCATAACGTTAGGGAGAAACAAAGGTTCATTCAAAACTGCCCAGAAGACAATTGAATGGCACGGGAGAATGGAATTCGGGGTGCTTGGCACAATGGCCTCGCCCCCAAAACACCAAAGTTGCTTCAAAATGTCACGATTTTGGTACCATTGTTCAGCTAAGATACAGTCCTTTAATATGATATGCGCTATTAGGCTTCTTAATGAACTTAAAAACCTCAAAAGGGGACAAAACCTACAAAATACCCCAAAAATGCGCCTTCTAATAGGTTGAAGACCACAGTAGAGTTTCCCATAGGTGGCCATTATAACATTTTACCCTGTATCTTATTAACGATTAGTATCCAAGCCTAGTGCAATATACCACAGTGTTCGGGAGAGACTCGCCTAGCCTGCTATAACAATCTTACCATGGGTTGTCCACCGAATTTTTGAGATAAATAAACTTGAAGACACTAACCCCCTCTATCGTCAGATTTCTCAGAGAATTCTGGTAAAATCACCAAGGTCAAAATCACTCCGCCGCCAGCTTAAAGTGAGATTTCCCACTGAACTTTGGCATGTTTTCAGATAAATCAGGACCTACCTTATAAATATTTAGTCCCAATTCACATCCCAAACGCCAGATGGCGCTCCAATGGGGTAGGAAAGGAGAAAAATGACTTTTTATACAGAAAACCAAATTACTAACGGTAACCGCTAGTGTCCTTACTCAGGACTATATCCATAGGATAAAGAGCATGTATATGGAGATATACTATTTTGAAAGAGGTCAAAAGTCAAAAATGTAGTTATAAAAGTTATTAGATTTATTAATGAAGTGAGAGTTAAATATGTACAAAGAACGAAAAAAAATAATTTTTAGAATTGTATACTTGGAGAATAATATGCCAATGGGGAATATAATATTTTGGAAGAGTTATGTAAATATCTATGTAAAGTGGTCGGAGAATAATATTTTCAAAGAGTCATATGGGAAGGGAAAGAGCTGTATGGGGAGAAGGTTTAGGTACAGAGTTCTTAACTTCTGATGCACATAAAACATACCTGATCCACAACTTTTAACATTTGTAATGTCACTGCACATTCGCATTTGCAAAGCATACATTGGGCAATCCTCAGCTATGTCAAGGATGCAGATGTCATTGAGCACTGCAATGGTTAGATGTTTCAAACACCCCCAATCCATAATACATGTATTATTACTGGGTATGACTACGAGGTGTGAATTTTAATTGTAGTTTGATGCATTACTTGTGGAGAGCCACCAGGCAGCAACTGTTGTGTTGATGCTGGAGAGCCCAGAAGAAGATGTTTTAGCAAAGGCCTGTGAGGCAATATACAAGTTTGTAGAAAAATGTAAGCAATGTGTAATCTAATATACATCCTAAATGCATTATCTTCAGAAAGATCAGTGACATATTATCGAATGGTAAAGTTGTTTGAGATTTAAGTTATTGAAGTGCAAAAATGTGCAACTTCGCTCAAATTATTCATAACTTTTTGAAGAATTTTTTCCTTTTTAAATATTATATTTTTGTATTTTCTCTGTCCAAATTTTCTTCATCTCCAATATTTTCAAGCTGTTGCTGTGCTTTAAACTAAATATGTTTTGTACATTTTTGCATGTTATCTTGGCATTGAAATTATTTACTTGACATATTTATATATCTCTAGATGCTGCTTGTTATCTTGGTGTTATGCACTAAACTGAACTTTTCATACAAATATATCTCTAGGTGATGAGAACAAGAAGGTTCTGCTAGATCTGGGGGCTGTGGATCCACTCTTGAGACTGGCACAATGTGAAGATAGGATAGTACGCAGGAATGCTAGTATGGCATTAGGGGTCATGACTGCTCATGGTATGTTTAGTATTTTTTACATATTTTACATACATAATGAATGAGATATGAGGTGAACCATATACATTAAAACCTGTAAAGTGGAACACCTTTGTAATTTGAACATCTCCATAATAAGAGGGACACTTTCCAGAGTCACATGACCATTTAACTTAATTGTTAAATGAACATCTTCCAAGTGGAACATTTTTGTTGAGGTACCAAAAGTTGTTCCACCTACACAGGTTCTACTGTAATCAGAACACTGTAATTAAGCTACTCGTGAATTAGAAAAAGTGAGGTTGTTCATTTGGTTTTGAATCATTGGTTTTTTGAGATTTTATCATTTATTTTACACTTTTCATTTTGGTGTCAAAAATTCTCTTCTTGAGGTATATTTTATTTTTTGAGGAGTACAAACATAATACGTAATTTTATTCAGTGTTAGGACATTTAATGTATAAACTTTGTTTTATTAATTTTCAGCTGAAGTTCGGAAATGTCTGCGAAAACGAGAAGAGGCAGTTCCTGCTTTTATAGCACTTCTTGCACCAGAGGGTAAGCACATAGTTTGATAAAAATTCATAGCAGGATACAATTGAAGGAAAAAAATAAAAATATGTTTCTGTGAATTTATTGTATACCATTTCAACAATGTACTCATATATCTTTTTTATTGACTTTTAGACTCTAAATACAAACTGAACTAATTTCAGGATACACGTAATTTGAAATTAGATGATTCTGAGAAAAAGTATCATTAATGATTGAAAAGAAAAAGAAAAAAGCATGATAAGAAAGAATCCAGTTCTCAGTTTTCCTTTTGTTTATTGCTTGTGTTGAATTTATTTCCGCCACTTTATCACCCATGTGCCTTAAGCAATTACTCTCCATTTTTCAGAAGATACGGTTGTCCATGAGTTTGCTGCACTTGGTCTCTCCAATATGTCAGCTGACTTCAGTAGCAAGGTGACCATTCAGGAGCAAGATGGTATGGAACCTCTTATCAGATGCCTTGCCTCACATGATCCTGATGTGCAGAAAAATTCAATTGAGGCTATCGCTCTTATGTTGCAGGTAACTATAAACTTGACTTGGGATTTGTAAAGTTGATTTTATTAAAGGTAACTTTCATGCGTAATGGAATATAAAAATTAGAGATCATCCTTCTTTTTGATTCTATTTTGTGTATAGAGTATGGCCTGAATCTTTAATGTGAACACCTCTCATCCGAACATTTCTCAATTTTGTGAACACTTCACTTTCAGTTCTGTCTTCTCTATTGACTTCCATGCATTGAGAATGTGAACACCTGCTAATCAGAGAAAATTTGAGAAAATTTGGCTCGCCCCAGTGGTGTTCAAATAAGACAGGTTTAACTGAACATAAATATATGCATTGCAGGATTACCAAAGTAGAACTGCTGTAAGGGAATGGAATGGTCTTGAGCCAATCATGCATTTAATGAAGTCAGAGTATGCAATAATACAGGAGTTTGCCTTTATATTGTAGGATTACCAAAGTAGGACTGCTGTAAGGGAATGGAATGGTCTAGAGCCAATCATGCATTTAATGAAGTCAGATTATGCAATAATACAGGAGTTTGCCTTTATATTGTAGGATTACCAAAGTAGGACTGCTGTAAGGGAATGGAATGGTCTTGAGCCAATCATGCATTTAATGAAGTCAGAGTATGCAATAATACAGAGTTTGCCTTTATATTGTAGGATTACCAAAGTAGAACTGCTGTAAGGGAATGGAATGGTCTTGAGCCAATCATGCATTTAATGAAGTCAGAGTATGCAATAATACAGGAGTTTGCCTTTATATTGTAGGATTACCAAAGTAGAACTGCTGTAAGGGAATGGAATGGTCTTGAGCCAATCATGCATTTAATGAAGTCAGAGTATGCAATAATACAGGAGTTTGCCTTTATATTGCAGGATTACCAAAGTAGGACTGCTGTAAGGGAATGGAATGGTCTAGAGCCAATCATGCATTTATTGAAGTCAGAGTATGCAATAATACAAGAGTTTGCCTTTATATTGTAGGATTACCAAAGTAGAACTGCTGTAAGGGAATGGAATGGTCTAGAGCCAATCATGCATTTAATGAAGTCAGAGTATGCAATAATACAGGAGCTGGCCCTGCTTGCACTGATCAGAGCTACGCAAGATGGTATGAAATAGATTATTATAAGTTTTCAGATATTGTATGAGTAGGTATTATGAATTGAATGGTGAAAGACACTTTGGTTTGTTCGAAATATTGTTTTCACATTTTCAACATCTTGAGTACCAAAAATGGCACATGAATCTGTCACAAATAACATCATCTTGGAAATATGAGTAAGTTACATGCTGTAACCTGTAACTAAGCAACTAAGTAACTAAGCAACAATTTTTAGTTCTATTTGTGTCATATTGGACCTTTACATGTAAATAAGAGCCAGTGGCCCTATTTTTTTTGATTTGACCTCGTCTTTAGATAGTTGTGTCAGAAATATCACTGGCTGTTATTGTATAGATGGCACAATAATAAATGATATATATTATATATAACAATTATATTTATTTCAGCTGAAAACAGAGCTGCCCTGAGGGAGTTGGAAGTTTTGAGAGAGTTTATTGAGTTTGTGGGGAAACCTGAATATAATGATCTTCATGTACATGCTCTACATGTACTCTCAAACTGTCTCGAGGATCCCGAGAGCATGGAGGTATGTAAAAAGCTCATTGAAGGCCCTGACAATGGCTGACATATGAAAAGTTTTAAAGTATTTTGATAGCCTGATTTAGATATTACTTTCATTCAACTTTGAAAAATGGTTTGCAATCATCACAAATAATTGTGAGGGTTCATGTTTTTATATTTCTTTAATTTTTGATGGTACAATCAATTAAGTGATAAGAACAAATTGTAGTTCAGAATATATTTAGAATCAGACATCTCAAATTACTTTTTAATTCACTTATTACAGTAGAAATCCATAGTAAACATGTTTTATATCTCAGGATTTCTGTTTTAAATACACTGTATGTGCAAATGCTTACAGGGTGAGACATATTCACTGATCTACAGGAGTACATGTTCAATGTGTTTAATAGCTGATTATTTTAACATTTACATGTACTTTTTTTTACATGTACATATGTATGTGCAGGGTGCTTGTGCCCCATAAGAATTCCAAGCCTAGTTAATAAATATCAATCAATTGTGATTTTTTGAATTTCTTAGCAAATCCGTGAATCCGGAGGTCTACAAAGGTTTGTTGCGTTTATTACTGATGTCACCCCTCCAGAGGAAGAAACCAAGAAAGAGAAAAAGAAAGACAAAGGCAAGAAGAAAGGAGACGAAGGTAATAAATACGTAATTAAAATTTAATTAGCCAATTATTATCTGTTCATGATTGTTGGTTATTTATTGTTGAATCTTATGAATCTGTTACATTTAGACAAATAGATATTCGTGTTTTTTTAATGGTTTATTATTATTCAATTCTACGATTTGCGTCAATGTCCAATATTGAATTCTGATTGGTTAAGACATTTTCTAATATCATCTCATCTTTCTGTTACCATGGCAACAGGTGTACACATGAAGCATTTTAACATTTTACTTATGCTATCGTACCATGTGATCCAATACTTCCAGGCCCATAGCTTTTGCCAAAAGGGGTTCACTTTTCAAAAAAGTCCAGGGGGAGTTCACTTTGACAACTTTTGCCCAAAATAAATTGAAAAGTGCCAGAATCTGATAAACTGAGTCAGGGGGGTTAGCTATGGGCCTGACTGCCCCTTTAATTGTACAGAGCTTGCCAATATTTTAACTAATAAAAAGTGAATGCTTTAAAAGTGCTTTTAAATTTTGATTTCATTAATATTTTATTTTGTCCTGTTTTAGATGACAGTAAGTTTTTGGTAAAAAGGATTATATTTATATTAGATGTAATTTATTTATATGCTAGGGAAATTAGGTTATTTTTATATAAATTATATTCACAAAAAGTTATGTAAGCACCATTTTTTGATATTGATACTTACTGTATTTTCAAATCACTTGCTTCGTGTACACTTTATACGTATACATGTTCAGAAAATATCTGCTTTTTCATAAAAGTAATTTAACAAGAGTTTAAGATTATCTAACCCATTCTGTCTAAGCTTACCATGGTCATTGAATTATGTCACAATACTAATGTTAATTTCCTTTTTTATTAAATATTTTAACTTTCACAAAGTTGCACTTGTTGAATATTTTTGATTAAATCGCTGAATGCTTTTCAATACTATTTGCAAATACACGTAAAATGTAATGTACTTTACATGTATTTTTATATGTTGTACTTTAACACCTTTTGTTATTTATTCACAATTTCAGGCAAAAAAGGTACTGGAACTCTAAGAATGACTTTGCTTTCTCTTTAAGAGCTTTGCACAAAACTAAACAAGAAATATTTTCAGATATATTAAGAACTTTTCTCTTTCTATCACTAACAATGGTAAAATATTGAGACACTGTAAGCCCCGGTGGTCTGTATGAATGTACTCTATGATTCAGTGTTATTATTTGTACGGCAAGATACATTTATTCATACATCTGGTCAATTCTTGTAGTCTTACAACAATTACACCCACCCCTTATTCTGAGAAAGTTTGTCAGTCAGAACAGGGAGGGGGGGGCATCCACTTGATAACCCCCATTAACCCCCAGGGTTGATTTTTCAAATCACCACCACAACGACTTGTGTATTGAAATCTTGTAGTTGAAAATTAAAGCTGAATTGGTGGTTATTTAGACAAAGTTCAGCTTTGTGTCAAATACTGACAACATTTTTCAACTACAAGATTGCAATACACAATTAGTTGTGGGGGTGATTTGAAAAATCAACCCCACATTTATGGGGGTACCACTTGATGTAAGACCTAGGAAGATTTTTTGACAAGTTAATTTCTCTCTGATAATTAATCACACCACTAGTTTCATTAATTAAGCGCATTTATACTATATGAGATATAGCAATTGATTAATTAAGGCATACTTAGTTCCTTTGTTAATTTTCTTAAGAAATAACTTAAGCTGAAAACTGCATAAAGCCTCAACTATAGCACAATTCTAGGCAAATTAGTCACTTTGAGCTAAGATGAAGAAAATATTCTTATTCCTATCTTTGGCTAACTTAGATTGACTCTTGCACATTCTCTGCTTTGAAAGGTTATGGAAATAATCATATAGATTATAATGTATCATTCTATTCAAATTAGAAATGCAGTTTTATCTCTTGACTTTACCCTTTTATAAGAATAAGAAAATGCTTTCTTCTTGCTTTTTCTTATGAGGTTGTTGCTTTGGTGCTTTGTTAAATGAAACATCCTGAAAAAAATAACATTTCAACGCTTGCATTGATGCATCATAATTTATATGGGGGACTGTTGAAGGAGGAGACAACAATGTATTGGATTTTTGTTATGATTACGTACCACATATGTTATTAACTCATTTTATATTATTTAGCTGAGCCAAGAATGGCTGCCAGTGTCTTACAGACAATCCCAGGTAGCGTTCTGGGTGGTAAAACTCCATATATAAGTGAAGGTATATACTTGCATGCGGGTAACGTAAAGCATGTGTATGTTTTACTAAATGTTCTACTTCGGTGTCACCAATTATCACTAGATATCATGCATTTCTAGAAGGGCGTAGAATGTGGAATATTACCCATAAGCCTTTATTTTCTTTAGTCACGTTCCCACGTGGCAAAGGAGTAAAATTCTCACACATTAGTGATGGCTTGACTTCATAATAACTTCTAATGCTGTTCACTATGGAGATTTTTCACTATGCATGAATGATGTTGTATATAGTTTTGATTTAAATCAGTCTACCAGGAAAAGACTCAAGAAATACTTCAATTTGAGATGGTCCTTGAGTCCTCCTTTCACTTTCATTGATAAGGGGGAGTTGTGCACCATACTGAGAGAAGTACATGCATGGATTTGATACAAAGCATGTAGATGTAACATAGTATGTTCAACCCCTTGCATGCTTAGATCTAGTTTGGTACTCAAGTAGGAAACTTCAAGTTTTATCTATGGGGCCCGAGTTTTTTAATGTACTAGGCCCCATGTTTTATGTAATAAGCCTCCAGTTTTATACACTAGACCCCTGATTTTATGTACAAGGATCGGGTCCAGATATTTTGTTCAAGATGTCAGAATTTCTCGTGCTTGTGTATCAGTGTTTAAATTGTCATATAAATACATTAATTGCAATACAAACTTATTTTATCATTTTTAATGAACATATTTGTTCAAGAAATTATTGAATGATTATGAACTAATTATTATTACTTTGTCATTTCTTTCTACAGGTTCTTGGTTAACAAGGATTGATGTATTAACATTTAAATCATTACTTTTCTTATATAACTGATTCATTATTTCACTGCCATATTCCCCCCTCTCTGATTGATCCATACCTTGCGTGTGGGACCTAAAGATATGATTAATTTTTGGACTCTGGGGGGGGGGGGCTTGATAGTATCATCGAAAGAGGAACACTTCATATACATAATTGAATATTTTCTATCATTTGTATGATTTTAAGTTGTTTGATTGTTTTACTTAGGTAAAGGAGGTCATGATAAAGATGAACCTGGTCCTCCCTCTAACACACTACCAGAGGTGAAACGCCATGCTTGTATAGCTATAGCAAGAGCTGCAAAAAATGGTAAGGGTCATTACTGCATTGGAGTTCTCTCAGAGATTCAGTAAAACTTTTGTATAGTGATAACCTATGGAGTCATGAAATGTGTTCACTGTATGTAGGTGTTCACTATAAATAGGTGTTCACTATATGTAGGTGTTCACTGTAGATAGGTGTTCACTATATGTAGGTGTTCACTATTAATAGGTGTTCACTATATGTAGGTGTTCACTATAAATAGGTGTTCGCTACATGTAGGTGTTTACTAAAAATAGGTATTCACTATATGTATGTGTTCACTGTAGATAGGTGTTCACTATATGTAGTTATTCACTGCAGATAGGTGTTCACTATATGTAGGTGTTCACTGTAGATAGGTGTTCACTATATGTAAGTTTTCACTTTATGTAGATCTTCACTATATGTAGGTGTTCACTATAAACAGGTGTTCACTATATGTAGGTGTTCACTATAAAAAGGTGTTCACTATATGTATGTGTTCACTATATGTAGGTGTTCACTATCTGTAGGTGTTCACTATAAATAGGTGTTCACTATAAATAGGTGTTCACTATATGTAGGTATTCACTATAAATAGGTGTTCACTATATGTAGGTGTTCACTATCTGTTGGTGTTCACTATAAATAGGTGTTCGCTATATGTAGGTGTTCATTAAAAATAGGTATTCACTATATGTATGTGTTCACTGTAGATAGGTGTTCACGATACAAGAGATGGAAAATCAATCAGAACATAAAGAATTAAAAGAAATATTTTGTGTTATTACAGCTGAAAACCGTAAAATCTTACATGAAACAGAGGCGGAGAAGATGTTGATCTTATTGCTAGGTCATGAAGACCCCACGGTCCAATGTGCAGCAGCCCAGGGTCTGGGGGTCATGTGCGAGAATCTTCTCAGTAAGGAGTCAATAGGACAATGGGGTAAGTAGGAAAAAGCAACACAACAATTGGTAATTGGTGTTTAGTGGTTTGTGTTTAGCATTTGGTGTTTGGTGTATGTAACAAATGGCAGGTGGTGATATTTTGCATGTTTATACCTTGTTAAGATGGACTTGAAGTAGGGTCTGACACAACACTGATTTTCCAGCATTAATCAATACAAGTGGCAATTGGTGTTTAGCGGTTGGTGTTTAGCATTTGGTGTTTGGTGTATGTAACAAATGGCAGGTGGTGATATTTTGCATGTTTATACCTTGTTAAAATGGACTTGAAGTATGGTCTGACACAACACTGATTTTCCAGCATTAATCAATACAAGTGGCAATTGGTGTTTAGCGGTTGGTGTTTAAAGCATTTGGTGGTTGGTGTCTGTAACAAATGGCAGGTGGTGATATTTTGCATGTTTATACCTTGTTAAAATGGACTTGAAGTACTGTCTGACACAACACTGATTTCTGATGTTAAATTAATTGTTAAACACTGATATAGAAAGCGTTATTATTCATTATGTGCAGAATCAGCACTCAAAAATGTACTGATTCAATTCTGGTGTCATTTAGTTATATAAAGTGTGTACAAATGATACCTTCTTTAATCAACTTTAATCTTTAAAAGTCCATCAAAACAGGATCATAGTATGTTCCAGAGGTCCTATGAGCAATGCTTTTTCCCATGTGCAATGCTTTTTCCCAAGGTGCATTTGCTTTTTTCCAAAGTGCAATACTAAATAAAGAACAATTTTAATGTCAGAGGTATATCCCTTTTAAATGACAAGGTCATAGTTCAACATTTTTATAACTTCAGCGCAGTCTGTTATATTTTGTAGATCATATATTTGTGATTTCTTCAACTGGTGTGACCATTTGTTCACTGTAGCACTTGAGTTTCGTTTGGTTGATTGTGGGTCATTTAAATCTTTATCATTTGGGCCACCATTATAGTTTGTATTATGCTGTATCCACTCTGATATATGATCATCGAATTCTATGTTAAGCTCTTTGTAAATCTCCTTGGCTTTTAAAATTGGATTGTTCGCAACATCTTCATATGCGATCTGCTTAATGAGTGGCATCCCTGCTTTTTCACGCCTTGGTAATTTGTTAATTTTTTCTACAAATTTCATGTTTGTCACAAAATTATAACATGTATCTTTCATACTATTTAGTCTGTTTTCTCTATTTGTTATATTTTCAAGGGGTTCTACATATAAATGGTTTCTAGAGTTGTATATACCTCGTGGATCTCGTACTAATAATAGAATAGCTGTGTCATTCCCAAAATATGAGGAAAGATTTTCCAAATTATCCAGTGAGATAATTTTCACCGTCCTCAATTTCTTTCCTTTACACATTTGGTACGTAGTTTCAAATGTATACTCAGTATAATTGTATCGAACCATCCAATAATGCCAGCCTTTAGCTATGTGTGACAGTATCCCGACATCACAATTCAGAATATCTCTCAGTATGATTGCACCATATTTTTGAATTAAATCAGTACGATCCCATGTTCTTATCAGAGGTTTAAGTGGTTCAAAAGCGTAGAATATTTTCTCATTTTGTTTGAAGAGTTCGGACAAGAATGTTGATCCGCTCCTATAGGTGGCCATGATTATGATCTTAGTGGTGTTCACACGTTTAGTTAGTAAATGTTCCCTCTCATTATTTTGTGACGTAGACGGAACTCCAGTTTGAAATCTCTCTATTTTTGAGGATGTTACGCAATGTTTCCGATTTGTTGTTCTTAGGATAAGTGCTATATTGATAGTTCCTGCTACCAAAATTATAAGTAGCAAACATCTCGGACGACGCAATCTTAACATATTATCAAACTAGTTTTCTTGTTCACTGTTACTGTAATATTTGCTGCTATGATATATTTTCCAATTAAAATCTCAATAAATGTCAGATCAGTTCAGCTTTATAATGAACAGTGTTAATGGCATAGACATATCTGAAGGAATATGGGAATCTCATTTTCAAAGAAGCATTGTTAGTTATACAATGGAAGATTTTGCATAACATATACCCTAATGGTACTTATCTGAAAAAAATCTAAAAGGGAAAATAGTGATTTATGCAAACAACGCAATGCAAGAGATGATAACTTACATTTTTTTCATTACTTGTCCTTCTATAAGTATTTTATGGAAGTAGCCATTTAAACGATAATGAAAAGTAAGTTCTGACTGAAATGAAGCCAGATTTATTTTACGAAACACTCATTATTAAGAAAACTATTTATTATTTCAAATATAAGAACTGTGAAGGAAATTTATTGTCTTTATACAAGAGCCAAAAAGCTCTCAGATTGTAAATATTTTGTAATGTACGTGTAAATATGTTATTTGGAATAAAAAATAATGAACAATGTTTCTTTGACAGTATAGGGTGGGTCAGAAAAGTTCGATTTTTTGGTCGGAAAAGTTCAATTTTTTTAAATGTTAGGTTAACATATTTCCGTATTCCATTATATTTGCTCTGTAAGGTACTGAACATGAACATACCCTTGTCAAACCTATTTTATATTAAGATGTTAGTTTAGTGTGTAAAAAAGTATGATCTTCCAAATGTTTTAGGCAGAGCACGATTGCTAGATACTATTATATGTGGTTGATAGATCATTTAGTATACTGTATTTAAAGATTGCAAATGACAGGTTTCACACTTCATTTATGAGAACTTCCATGTGTAGGAAATATGTTACTTTTGTTGTACGATAATAAAATCTCAGATATTGTGTTTGAATGACTATCAATGTAAATCTTATGATACTCATTTATTTTGAGCTATTATATAACCAGTGCCAAATGACAGATTTTGTATGTCATGTCTCTGAGAACTTCCAGGTGTAAAAGGATCCGGAAGATGCATTATCTGTCTGTCGTACAATAAAATCTCAGATACTGTATTGTGTTTGAATGACTATCAATGCCAATCTTATTTTACTCAATTGTTTTCAACCATTTTCGATGATTCACTTAAACATTAAGGAGCTAAGGAACAAAGGAACTATAGAATCTCTTTTCATTTGCATGGTTGTTTTATCTGGATTTCACTTGTACTTTCAGCAAACATTTGTTTTATACGTAACTCGTTGCTCGATATTATGATCGTTATCAAAGATTCCATGATATGAAATGTTCATTTGCATTCAGATATGAATTGCTCAAAACTGAATGCATCACACTGACGCAGGAAATGTTCCATGTTTCAGGATTCTTTTTATAACATACACTGTAGGTTATAATTTAACCAATTCCATTTCTTTAGAGTTCAAATTGAACTTTTAAACTATTTGGAAACTCTTGAGCTGAGATCCACTATATATGTTTGGTGTTAGGAAAGTTAGCAAATGACAAAGGGCTGGATACAATATGCTCCTCATTTTGAGAATTGTCTCTTGAAGGTATTTCACATGACCACAAACCAAACGTTTCTAAGCAGCCTTTGAGATATGTTGTTGACCATTAAGCATTTGGTTCACATTTTCAATAAGTTGTATTTTAAGGCGGTGCACCATTTGTTTAATTGGAGAGGTCATTCTTATACCGCCAACTTTAAATTCCATAATCATCATTCCGAAAAGCATCACCTGTTTGTATATTAGCCATTGGCAAGTTTAAGAGCATTATATAAATATTAATTTTGAAATGGCGACTCTGTATTCTTGCCTCACCACTCCAGGGGTTTGTGAGCAATGGGACACTCCGCAAAAGCAAGCAAGATCAAAATGGAAGATACCTATTACATGTAGTTTATAGAAATTGTAAATGAATTGTACTCTCTGTTAAACATAATAGCCCGGACAGAATTGTTCAATGGTCACTTTTTCTTTAATAACTTTTTTAATTTTCAGTATTATCATAGTCTGATCACATATTTGAAAACTAGAGTAAAATTCTGACATACAAAAAAAATATTTAAGGAACATCTCTTAATTTATTGATATTATAGGCGTTCATAGTATGACTGATATAAATACATAATTCATCATTTTGCCTCATATTTGTTCAAAATGGTGGCATATTTTGTGAATTTGAATGTTCAGTTGAAAGTTAATATACTTTTTATAAACAGTCTATATATAATATGGCTTCAGAAGGTATAGAGCCCCTGTTGAAGCTGATAAAAGTGGACAACCCAGACCTTAAGGATGCTTGCTCCCTAGCACTAGCAAACCTCACAACAGGAAACATGAACAACTGCCAGTAAGTGCAAGCATTCCTGTAATTTATAGTTTTTTTACAATTTCTATAGTTAATCAGTACAAATCTGAAAATGACTTTTTTCTTTGAACTATTTCAATGATGTCTCATGTATAGAAACTGACAGTTTCTTAACTTTTATCACCTAAATACAGCAAAAGCTTGCCATTGATGACAGCATCAGGCTTAATATGCTGACATGTATATGTAAGCCTGTTATACTGTTGAGATATAATCTCGTTGCAACAAACTTCCTGATTGTGTTTGGATTATACTAAGGGGCCTTATTTTATTTCTGTTCAATTTGTTATTCTATTTTTAATTCCTAATTATTAGTTAACATTGGAATATCTTGTCACAATGAAACAAAAGGTTTAACCTTCTACATATGCTAGACACTTTCTCCACAAACATACACTACAAACACACATGCTTTACATTTTCTATAAAAACATGCTTCTTCACAACTTCCCCACAAACTTAGCTACATATCTTCCCTACAAACTTACACTACACACCTTCCCCACAAACTTGCGCTACACAACTTTCCACAAACTTATGCTACACAACTTCCACACAAACTTACGCTACACAACTTCCATACAAACTTACACTTCACAACTTCCCCACAAACTTAAGCTACACAACTTCCACACAAACTTACGCTACACAACTTCCACACAAACTTACGCTACACAACATCCACACAAACTTATGCTACACAACTTCCACACAAACTTACGCTACACAACTTCCACACAAACTTACGCTACACAACTTCCCCAAAAACTTATGCTCACAACTTCCACAAAAACATGCACTTATGAATACCAATGTTGATATTCAAGACAAAGAAATATCATTCAAATATAATAAAGTGTTTGTCAAAGATACCACAGCAAAACATTTTAGAAATATGATTTTGGCAAAAGAATTAGTGATTCCCAAAGTGGAAGAAAAATGGAACCAAATTTATCAAAATTTGAGTACACAAAATTTACCCAACAAACATGTTATTATACAAAATGAAAATTTCGGAACATGAAAACTGTAAATATTGTATAACTATAAAAGACACATATGAACACTTCTTTGTCAATTGTAAAATGGTTAAAGGATTATGGAAAGTTGTACAAGACAAGTTCAATGTAAATCAGAACAAAATATTACATTTGTCAACAAGGGATATACTGTTTGGAACGGAAAATGATGTTATAAACAATTTGGTTTTGATAGCCAAAAATTGTATAAGCAAAAATAAATACGGCAACTATGCAAACCTAGAAATGTTATATGAAAATGAACTATATGTAAGAAAATTGTATGTAAAATTAACTGTATGCTAAATATTGTATGTTAAATAAATGAATAAAAAAAAACCAAAAAAAAACTTCCCCACAAACTTACACTACGCAACTTCCACACAAAAACTTACGCAACACTATTTCAATATATACATGTATAATACAGAGATTTGATAGAAGAGCATTTATTTCAGTGAGATTGTCAACATGGGAGGTATTGTCCCTCTGATTGATCTACTCTCTGAGACAAAAGAGGGCGCCATATCAAATTCTGCAATTATTCTAACAAATATGGCAACAGACGAGGGGATGCGGTCTGAGATTCAACGATTGGGGGTGATTCCAGCCTTAATAGAGCCACTGAAATCTAGGTAGGAAGTCACATGATCAGTGATCATGAATTATTTTCATGCTCATTTTTGACCAGACTGAAATTCTCATATATAGTTGTTTTTATCATATAGTGTAATTTTTTATTCTGTACAGTAAGTTGATGGAGTAATGATATGCACACTTTTAGACCAGTAAGAGCTAGTGTTCTGTTTGTGTTGGGAACATGATTATTTGTCAAAAAGCTAAGATATGATTTCATGTATTAATAAAATGTTCTTCTTAACAAATAACACCCATTTGTTTTGGTAACATTTGTTTGTGTAGTTGTTTTTTGTTTAAATAAAAGCTTGGATTATTAATTTTTTAGCTCAACTAAAGTACAAAGTAAAGTCTGTTTGGCAGTTGCCTCCTATGTTGGTGATTATGATTCACGGGTAGAGTTTGTGGAGGCTGGGGGCTTACCTCCTTTGATAGCACTGTTGCAGTCTGGGAATGATGAGGTCAGGAGAAGTGCATCATGGGCCGTAACTGTGTGCAGTGTGGATGAGAAAACAGCTACTGAGATAATGAAACTAGGGTAGGTGTTGAAGTTGTACTCATTTTAATAGTTTGAAAAAAGAGAGCTTCAGAATTTGGGAGATGGAATGTGTTTTAATTAGAGAGAATATTGTATATATATGGAATATGGTAATGCTAAATAGTTACAGGTGACCTTTAAATGTTTTTTTGTTAATAAACATGTGTCTCTTTTGAAACAGGGGACTGGACATTCTCCAAGAAATTCAACAGTCAAGCACAAGAAGGAATGGTTTTGTAGACGCAGCATTTGAACGATTACTTGACTCAAAATTGTCAGCGAAATATGCACTCACTGGCCAGCTAGGTAAGACTATCAGAAACCGTCACTTTAGGTTTACAGTTTATTGTTTAAAGGTTTCCTGTTTCCAGAAAGAGATTGTTGAATAACTGTCTACTTTTGGGTCACCCCTCGTAAACTAAATCAAACAAAATTAGACAAGAAGTGGTGATATATTGTTAAAGAAGTGGTGACATATTGTTAAAGAAGTGGTGACATATTGTTATAGTCTCCATCTTTTTGTGGACGGTGATCGGCATTTGTTAGTGGCTGGTATAACAAATGGCAGGTGGTGACATTTTGCATGTTAATGCCTTGTATACAATTGTATTTTCAGGTTCATCTAATCTCATATTTGATGGATTTTTTGATGTGGGACAATTAAGACCAGGAACAAAATTCCTGGGACTTGAGGATTATTGTAAACAGGAAGTGAACCAAAAAAGACCCGTCCTCCTTATCAACGCAGAACCTGAGTAAGTCCCCTTTGTGTGGAGAAAACAGGATGTCAAAAATGAAACCATCCCACTAGACAATTTTGTCGGAAAGATGAGTAATACATCATTTAAAAAGCACAAGGATACATTTGTTTTTGGCATCTTGTGAAATGTAAATTTTATGTAAAATAGTCAAGAAAATAGAGAATTGGCATTTTAATATTGACTGTGCAGGTATATATTTTAGTAAATAGATCTTTAAGTTAAAATCCATAGATTAAGCAATACTGAAGAAAATAAGTTTGAAAAAGAACATATTAATGATGTATTTATTCATCTAACATGTGTAGGTAAGATTAATTAAGTAGTTCATGTGCACAGTGAAACTTATTAACTTTGAATCCCTTCCAAAATGAACCTCTCTGTTACATGAAAACTTTTTCATGGTCCACAATTGCTTTTTGCTCAGTCCAAGGATTTTTCACCTTAGTATAATGTATACTACATAGTCATATACTGTATTATATACTCGTGTATTCAGGCCTATAGTCAGGTAAGCCAGAGGGGACAGGAAACTGAAAAAAATTTGTCAAGCTTGTAACTGAGCTAGCTGCTTTACAAATAAGCTCTTCCAAGTTTTTATGCACCACTACAATTACATTATTGGTCCCCCTCCCAATTAAGCCTCAGTTTAGAGAAACTGGCTTTTACACCATGTGTTCCCCAAACTTTTATGGCCCATTTTTCAAAAATGCAAAAAGTCACAAAAATGCCTATTTTAGGCCATTATTTCATGATTCAAAGTGAGACACTTCCCCCTTCTGGCTACAGGCCTGAGAATATGAAAATTGCCATATTTTGAAATTTAATCAAAAAAATTATTTCAGACAAATTAAGGATTTGACACCATCTGAAGCAGATATGATGAAAGATTCTTCCAAAACATCAGTGTCAGGGAAAACATCTCGTACAGGTCGAGACTCTAAATCGTAAGTTCAACATTATAATGATAATTTATCCAACTACATGTAAGCATTTATATTAGAAGTATTTATATCCTGCACTGCAGCTATCGTGCATGGCTTCTGCAGTATAAATATGCGATGCATGCAAGTGAAGCATTTATTTTTTTAGAAATAGAATTGTGTATAGCTTTTCCAACTGCTTTTAAGTTGTTAAAATTACATTAATTAAAACAAAATAGGGTAAGATTTATACATTTACTGATCACAAATTTACATCTTTCTTTGTGTGCATGTGAGGGTAGAGGGCATGGGGTGGGTTATATCAGTTTCCATATTCTTTATATTTTTATCCCTCATATTCAACATTCCATACTAGACCACACGACCCTTCATTAAATTGGTGAATTGTTTTCAATCTTATGGGAAATAGCTCAAGGGAACAATTTTGAATTCTTACATTAATTACTACACTACTGGCCAAAAATGTTGAAATACTAAAGTAAGAAATTAATTGTTTCTGTTTTGATATTTCAGAAGCTCGTAAGTTGATTATATTTTACACAAAATAACATTTGATGATTTATTTGATTATGTTTAACATTCCCACATTTTGTTTGTTGTCTTTCTGTTAGGCTACACACCTTTAACCTCATGTTATATTATTTTCTGCCTCATTTTGCCTCAAATTACACCTCACATTGTTTTATAGCATTTGTCCAACTACTTTTCAGTTACACATCTTTCATCTTCACATATTTTTTCCTCATATTTTATTTTCACCAGGCACTTTTATTACAGTTATCACTTAGACATTTTTAGCAATTATTTCACACATTTTCACAGTTAGCAATTATTTCACACATTTTCATAGTTAGCAATTATTTCACTTATATGGCTCTTCCCATGTTCACAATTTGTACATTGAAGTAGATATCTACACATTTTCACAGTTATCACATTACACTTAGATATTTTAAGCAATCATTTTTTTATTTTACATACACTGTCACTGCATTTCTACTTTTCACAGTTATCACATATTCTTAAACATCTTTGGCAATTTTTCACATATCTACAAATCTTTATGGTTATCACATTACACTTAGATATTTTAGCAATCATTTCACATACACTTTCACATTTTCAGTTTTCAAAGTTATCACATATTCTAAGACATCTTTTGCAATTTTTCACATATCTACACATTTTTACAGTTATCACATTATATTTAGATATTTTTTGCAATCATTTCACATACACTTTCACATTTCCACTTTTCACTATTATCACATATTTAGGCATCTTTAGAACTTTATATTTCACATTTGTACACATATCTGATCACACTTTTACAGCTTTTATAGGAAGCAATTGCACTGCCCACAATAACACTTAAGTGAAGTTATTTAATCTTAATGACATTCTACAGGGTGACCCAAAAAAAATGCAACCCTCCATTTCTTCAATATTTTTCTTAAATGGACGTTAATTGCTCTGAAATTTGACGCACGAAGACTTCATTCAATGTGGGATCCTCTAGCAAAGTTTCAATAATCATAGTCTTATATTGATAGAGTTATGGTCGTTCCAAAATATGCTCCAATTGTCGTCGATTTCCAATGTTAGGTTTTGGGATGAATCACATTCCCTTCTTTCTGAACATGTAAACTCAAGAAATAATGTATTCTGGGATCACAAATTCCAGATGAAGTGCTTCAAAGGCCCTTTCATTCTGTTAAATGCATAGCTTGGGCTGCCAATTTCCAAACATGAAATCATCAGCCCCTTTTGGTTTGAGGTTGATAATGGCAACACTGTTACTGTTAACACACAGCGCAATATTGGCGTTCCCAGGAAGTTCTAGGCAGTCCTAGAGTGACATAGAGGCTTCAATAGACAAGAACAGTGGTTCTAGAAGGATGGAGCTACTCCTTACACTTCTAATGATAGCATAGCCTGATTCACTAGTCATTTCTATGAGAAGATTATTTCTCCTAGGATGGAGAACCCATGGTCATCCCACAGTCTTGATCTCAATGCCCCTGACTTCTATATATGGGGTTATTGAAAGGATAATGTGTTTGAAAATAGCCCTACCGCAATTGCAGAACTCCAACAAGCAATGGCTGCAAATTTGAGCCATACCCATGGGGCAGAATGCATTCGTGTTATGAACAGTTTTCTTTGAACATTGCAAGTTTGTTTTCAGCGAAATTGACGGCATCTGGAGTATATTTTGAAACAACCATAACTCTATCAATATAAGACTACTATTATTAAAACTTTGCCAGAGAATCCCACATTGAATGAAGTCCTTGTGTGCCAAATCTCAGAGCAATTTATCTCCATTTAAGAAACATATTGAAGAAATGGAGGGTTGCATTTTTTTTGGGTCACCCTGTATAATATATGTACTGTATGTATATTTTATATAACAACCAATGTTACACCTCTTCAAATCATGTTTTAAGAAATATATTTGAAATCACTAATAATTAATGTGCAGCATACTATACATGTTATCAGAGTGTTTTGTTTAACAATTAGCAACTTATTTTTGAGTGATTTATGTGTATTTGTTATAATGTTGAGTGAAGCACCTAAATTGAAATACCTATAAATGTCAAGTCAAGAAGAGAGAGGTCTTTGAAAAGTATTATCCTAATTTAATACCTAATATGGTGTTTTTGAATTTTTATGCCTAATATGGTGTTTTTGAATTTGAATGCCTTAAATAAATACATATGCAATTTAATAATATGAGGGAATCAGCAAGTAACTAAATGTTTAATTCCAAGAAGTTCATTGAGCCAACAATCAAACCAATAATTTATCAATATTTATGCATTAATTGGGCAAATTCCAAGCAAATCAAAATCAATAGATATCGAAAATACTTGGTTATGTATTGTCCGTAACTTTGACATTCTGCCATTCTAATTTGGTCTTTGAGACCTGCACTTGATTTCACATTTTGCTAATATCATGTGGGTACTAAGGATAGGTATCGATATGGTGAACTGAAATCAACAATGTTTTTCTCTTAAACCAATCATTGAAAACATTCTGGAAAAAACATGGTATTTTATGTAATTTTGACTGATTGACAACAATTTGATGCAAAAATGATTTAGAAATATTTTATATAACTGTTTTTGTTAACATTTTTTGTTTTTTAGTGCAATTGTTTTTGTTGCTTCTTTCTACCAATTCTTGAGAATGAAATAAAATGTCTTTCCGAACCTTGTTGGAACAAAATAGCATATACAACATGTTTTTTAAACCTCTAATATTATAGTTATACAAAGGAATTTTTGGTTGATTTTAAAAAAGTATTCAAAAATTAAAACAAAATCCCCCAAAATAGATAAAAATCAAGATAAACCTTTTATTTTATTAAAAAGATACTTTTTTAAAATCAACCAAAATTTCCTTTATACAACTACAATTTTGAGAGACCTAAACATGTTGTGTTTATGTCGTTTTGTTCCAATGAGGTTCGGAAAGATGTTTCATTTCACTCTGGAAACATGATACCAAGAACAAAACAAGTGTTTGATGTGTTTTCTAAAACAATATAGATGAAAGTATATATATATATTTTCAAATTATATTGTTACCATTCAAAAGATGACCATTAAATGGACGATGTGTCAAATTTTTAGATTTTTTTATGACTGGTTTAAGAGAAACGTCTGTTCAAAAAGTTCACCATATTGATACCACTCCTTTTCTGAAAACTGTGATTTCACATTTTGTTATGTGAATTCACATTTTGCTAATGCATGTGATATCATATTGTGCTTAAGCATGACATTTCACATTTTGCTATATACGTTAATTCTTATGCTAATTTAAATATTTTGTTCGGCTCATGTCTAGGGGGTAAGTATAAAGAATTTATGTCCCAGTATATAGGCGTTACTTTTATCCTTCCGTAGTCTTATAATACTAGGGCATCAAGTATCTGTATCACATTTGTTACAAGCTCCATTGTTAAATCTCCGTAGATTAGTTCTGTCTCATTGTTATATGTTTAGTTCTGCTGTGGCTATGTATTGCATTGTTACTATGAATTATTATATTTTTTGTATAGTACTGCAATAATAATTTTGTATAGTACTGCAATAATATTTTTGAATAGTACTGCAATAATATTGTAGTTTCATTTCCAGTAGGAGCAGTCAATTTTAGATTTTGGTTTTCATAAAAAATTTATTTCTTAAAGATTTCTAAAATCAGATGAAAGTCAGTTCTGGTTTTGATCAGAAGTTATGGCCCAGTAGCTCAAGTTAAAGGTTGTGTCCAATGAAATGAAATTATTTTGACATAGACTTCTTTGTTATTACCAGTACTGTCAACCCCCAAAGATTTTCTCGCGGGACAGATTTTTTAGACCCAGTCCCAAAAATTCGCGGGATTTTGCGGGACATCCGCCTAAATTCGCGGGATTTTGCATGATATTTAAGGAATTTGAGTGATTGCGCCGAATTTCGATCAAATTCGCGGGATTTCGCAGGACCATTCGAGGGACAAACACGCTAATTGCGGGACAGTTAACAGGGTAACCACCCTAAGACTTCATAGAGGGGCAATTTCTTTAGACAAAGTGCCCTTTTGCAGGATTGGCGAAACATCCACCTAAATTTGCGGGATGTCGCATGACATTCAAGGGATATGCTTGCTAAGGGCATAATGTATACATACTCAAATTAAAATTTCAGATACTGATTTATCACATATAATGCACTTAACTTAAGTAAATGTCAACACAATTCCACACAATACGCATAGAAATATTATTAAGAGAAACCACACTTGTGAGTACCGTAATCCAACACGAAATTCAAAAACTCTGAACAATACTTTGCACTTATGGCGTTCGTGACCAACTATGAAACATTTACCCCTCATTGTGTTATATATTAAAATGTACCTTTTCATATAGGGGTCCGATAGGGGTCAACCCAGTTGTCCGAAACCCAATTCTCCGAATCCGAGCAGTTTTCCGAAACCCAGTTGTTCGAAAATAAGGGGATCTTATCTTAAAAATACAATTTCTTTAAGCGAATCTTGTCACAACCTCTGCGAGTCACGACAACATAACATTGGAATCACGTTAACATCATTGCAAAATTAGGCTTAATATGCTAAGTCAATACGTTAATTGTTTAATGTTTAGCCTACGAAAGTTCATGGGTAACTTGGGAACTAGAAAATACAACCAAATACTTTTCGAACGTACAATAGCAATATTTCTCACCTAACGTCTTCATAATTTTAGGAACGTATTTTAAACACATGATAGCCAAATATATCAAGATACTATATCTGCCTAATGTAGTTATGTAGTGTTCACAAAGTTTTGAAACATATTTTATCTAGATCCTTCAGAAATTAACTTATCCAATAAATTGCTTTACTAGTTCTAGTATCTTGCATGACCATAAAATTCTTTAATTCTACCTCGTTCCCAATACGTCCTCAGACAGACAAGAAATTGAAGTCACACCCGTTTGTTTGCGTGACAGAATATGCCACGCAAAAATACTTATACGCACTTTCTCTGATTATTGTCAAGCAAATACAGTTTAGGAGAAGAAAATAAAAAAACAAATGCCAGAAACGAAGGCCGAAAAACAAATTCCAAGTGATTAGGTTTAGAATGCTTTGTTCTTTTACGATTTGATAAGAGACAGAGACTAAGAAATTAAATGCGACGAAATATTTTGACAACGTAATATTGTATACTGTTTTATGTTTAAAGTTCTATGCATTAACTTATTTTATCTGTTTCAAAATGTTTCATTTTATTTTGCCTATAGAAAGACATTGAAGAAGTTAAGATAAACTGTTCCGTAATATATATTGTGTTTTAATAACCGCTTTAAGAGCACAATGTAAAATAAATCCCCCGTTCCTGCCATTCTAGTAGCACCATGTAATGGGTGCAATTCTAAGTGAGAAACATCAGAATGCGTCCATCCCATTAATTTGGCCAAATACATTGCATGAAACTGGCGTAAGCTTAACTTGGTACGTCCCCCTTTCTCTGGTAAATCATGACTATATTTTTCGGAGTAATGGGTTTCGGACAACTGGGGTGTACCCTTAAGATTTGGGGATTGTTACAATTTTGAAAATTCGCGGAGGTCAAAGCCGACATTTGCGGGACTTCGCGGGACATTGCGGGACACGCGAATTAGACTAATTTTGATCGAATTCGTGGGATAATCCCGCCATTCGCGGGACACTTGACAGCTCTGTATTACCCACTTCTTACATGTACCATTGATACTGCATTTGTAATAATAACCAGTACTTGTTTTTCCCAGCATGTATTCTTGTCATTTAAATTAAACCCCCATACTGAGAATTTTCTTGAATTTAATTACCAACACTAGTTGAAACTTAAAAACGGCTCAAAAAGTGCAGAACAACATGTACCATGGTATAGTTTTAGTTTTGGATCACCTTACTTGAATCTTTCTACCAGAACAGAGTTTGGGATGTGTCAAATATTTTTTCTCGGTACAGTATCCCATTGGATTATAATCAGGCCCGTAGCCAGGGGGGGGGTTCGGGGGTTCGGGTTCTGGTAGAAAGATTCAAGTAAGGTGATCCAAAACTAAAACTATACCATGGTACATGTTGTTCTGCACTTTGGCCAAATTTGCCAAAGTGAACCCCCCTCCCTAGAATTTTTTGGAAAAGTGAACCCCCCTTGGAAAATTCTGGCTACGGGCCTGATAATATTGGCCTTAATTAAGTTCCAACTTCCCCTTCCCCACTACCTTTTTTACAAATAGGCTATAACTATTAGCTGTATACTAGTAGGTTACATGCTAAGTATATATCTATAACTAGACAGCTGTATACTAGAATTTACAATAAACTAGATAGCTATATACATGAGCTAGATAATATATAGTGATAGCTGTATCCTAGATAGTTACATACTGTGTAGCTGAATACAGAAATATATGTACTAGATATATAGTTACGTATACAGGATGCATGCCTATAAATTTAAATGATTATTTCAAAATTTTATATCCCAACTTTTCCAAAGATTGGTTTAGACAATCATATTTTTGTATTGACAAGTTATAATTAATTTGTTTCCCAAATGTTTATGTTTATGCTTGTACATTCCATCAGCTTTGTGCATATTGTATACATGCAAAGGAATTAAGGAATTTTTGTTAGATTAAGCAGACAAATGAACATCTATATTATGGCACTAATGAGATAATTATGGCCTTGTGTGGCCTTGAGCTTATTAGGAAACGTCTAAAATAATTCCATGTCCTTATTAGGAAATCTCTGAAATATTTATTTGTCCTTATTAGGAAATCCCGTGCTGCACGTGAGAGAGAAGAACGTCAGAGAGAGGAGGAACTGCGTGCTCAGCTTCTCCGTGAAGAGGAGGCTGCAATGTCATCTCAACCATTTGTCACTCCCGCTGACCCAACCCTGTGTAAATACATCGAGGATGTTCAAGAGAGAGTTCTGCCTCTGATGAGCACTAAGTATCAAGTCATTGCTTTGGCAGAGTGAGTAGATATAGCTATCTGGGTTTCTCATAGTAGCACCCATGCTACCATGATTTGGCTGTGTCATTTACTTGCGTTCGTTCCATTCCCAAGGTTCAAATTCATATGTTCATTGCATTCTTATTCAATCACATACTTTTCGTATCTCCTTCATGGCAATCGTCAATTCCATTACATTATGGAATCTAACTGTTCGAGCACCATCCACATTATGGCGCTTCAAACAGTTGTGCCATCCACATTATGGCGCAATCGCTCAAGCACCATCCACATTATGGCGCTTTTAGACTCGAGCACCATCCACATTATGGCGCTCCCAGACTAGCACCATTCACATTATGGTGCATTCCGAACCAAGCACCATCCACATTATGGGGCTAACAGACCTAAGCACCATCCACATTATGGCGCTTTCAGACTAACGCCGCACCATCCACATTATGGTGCTTTCAAATATAGCACCATCCACATTATGGGGCTACTGATTTCATTTGCTATGAAGGAGAATTCAACGTTCATTCACATGTCGCAAACGAAGCGACTTCATACGCAAGAGAGTGTCACAGTCAATTCATGAGATGCCCAGATGCCAACATGTTTGTATATATTTATATTAAATGATAAATATTCATTATAACATATACATATATTTGTTTGTTTCCTATAAACCCTGTGTAAATACATCGAGGATGTTCAAGAGAGAGTTCTGCCTCTGATGAGCACTAAGTATCAAGTCATTGCTTTGGCAGAGTGAGTAGATATAGCTATCTCTATATTTCAATCTCATACCAAGTTATTGACTGATTCGACATTTAGGGAGTAGAAAATATCTGGCTTAATTTTTGAGAGAGAACTTTAATGGTGAGGAGAGGATATTAGACAGGGTTTCTATTCACTTTTGATTATGGTTTGGGATTGTTGGGGTTTTCCTGATGACTGGTGTACACTTTGATGTTTCCTTAATCTTGCTGGGTTTTGTAACAATTTTTGGTCTTTTCCTTTGGCACTTGTACAAACTGTACATTTTTAGATGTAGCACAGTGTAAGTGAAATATTACATGTAGCTATTGATAATAGTGCTCTCTCCATCCATAACTCAACATTTTCCCCTCAGAAAATCTCAGATCTCTAGCCATTTTTTCACACCAGGATTTCAACCTGTATTTATTAACTAACTTTTCCTTATAGATACGTCTCAGATAAGATGGGTGGACCAATTGCGCGTGGACAGCTGGCAAATTTCAGCTATGAGCTACCTATCAGTCAAATTAAATATGATCTCAAATCCAATGTGATTCCTATAGGACTCATCAAGACTGGGATTCACTATCATAGGGCACTACTGTTTAAGGTAGGGATTCATTTCTATTATCACTTGGCGATATAATTTAAGGTAAAAATAGTTTTAGGGAGGTAGTTCTCCTATTTCTAGACAGTAGAACACCTCTGTAAGTGAAACACCTCACAAGTGGAACAGTGTTTTATAGTCCCATGGCCTATCTACTCCATGTTAAGTGGAACACCTCCCAAGTGGAACACTTTTTTGTGGCCCCAAGGGTGTTCCACTTACACAGGCTCTGCTGTATTTACTCGCCTGATTGCTAGCAGTTAAAATTTCCTTAAAAATGTGTGGCTTAAACTATTTATTTTATTATATATTTATAAACTGTATTGTTATTTTATAATGGATTGGATTTTGAATAATTTTGTCAAAATATATGATACTAAATAATGACCAACATTGATAAATGCTTACTATCAATTTAAATGTTATTTTTCTTATTTTAGGCATTAGCTGACAGGATTGCTGTCAGTTGTAGTCTGATGAGAGGGGAATATAACAGATCCTGTTCTAAATCAATTTAAATGTTATTCATCTTATTTTAGGCATTAGCTGACAGGATTGCTGTTAGTTGCAGTCTAATGAGAGGGGAATATAACAGGTCCTGGAATGAGGTCATGCTCACTGACGATGATGATACGGTTAGTATTGTTTTGATGACTTAAGGTTGTTATACACTGGCAAAAGATGACTCCATGCTGTATAAAACTATTTATCCCATACTTGGACGTGTTACAGGTACATAAAGCCGGTTTGTAAAAACTTATATTTTCATCAGCGGGCAGATATAGCTTTACGTCCCGCTCCGAGTGGGCAGATATAGTATATCTGCCCGCTACGTCATAATCGCCGCTCGCATATTTGTTCATAATTTGTAACGTTCGCATAATGACTGTAAACGACAATGGAAAAAACACAGACAATCAAGATTTGTTTGATGGTTTAAAAAGGGAAGGAGTATCCACTTAATCAATCAAAAATTCGAGAAAATAAATGTGGGAATATTTGTGAGAACAGGAAAATTCGCCCACGGCCAAGAAAACAAAACTGGACGTGAATATTCTAAAATATTTCCACGATTGAACAATGTGAACCAGATGACCAAGATTGGTATGGGATAAACATATTATCCTATAGTCGGTTCAGGATATTGGGATTATCCCTTGGCCAATATAATATATTTTCCCTCGGGACCTACGGCCCTCGGGCAAATATATTATATTGGCCTCGGGATAATCCCAATATCCTGAACCTCATATAGGATAATCTCTATGTACATCATTTCTTGTATTTTTTAGAACTTTGGTGTATTCTGCATGTTATTGATTGATGGGTCTTTGATTGGCTGGATAACAAATTTTCACATTTTACAGCCAATTAGTTTTTATTTAAAATATTTTCTCTTTCAAAAAATCTGTTTTGTCAATGCAATGTATATCCCTGGATAGACAGGATCTAAATAAAAAAAATGTTTAAATAAAATGTTTGATGTGAGCATTTAACAAATTATTATTTCAACTTTTTGTTATGTTTTTAGCCTGGAGCCCCAAAGTTCCCACCTAAGAGCTACATAGTTGACTTAATACATGAACCTGGCAGACTGATGCTAGCAGATAGCAATGAGGCTGAACAATACAAGAGATTATAGTGCTCTTTACAAATAATTATGTTGGATGATACAAGGGATTATAGTGGACTATACAGATGATTATGTTGGATTATACAAGTGATTTTACTGAACCATACAAATGATTATGTTGGATTATATAAGGGATTATAGTGGACCATACAAATGATTATGTTGGATTATACAAGGGATTATAGGGGATAATATAAGCCGTTGTAATGGACAATACATTTGATTATCTCAGACACTTCAAGCAGCTATAGAGGACTAATCAAATAATTCAGAGGTCGATACAAATGATTATAGTGGTCAATCGAAATGATTATAGTGGGTGATACAAATGATTATAGTGGTCAACCAATATGATTATAGTGGACGATACAAATGTTTATCGAGTGGCTTATCCTAGTATCAGGATGTTATAAAAAGCTATCATAGTCAGATTGTATGAGCTATGTATTTATTATCATATAGAATGGTCATTAACAGGAAATATTTGGTAATGTTTTAAGTTAAATGTATATAGTGTAAATTTATCTTGTATAAAAATAATAGAGAGTGTGCTGGCCATTGCTGGTTTCTACACATTTTGTAGATTTTTACAATTTCATCCGTCCAATATTGTGTATTTTTATGATTTCTACTCACTGTTAGGAAGTGTATACAATATTTTCTATTCAGTAACACTCATTGTTTTGGATTATATAATGTGTATAATTTGTATATATAGAATAAACTCATTGGAAGTAAGAATACAAATATTCTATGTTTCTTCATTTTAATGTCACCACCACAAGTCGTGACATATTGTTATAATCTCCAAATTTTTTTGTGGATTGTGTTCGGCTGTCTGTAACAAATGGCAGGCGGTGACATTTTGCCTTGTTATGAATATGTTAAAGTTTACAACATTTTTATTCTGATCATTCGACGTTGTATCCATTTTCAAAAAAGTCCAAAGTTCTGATAGGCCAATAATTTCATATTCAATAATTTATATTTGATTAATGCTTTTTTCCAAAAATATCATTTTGAATACATTAATATAAGGAAAACATTGGTATGCTTCTTAATATATGTTACGCTCCACCGCATCTTAGTCTTTTAGTTTGATTATTTTATGTCACCACCAGAATTGTTGACAATGTTATAGTCTCCAACTTTTTTGCAGACGATGTTCGGTATTTGGTGTTTGGCATCAGTAACAAATGGCAGGTGGTGACATTTTGCATGTTAAATGTGTTTCATTTACTGAGATGGTAAACACTTCCACAAATGCGAAAAATATTAACACAAAAGACAGTTAAAAATCAAAGTAATACATATATTCTTGGTAGTATACGGAAAATGAACCAAACAGTATTACTTAAAATGCTTTTATATTGATTTTATTAGTTACTCTGGTTTATCTGAGTTTGTTGTTTGGGCCTTAGGGTCTCCTCACAAACATTTGTCATCCTACAAAACAACATATAGAGCCAACAAAAAGTTCCCATTAACATTAACATGCAAATTAACATGCAAAATTTCACAACCATTAACAAGGCATTAACATGCAAAATGTCACCACCATTAGTTACAGACGCTTACCGCTGATCGCCAACCGCCGTCCAAAAAGGAGACCATAACAATATGTCACCACTTTTTGATGGTGTCATAAAAGCCAAGACCAATGTCCTGTTAAAGAACCCCATTTCTTACTACTTGAAATCCATAATATCAATATTCTACTTGTTGAGACCCAACCAATTTGATTTTTCTGAGATAATGAGGATTTTTATCTCTCAACATCATGACATGATATGATGATATCCCTATGCCAAATCAATGTATATCCAAATATTAAGTCAATTCACCCTTGCTGAAAACCTCATTATAATCTCAAAAGAACTCAAGTTAATTGAGACTCAACAGGTGGATTCATGTGGGAGACTTTTGGTAAAATCAATTTTCAATATAAGAATAGGGGTTCTTAACAGGACTATAGCTTAACTAAGGCCTTTTTGAAATTTTTTGTTGGCTCAATTAATAATCAAACCCATTCTAATATAAAATTTATTTACAATATCAAACATTTAGAAGTTATTGCTGAGCAAATTATTGTTGATTGTACATATATAGAGTTATTTAATTATGATATTATATATGTAGGCCAAGTGTCAAAGAGTTAAGGGAGCCAGCTCACTTAAGCTTAAGTCGCACATCATGCACCTGACATTACATCAAAATAAATTACAAAAGAGGAAGTGAAGTAAGGCCTATTTCTGTTAAAGTTAAAGGGGCAACAAGAACTGTAGAGAGAAAATTCGAAATTTTTTCTTTTTTCTGAGCTATCAGGTCAATATTTGGCTTAACATCTTCTTTGACATACCTATTTTCTTAAAATGTATGGATAAACGCTCAATTTCAGCATTAAGAAGTGTAAATTCAGTTCAAAGCTTCTATAAAGGGAGTCCCAATTATAGATCTTTAAGATTCACCACGTGCACGTTTCAGCTGAAATAATGTTATGTTCATCCAGGGGGGTTGAATTAATTGTTGCACCTTTAACGTAAGACCAGGGTTCTGCGTATGGCAAACTGACAGGCAAAGATTACAATACTGTTTGAAAAATGACACTTTAATCACCGTGTTAATGAGGAATTAAACTACCAGTATTACTGTCCTTGGCTCCGACTATTTTACTCGGCTACGAAAAAATGTTTGACAGTTTTATTTTGTTCCAGACATTCTCGAAATTTATCGAGAGTTAAAATGGTATGGCACTATGGGCGATTAAAAAGGCGCCATCTTTTCATGTAAAAACATGGGGCTAGGGGTATAAATGTTTCGGCCCCAAGATAACCCTAATATCCTGAACCCCATTAAAGATAATCTCTGTGTAATTCTCTTAATGTTTTATAAATATATTGGCACTTCCATTATGCAAAATATGGTTGCCTTGCGACAGATGAACTTCAAATGAATTAGAAAAAAATCATATTCCATCACGATTATATTTTAGGGAAATAGTATGGAATAAAAGAGTACATTAAATGATGACGTTGTTTTTCACTGAATGACGATCTTGACCATTCTTCAAATTTTCGTAATTTGAAATCGGATCTACATTTCACCACCATTCATTGAATAGAGTTTTCATCTGTTGTATTTTATCAAAACGACTAAAACAATACAATTTGTTATAGCTATAAAAAACAGCGACGTGTCATGAATATAGGCCCCATATGGTACTGTACATGTACGTGAATTACCCCATAGAAACATGACATTTCTATCTAATGCTACTGCCCACATAATACAAGTTGAATAAAAAATTGGACAATTATCTGCATAAACAGTATAAAAATGTATGATATTAGTACCTGCATGGCAGCATTTGATCTAGATAAATGCAAATATGCAAATGTTAAAACTAGAAACTACACTAACAAGGAATGGATTCACTGAAGCATTATTGAATTCTCTAAATTTGGGTGTATTCAATGTACAGGATGTTCCAAAAGTAACAGGACTGGTGCGGAATTTTGTTAAATCTGCATCGATTGTTTTTAAAAATGTACATAATGTACAAATCAAGTATTGTAACTAAATCTGAAGTTTGTAAAAAATATGAAACTTGGTGCAGCATTCACAAAATGCCAGCACCAATTCTGTTACTTTTGGAACACCATGTATAGAGTACAACAAGATTCATATCTTTCAAAAAAGCCAATTACAGTGTTGGAGTCACTCTATAAATTACTTACACTGATAGAATTGTGAGATATCTAAACACATTTTTAACAGAAAAATGAGGGAAAGTGAGTGAAGTCAGTGAACCATTTTCAATCATTTTTATCAAAACAAATAGCTAGCTTTCTTTCCTTATACTTCAGCAAGTATTTTTGTAAAAAGTTAAGAAATATGTGAAAACGTCATACTCGTGCATGACTTAATTATTTTATTTTATAAAAATATCAGAGGAAGATACCTACCCATGTAACAGATTTCCCCTACCTCCCTTTATAATATACATAATTAGTAAAGAGCTACGACTCTTGTTAATGTCAAAATAAGATATTCTTTGAGGTAAAAGTGCGATAACAAATGACCATGTAATATTGTAATAATAAACAGTGAATTTCAAATTTTGACCTATATTCAATTTTCTGTGCAATCAACCTAAAATAATTCTTTCTCAGTCTACCCTGCTGGGATTCAGCTTACATTTTACCATTACACAATGTTAAAAATACCCCTTCCTCCATGTTCGGAAATGATGGCTCAGAAATAGATACCAACACATAATCACATAAATAGAAAATTCCCACGTTTTCTTCCACCAAAGATAAATTAAGAAAAGAGAGTGTCTGGAACGAAATGATTGCAACAAACCTTTTTCCAGTTAAACACTGAAATCAGAGCTAGATATAGCAATAAATTAAAGCGAATAGCAATTCGATACATTTACAGGCCGTCTAAAGCCAATTGCTACGATTAACAACAAACAATAGCGTGTCAGTATCAAACATTTTAATTTTTTTAAGTACACAAATATTCTTAATGACACATATATTTTACGTGATAATTTGAACAAAATAAATTTCAAATTGTAAATGATTATTTAAGTTTGAGTATCATTCGGTACTGTAAGCTCCGTCTTCCGAAGCAAATGTGTGAGGTACAAATGCAAGCTCGTACAACAGGTGTAAATAACACCCTTTACAGTATCATTGTATATCTGCTCAATCTCTCATTTTGTTATATCAGAGGATCTAACGGTTGCAATGCGGAGATTTGATAATCATCAGAATATTATATACACACCTTTCTTACATTGCAATTGATTATACGAGTGTATCCTCGACTCCCTTTGCATTATTAACAATGATCTCTTCTCAATTTGAATTAACACAAATCCTACAATTGTCGACACCTGTTAAAATTGTGCGGTGCACATGTGATTAGTGGGTGTTTTTCTGTACTTAATGTTTCTACATACATATACGACCTAACAAGCACTTAAAATCAACATTAACAAGCTTTACCTAATTCTGCTTCTGATGATCGTCATCCAATGATAAAAAGTAACGTGGGATGGGGTAATCTTACAGTAGGCCTCCACATATATATTGTATTTTTGGGGTATTTTGGACACTCGAAGAGGCATCTATGTTACAGAACTTATGGTATTCCTGATCAAAGTTTAAATACTACTTTGAAATTACCTCGATAACAGGAAGTGTCTGGAGAATTGCCCGGGAGAATTGCATTCCCCAAAAGGACACGTTTTCATCGTTTTCCTACATGATTTTAGGATATCATAATAGACCAATTCTACAAAGATGTAGAATAGATCAGATCACCACAAATACATATATCCTATCCAATAGATCACATTAACTGTTATAAAACTAACGGGGAAAACAATGCGACATATTTCGTCGATCTTACTAACGCTGTTGGCGCCGGAAGTATGTTTCATGCGTGACATTGACTCCCGATAGGAGGCGCTACCCTGAAGACAGCGGATGAACATTAACCAGCATGAATCGCGTTCTTTCTTTTTCACGCTACGACGGCGTGATACCAACGTGTGGCTATGTCCATTTCCACTATTGGCTATGAGATGCTGTTTTGCGTAACCTGCCCGCAAGAGGGGGCTGTTAGACTGTTGTAATAGATCCTCTTCCTGGAAAACAAACAGTGTTATTAGGAATAGAAAAAATAAACATTGAAGTTACACGCATCTACTGATTATGTTGAAGTTGATTACGTCATTGTCAGTTCTGCTTTATAATTTCAAAAATATTCTGTAAAATAAAAGAGCGTCCAATATAGAACCTTGGGGTACAACGTAAAATACAAAAACCAGTTACAGAAATGAGCATGTACTAACTTTATTTCCTTTTGTGTATCATCATAATGCCGAAACTATCTGACAATCAAAATAAAACTGTTTTATAATGATATCTCTCTATTACCTTGAAATGAATTCTGACTTATCCTTTTTAGCGAAAACAAAATTTCCACCCACTCAAGTAAGAAAAATACATTTGAATCAGTGACATGATTGTACAATCAAAGGTGATATGTAAGTGACATGCATATTGGACAAAAATCATCTCGTGCGTCTCTCAAAATTAATTAAACTGAGCGTTCCAACACCAATGTGTAATATCAAATTATTGACAGTACTAAGTGTTAGTAGGGGGACTAAGCAACATGGGATAGCATTCAATTAGTAAATGGATAGGAAGGCTTTTTACACAGCACGTTTCACAGCTCACTGACTGGGAAGGTGGTTAGACTTTTGAACACGTACACGGTATACACAGGTCCTAGTATACGTATGACTAAGAGGGGGAGAAACCCCAGGGTTCAAAGATGACATACGCTTATAATGTAAATCTGTATTGAGATGACATCGTCGCTGATTGGCTTAGCGAGTCGATCGTTGATTGGTTTAAAACCAGGTCAATTTGAAAACTGAAAGCCAAGATGGAGGGAAGTATAAATATAAGTACTTCCGGAAAAGGAGGTACGCGAATGAGGAAATCGTATGTCATCAATTGAATCATGGGGTTTTCCCTCCTCTTCGTATGACTGGACTGATTGATGTGATGTTGTTCACTCCCCTGCGCATGCGTAAGTTTGACAACCGGAAGTTATCATTTGGATCAAAAAGCCTGTTCATGTTTGGCGATTTCAAAAATCATTAACTTTCGGATTATTGTTATTAAGGAAAAACAATGTAAATGTAAACAGGATTCGGAATGCTCTGCAATAAAAACTTTAGGTTGCCAAGCTCATGTATACGTTTTATGCTGCTTAAAATGAGATTTGTTGACATTCGCTTAATTTTATCCTTGTATTTGCCCAGACGATCATATCCACGCCTAACCATCGACAAGGTACAGTGACAAAATATAACGCCGTACACTTTTGATACACGGGGTCACTATTCTAACTGATATGAAGCAAAAACTATGATGCAGGTGTGATGTAGGTTTTAAAAATTAATCTGAGGAATACATAAAGAATTTCATGTTTGATTTCGTGTGTATTCGATTTGGAAGACTGCTAGCTTTCTGATTACGCTATAAGATTTTTGAGCATTGCTCGAAAATCTTTAAACGTAATCAGAAAGCTAAAAGTCTTCCAAAGCGAATACACACGAAATTAAACATGAAATCTTTCAAGTACTCCCAAGATTAATTTTTTTTATTAATAGTGACACCATACATCTAAAGTGTACAGCGGTATATTTTGTTACTGTACCTTGTCGATGGTTAGGAGTGATATCAAATGTTCATATAATATTTATGAAAGTCAAGAAAGATCTAATACTAGAACCTACATGTATGTGAGACGCGTGTACTCTAAACAATACATTCCAATGGGTTAGTCTATTTTCACTGATCCACAATTAATCGTATCCAAAATGGCGAACAATATTTTATATTAATATTAGATATGTAGTTAACTTTAGTGGTACCCTGAGCGCAGAATCTAGTTATAAACGAAGCCTTCTTTTAAGAAGTCGAACGAATCCAAAGGGTATTATAATACACCCTATGCAGACAGAGCCTGTGGGAAATATTGGGTGCGGCGCAAATGAGCGGAGGGTGCGGAGCTAACGGTCATTTTTGAATTTAGAATTGGGGTATTTCTGAAACTAAGCCGTTTTGGGACTTGAAATATACCAAGATATGTGTATTTGACACCAAATATCAATAAAATTGTGAAAATAGTAGTGCAATTCATTTTATAGCGACGCAGTATGCCTTAAACATTTCCCAGACCTATATATTTTGAGACTATCCTTTTAATACTGCGTCCCCAGCATTCATAAAAAATGGTGTTCAAGATACACTACCCATGCAAATTATTTTTGCATCTTGGAAGCCAGGCAGTATCTGTGTGATTTTATAAAAATTCGGAAATGTTTTTCAGATATGAGCCCCCTCTAAATATTGGGTGCGGAGCTACGTTTATGGAGCTGCTCCGCACCCAATATTTAGAGGGGGCTCATATCTGAAAAACATTTCCGAATTTTTATAAAATCACACTGATACTGCCTGGCTTCCAAGATGCAAAAATAATTTGTATAGATAGTGTACATTGAACACCATTTTTTATGAATGCTGGGGACTCAGTATTAAAAGGATAATTTCAAAATATATAGGTCTGGGAAAGGTTTAAGGCACACTGCGTCGCTATAGAATGAATTGCGCTACTATTTTCACAATTGTATTGATATTTGGTGTCAAATACACATATCTTGGTATATTTGAAGTCCCAAAACGGCTTAGTTCCAGAAATATCCCAAATTTAAATTCAAAAATGACCGTTAGCTCCGCACCCTCCGCTCATTTGCTCCCCACCCAATATTTCCCACAGGCTCTGTCTGCATAGGGTGTAATAGGACAAGCTCTATCAAATTTTTAGAATTTCGTCCGCCATTTTGCATGGGACTAACTACAATTTACGTCACCTTCGTGGACCAGTGATTTTATAAATAAATGTAAATGATCATTTGCATTCGGGTTGCTCTCATGCGTTTCATCTGTCAGGATACGTGTGATTCATTAGTCAAGCCATTCACTTCAAACCTCACCGGCCCTTTCATTCAAACGACAATTAAATCGTTAAAACATATAAATGGTATTTCCAAAACTTTGATGCATGCTCATCAATCAAATTCTGACTAGGTTCATTCCGCATTCCATTATCTAAGTTTCTAAAACCCATCCAGAATTTTCCGAGACGGGCATGCCATTTTATCATTGATTTCTATCATGTTTTATTCCCTTATTAAGTAGTGATCGAAACCCCCAGGAGAAACTCTCAGTAGAAGAGCACTTTATATTTGAGAAGACTTAAACTTTTGCCTTTGACAGGCCTAGTTTTGTGTCACTGATTTAATCATAAAAGAATATAGATTCATCCTTGAAACAAAAACAGTAATTTTGTCACTGCTAGATCCGATCCAACATGTAGTATTTAAAAGGAAGACGAATATCCATTGGGGCCGTCATTTCTGTCCCATCGACCTTGTATAATCAAAAAGTACATATAGATGGCACTGATAAAATAAGCATGCCCATAGGAATACTGGATTTAGGGATGGGATGGTAAATTCAAACCTTGATGTTAGAGTGAAGTCTTTTTTCTTGATTCCATTCAATTATATTGTTTTCATTGCTCTGTTAATAACAAGATAAACTTTAGAATAACTACTTCCTTGGGTCTAAGCAGTAGGACTCCCAGGATATCTTTCAAACTTATTGTACACAGGCAAATTATATCGGGCACCATACAAGCCAGTACGAGACTCGAAAATTACGAGCAATTACGGGACTCTTTACTAAGCCCGTACTAGGTTGTACAGAGCTCGTTGAGTCGAAAAGCATTGGACACTAAAATTAAACCTCAAAAATGTTGACAAGATCCGCAAAAGGTCATCATTTTATTGCTAATAATTACATTGGTCTATATACTCGGCTTTTTACGTCAAATGATGCGATTGGATATTCAATTTTCGTCTTCAGATAAACCGAGGATTCCGATACTTTAATGAATCGTGGGGTCCCTACTGAATATGATGCATGTAAACATTGCTGTGCATATTCATTTTAATATAATTCCTAGAAGACGGACAATTTTCGAATAAACATTTCTTAATCAAATTTTTGATTTAGAATCATTTATAATTCTATTTCACACTATTTATCATTATCTTCTAAATACAAATTTCAATTTGACCAATAAAAACTAAGAATTAGAATTATAGAGAATTCTAAATTAAAAATTAAGAAATATTGAACATGCTCCTCATACAACAGTGCTTCCATAGCTTGTTTGTCTTGTTCCTGTGTTGCCCTTTGTGTTTCTCAGTGATTAGATGTAATACAATCATATATTGAATATTAATATTCACAACAAAGTTAATTCAAATATTGTATAAATGTGTGATTGATGCGTCAACAAAAAATCTTGTATTGCATCAAGTCTTTTATGTTAATTTTCTATGTTTAAACAGTTGTATAAATGAAATACAAGTAACGTTAATATTAATTTTCCATGAAAAGCTTTAGTTTTCTCATCGAACAGGGATTTCGAGGTAGATAAGGCTCTTGACCATGGTATAAGATCGTTATTTCACTGTCGGGGTGCTATGAGGAATATCCCTCAGAAGTTATCAATATTTTCCTCGTTTACTGCGTTCCCTTGGGAAATATTGATACCATCCTTCTGATATTCCCCATATGCAACCTCGTGGTGAATAACTATTTCTATTCCATACACAGTAGGATATCATTTTACCTATGCAGAATCCTGATATCGATTGAGATGGGAGGGATAAACTTGATGCATGACAAATGTGAATACTCGTAGACTATAAAAGCATTCTTGTATCATTCTTAGTCAAGGAGGATTGGCAGCCGTTCAAACTCGATACTCCATTGTCCGGTGTGGAACAATTTAGTACAAATATTTCTATCAAATTCTCTTTGGACCAAGTATTTCCTTTGAAGATGCACATTCAAAATATAAATGGTAATATTCAAGTTTCATTGGCAGTTGTAGTCTTCAAAATATGAGTAATATTGTTACCAAATTAGTCCACGCCGGACAACGGAGTATCGAGTTTGAATAACGGCTTCCAATCCTCCTTGATTCTTAGTAATGAATATTCATAAATCTATTGTTGCTACCATGGAAACCATGATGTCATAATAAGACAACAATAGACTTATGAATTCATCAATTTAAGAACGCTTGCAGAAATGCACACATGATTATTGAATAATTGGAGCTTTCGGGAGTCATTCATAGTTTCATAATTCATAAGCTTCAATTATCCAATAACCATGGATGTGCTACGAAACTTACAATGTAATTAATTGCAAAGAACATTAGCCAGGTTTAGAATAACGTTTTTTGCCTCACGCCTCCAAGGAGGATTGGCTCCCAGAATCGAAGTCGATATTTTCCAACAATGAAAACGCCGAAATGTCGTTATTTTCTGAAATTATAACCGATTATAAATTCAAAATAAACAGTTCAAAATATTCGAACCAATATCTCGATCATTTCTTGTGAGTTTTGGAATTGTTCGTTAGTAAATAAAATGTTATGCGCCAACCTTTCTAATGTTCTTGAAACAATACCAGAGTCTCAAAGCAAGCCACTGTGGTTTTGTAATAAGATAGCATGCCTTGTAGTAGATTTTTGTATTATATTTTGTTTCCTTAATTTTAATTCCACCTTTTTGCACGATTTTCTCAATGATCGAAACCCGGGGATCGAGATCGTGCAGGTAGCGAACAATCTCCGCTTTCAAAATGTGATAATCTTCCCTTATATCGCATTACAAAACGACAGTTTATCGTCATTGAGACCCAGTGAATAAACGACTAAATCATATCCAATACACTCATACCTCGTCTGTCTCCATTAAAGGGTGCGATATTGCTATTGGCTCAGGGGGAGGAGGGGGCGGTGGTGGGGGGCCTCCACTTTTTGTGAAATAATTAACACCAGCGTACTCGACCAGTGCGGCAAACACATAACCAAAACACAACATAAGGAATATGTCAAGCGCTGTTGAGTAACTCATCTTTGGGAGCCCTTCTCTTCCGCTTAGTCCGATTGTGGTTGATGAAAGTAACGTTGTTATACCTAGAATATATTGTAGAACATGGTATGATATTAAGATTAGATACAGTTTATATCAGTTGAGTATAGAATGTCCAGTATAGGACATAAGAATATATAGTAGAACATGCTATGATATTAAGATTAGGTACAGTTACATATCAGTTGAGTATAGAATGTACAGTATAGGACATAAGAATATATAGTAGAACATGCTATGATATTAAGATTAGATACAGTTCATATCAGTTGAGTATAGAATGCACAGTATAGGACATGGTAGCGCAGTTCATAACAGTTGAGTATAGAACAGAACATGGTACAATCATATCAAAGTTTATGCGATTCATATCAGTTGAGTATAGAATATACAGTAGAACATGGTATATCAAGATTAGTGCAATTCATATCAATTGAGTATACGCAAGATCATTTTGCAGATTGAAGCATTTCTATGCTATAAAGTGTTTACAGTTTTATTTCCAATCGCATATATCTAAAACAACGTCAAGTTCACGGAGCTTATCGTTGCATAGTTCAGGGAGTTTGTTAGAAAATATCACTATTTAAGAGATTAGAAATACATTATGTAGTATGCATAAATTTTGATTGCATTTGTAAAAAATAATGTAACTTTTAATGTTGTGCTTATTTTCTTTACGAAAAATGTCCATAAGCTCAAGAAAATAGCGATATGTTAATATTTAGGCTGTCCTGGATTACTAACAACTGTTGAACCTATTTTGCCTAGCGCCCGGATGTTCAATGTTCGACGTTATTAAAAAAGGAATGTCCAAACAAAGTTATAACAACAAACTCAAAAAATTCTTTAAAATATCTTTACCAGACTACCCATTCTTCTTTATTTTATACTACTGTGGGATACCATTTCCGTCAGTTTCAGTCAAAAACGTCTTAATTTTTTGAGTGTTTAACTGTTGCGCTAGCCAGCTAAGCACGTGATCTCACCTAGTGTCACTCTCGCAGGCGTAGCCTCTCTGTTGATCCAAAACGATATCCACGATATCATTACGATGAAGTAACAAGGTAGATATATTTGAAGTAGGTAGTAACCAAAACTTCTCTTTAACTTAAAATGTACTTCTAAAACACTGGAATTACCCAATCCTAAAAGGAATTATTCAAGGTATTAACTGAATGTTCATGCAAAGTAAGACAATGATAATTTTTTTTATAAAAATAGCAGTTTTTAATTTAATGTTGGCGTTCTGGTTCTCACTTATAATATTTATAACTGCAATGGGATTGATTTTATGTCCATAATCTAAAATGTACTATCTAGTCTATATACACTCCCCCCATAAGTTTGGCAACCCTTTTCCCCATTGAACTACGTGTTAAAGCCTCTTTACCTTTGAATTTTTATTTACTTAACCGGCGATGAAATAACTTATAATATTGATGGAAACGTAACTTGACTTCATTTCCAATACCTCCAAATTTTCTCAATTTTTTCCTCAATTACAATAGGTCAAAAATTGATGATAAATTTGATGAATTTTTGAAAATCGTCATTCCCATGTAATCCAATTGGAAATGGAGGGTTCGGGTCAAATCAGAAATCAGGATATCTTTTCAGTAAAAGATTCAGCAAAAAATATTTTTATATAGAAAATTGAATTGTCTAACTTTTTAAAACACTAAGTGTTTAGTTTATTTGATGAATATTAAAGTTACAGCGCTTCAAAGTCATTTTTGAAAATAATTTTTCGCCTCCTGTGTTATTTCAATGGGAGAATTTTTTTGAAAAACAACTTTGACTTTAAAGCCCTATAACTTTTTTGAACCTGAAGAAACATATCAATTTTTTGTTAAATAAAGTTAGCAAATTCAATTGCCTGCCTAACTTGTATTTTTTGCAAGGACTCGGATGGATGGATATTCTGTCATATGACTTGCAGCAAACCAACCATTTCCCATTGGTTAACATGGGAATGTCGATTTTCAAAAAATCATCAAATGTATCATCAATTTTCGACCTATTGTAATTGAGAAAAAAAATTGAGAAAATTTGGAGATATTGGAATTAAAGTCAAATTACGTTTCCATCAATAGTATAAGTATTTTCATCGCAGGTTAAGTAAATAAAAAATCAAAGGTAAAGAGGCTTTAACACGTAGTTCAATGGGGAAAAAAGGTTGCCAAACTTATGGAGGGGAGTGTATGCCTTTTATTTTTTAACATTACATACAAACAGAATTAAAAAACATTATTTACACGATTGAAAACTATTAAATAAAATTCTGAAAATTGTACATGTATACATGTATTTAAACTAACATCAAACAGAATCTATTGTAATACACCAAAATCCCGAACAAACAGGTATTGAGACAAACACAAACAAATAAGCAAACGGACAAACATAAAAGCGTGTACAATGCATAATACGTTACATGTTATACACTATATGTGAGTAGAAGTAAATATATGTGATTAACATGGAGTAAATAGTGAGGTGCATCCATCAATAATTGATATATTAAGTCAAGGGGAGGAATTCAATTCCAAAAATACAAATTTAACTTGTGTTTAATTAGGGGTTTGCAATGGCGTCAAGGAAATAATCCGGGGAAATAATCAGCCGAATGCATTTCAGATTTGATTTTGCACGTGTGCCAAACACAACACGTGCTGTTTCATGCAAGTGTGTGCGGGGTTAAGAGTCCAAAATATATATCAGAAATACACTTCCCATCATAAGTTTGGCAACAGGAGGTACCAACTGAACAACGTGTTAAAGCCTTATATGTTTGAATCTTAAGTTTGTTGTAATTTCAAGTTACATCGGGTCCGAAGTTTAAGATACAGTAAGTTTGATGAATTCGTTAAAATCTACGCTTCAACACGTTGTCGGAAAGGAGAGAAAACGTTGCAAAACTTATCCAGAAGTATAAATCACTTGTGATAACCAGGTTTTTGTCAAAACTGGGTATATATTTTAAAAACTGAATTGGGAGCTAATTTGTTTTTAATATTACACATCAAGCACACTTGAATTTCTGAGACGCTTTAAATCCAATGTCCAGTAGTTTGATGGCTCAAATAACAAATTAGCTTCAAGTCACAACCATTTATATATAAAACGGACCTAACACATTGATAAACAATAAACTTGATTGATTCAAATGAAATTAAACGTTAATATGCACAGACAGGCTATGTTACGTTACCAATGTATGCTAGACTTTCATTTCTGTTGAACACACTGATATTTGTAAGCTCAAACTGAGCCATTGTTAAGTCTGGGTGGTATGTGACTTGGTCTTTGCTCATCCATGTATATAGAACATCCCTCAGAGCATAACCATCTAAAAGTGAAGCATGCGATGGCTGTAACGCGTTTATTGAATGATATGATTTTGTGATGCCCAGATGCCACTGGTAACCCTCCGCCCCTTGATTGGGTGTACAGCTTCATGGATAATTGATCACAGCCATGGAAACGTGGTCTATTGGCAGAGTCTTGCATGTGATAAAAATGAATGGGGAAGGTGTGACAATGGTACAAACACCTCTCCAAACGTTTTTCCTTCAGAATGTACCATGTTGGTAATTGAGATTACAATTTAAGAAAATAAAGCATATTAGTATTATATTGAAGATATGAATTCCCCTAGAAAGCTTTAGCATCCATAACCACGATATTTCCTGATGAGTGTTAAGTGAGTCGCACGACCACATTTTATTTATTAAGAAGCAAAGATCTAGAGTAATTGGGCAATATACACATCTTCAATATATGAAGTTCTCAATAGATAAAATAGATGTTAATATGTTAAAATATATATGCACTAATCATATGCCAACTACGAAACTAATATTAGTTTTCATGTAGCTAGCTAGCTTATCCCTCCTCTACATGTATACCACCTAAAACTAAACGGACATTGCCATTAGTAGCATTTATTAATTCCTCGTTATGGAGACCCACAGAAACTCGTCGAGTATTTTTGGGTGGTATTGTTACGCTGTAAAACTATTCTTGATTTTATTGAATCTGGCAAATTCCAGGAAGATTTTTAAATATTAAATACAATGTTTTACCAAAATCTTTAACACCTAAGTACTTGCAAAAGAGTAGTATCATAATTATGACATCCGGTAAATTTTACAACATAAGGAATAAAGACGTCAAAGTACAATGTAATTTTCCAGTTTTAAATCCAGTTGCACCAACCCAAGACACTACCCGATATAAGCTTCTTTGGGAATGAGTTATATAATATGCGTTATATAGTTTTTATTAAAATGTACATGATTATATCGCTGCTTGCGGGACAAACAGACACTGATGACGTCATGCAGTCTCACACCAGAAGGCTCTACACAGCCAACTACAAAGTAAACCATTTGTTTTGAGACTAAACTGATAAATTTGCTTCACCAAAGACCAAAATAGGAGTTACATCTTCTATAAAGTGTAATTACAGATAGTAAAAAGGACACTCATTTGCAAAGCTTGCAAAATCCGGCAACATCAAAAGAAAACCAAGGTTGACTGTTAAGAAAAGAGATTAAATAATAATCGAAATACTTTAAATTGACAACAAAAAGTGTACTTTGTAGATGACAGAATTAATACAGTTATTTCAGATGTAGGAGCCAAGACCGGGTACAGTGTATAGGCTAGCAGACAATGTTGACATCACTCATTTTGTCATATGAACTTCAGAGTCAGAGTACAAATGATAGGTCAATTTGGATATGACGTCATTGCTTGCATAGTTTATGATGCAGATCGAAGAGATAGATGCAATGAGAGAATCTAAAGTGGTCATATTTTTGGAATGATCCTGGCAAAATATCTCGTGATATATATTTTTATATATACTGTTTCACGATTGAAACATAGTAAAAGCAAACTTTTTTGTCATAGGCTTAAATGTAGTCTGTAATGAACTTTTATTGGATTGTTCCATTTTAAGTTATAACATGACTATTGTACTCACAAAATGAGTGACGTCACATATGGACATCACAGTTTGCCTCGACATAAATGACGGGTATACTCTCCGTACATGCTGAGGCACATACATATTCATTACCAAAATTTGTTCTTTCATTTTCATTTGAGAATGTGTCGATATCATCTAAGACAAACTGAGCCATGTCTATGGCTTCTGATTTTTCTACCGTGTTACTCTTCCAAGTGTAGATCATGTCCTGATTAGTGTATCCATCTGAAAACACGGGGAATTCAATACAGCTCACTTTATATCGATGATATCATCGTCTTTATTTCAGACAAAGAGGAAAACGCTCAAGGTTAGAGATCACATTCATTGTAATGTAACCTAGTGTCGTCATTAGTCTAGAAATGACACAAAACATAAAAAACTACGAGATAAGAATCTCGATAAAGGCTTGATTTGATCTGGTATGCCAATCAAAATAACATACATTACATTTCTTTCATACTTACAACTCCCAAATTTAAGCTTGCATATTTGTGTATCAACTGGGTATTTTTGAAGATGCATCGGGCAGGTTGCCTTGATTGTCAGCCTATAACAAATTAAAGTCAGGTTACTTTTAGTCTTACCAATAAAATTTACAGATCATACATAATATACCCCAAAATAGACCAGTAAATCCACACTAGTGGGGATCAAACCCACCACCCATTGCTATCCGGGCAATTATCCTATCACTACTACAAATATTTAGTGATCACCCCAATAGTCTTGTCTCAAGATTGTGACCCCCCTCCTGTCGTGTACTTCACTCTCAGGACACAACAAGAAGGTAAAGTACACACGGGGAGGCATTCAGTCTTGAGGCAAGACCACCACCTCAGCAAAACAATTTATGTGAACGATATCATCAGTGTGACTGCAATCAAAAGTACTCTTGCTAAATCTAAAACGTTATTAGTTAACACAGTTTATTGGTCCTACTTCAAAAATGCCTCTAAATGAATTGGAATTTTGTAGAGGAAACAATTGTCTGCTATTTACCTTTTGGTAGTGCCATATTTGTTATTGAATTTCTATATCATAGTTTTTGTGAACACAATTATCATCATGATGGGTTTCAAATGGCATCGACCATTAAACTTAATAAAAGGCACAGTGGTTATAGTAATGCATATTTGGAAATTGTTATTTAATAGATTCAATCGAAGTTTGATTAAAAGGAGTTATTCAGTATCTTAAAGTCATGGCTAGTCCGGGGGTTATATAGATTATATGTATATGAGTAAATACTAGTCTAAGCTTAGATTATAGATCTAAACTTGATTTCTTTTTAAGTTCTGGGTCTGAAGTGAATTATACTCAAGAATGGGAAGTTGAATATCAAATTACACCAAAAATAGAAACCAATGAAGCAAAGAATCAATTTGAAATATTATTACTATTCTGGAGGAGAAGCCATTCTGATTGTAAATTAGAATCACGCAAAGTAAAATATTCCTCTGAGAGTTACGATTATAAATACACAGAATTGCCATTTTGTAATCAAAACACTTTAAGAGTTAAGAGATCTGCTGAGATTGATTTCAGCCAGAACTGATTCTCAGATTGAACTTGTTATTGTAGTATTTGCTTGGCTGAATTAGCATGTATGATCACAATGTTAAGTTGATAATATGTAAGATTAAATATGTGCTCCTGAATATCATATCGATGCCCGTGGGGTTTGATTTGGTATTGGGCTGATTAAACATTAAAGTAGAGAGATATCCTCCAAATAAGACACTTGAATGGAGAAAATATGTTAGTTTGGTTTTATATCCGTATTTCATTGACATGACCATATTCTTTGTTCACTTTACAGAAAACGATCAATGTACAGGGTGGGCCGATAAAAATTGGAACATTTTTCGATTAATATTTTTGGCCCACCCTGTATATAACCGAAGGGTGCAGATTATGGGCAACCCTAACAGGAGATGTAGAATCGGTATCATACGGATGGGAGATAGGTGTTTAATTGGTTCAAGAATTTTGCTTTTATCACATAAAATAAATATGTTTGTGTTTTAAAAAAATAAATATACCATTTACTAAAAGCATTGCGTCAAACGATGGAGCAATTCAGTTTGATTAATGGTTTTGCTACAAAGCATTTGGACAGAAAGGCTTCGTAATGAAGAATTGTTACAGGCACAAATTCCTTTATCGCGAAACCTTTTTTATTAAAATGCTACGTGACAAGCGATTTACCACTGTAGTGTTATAGGTAACAATGGTCACAATACCATAATCCCCAACCAAGTATGCATTCTGTATTCTGATGTATTCACACTTGTGTGGATATTAAACCAAGGATATCAATTTCAAATGAATTAACATTTACCTTTTTGACATGTAAATCACTCCAGCAGGAGATATTCTGAAGAATGCATTTTCATATGTTATCATATGTAGGTAAGAGTCCTTCCCATTATGAAAAAATGTATCTGGCTTCCATAAATCTTTCAGCACCCCACAACTAGGCCGTATCTCTGTAATATTTGCTCCATTTAAAGTGAATACTTCAAATGCCAGCCTGGAGTCGTTCCATTCTTGACGGAAATATACGTCCATCTCATACATCTACAATACAGAGAAGTCACAATGGGTAAATATGGAACTGTTTTATCTATAATACAAAGAAGTTACAATGGGCCAATATGGAACACGTAATGTAATTGTATTATCTAAAATACAAAGACTAGGCAAATATGGAACTTGTAATGCTACTGTTTCATCTAAAATACAAAAACTTTACAATGGGTAAAATGGGAAGAGGTGTTTTGATTAAATGCTGACTCTAGATTTGATACTGTTATGGACGTCAAAACTCGTTTTTGTCTGGCCCACATCATTTGGAATCTTGTATGAATACTACATAATATCTATGACTATTTGCGATGCAGATAAACTCAGCATAAAATACGAAACATTCAGTGTTACCTAATGTAAACTAGTCAAAATGCAGCCCCGGGGTCTATAATAACACCTACGGGTCAACAAGATAAGTTGGGGCTATATGGTTCTTAAGTAAGATGATTCGATTAAGCAAGTGAGCATCAACCTAATTTACTTCAATTTCTTTGAAAAGATGAGAGACACTTGCTCCTAGGAGATTGATCGCTTTTGTCATGAGGAGGAATTGAGACACTAGAATAAATTAAATAAAGCTTAAATCTCAATATAGCACGTCAAGAGGAAAAACAATCGTTGTGCAATATAGCAATCGTTGAACAACGTTGAACAATCGTTGTGCAATGTATTTTTGGAACCTCGAATTATTGTTATATCTCGTAATCAGTTCAATTCAATTCTACTTTCTGCATGATTTTATAGTATAAGCTTTACCCTTAATTAAGATTTATAAATGCATATTTGGAAATTTGATTCCTGTCATATTGTGTTAAATTATGTACTACAAACACAATGCTTTAAGTTACGTTATCAATGACATCAGACTCTATGAATAATAAATTAATTATAAGTCAGCCATTATGTCGTAATCACAAATCAAAACAATACACATCGCGTCTTCTTTCTAAAACGGTCAATCTCGGATTCGAATTGCCACGATAGACCATAATATATGCACTCTATAAAATGATACACATAATATGATTTGTGGAATTTTAATAATAATTGCAACTAGGTTTATTAAGACATTTCATGATGAATTAAGTTATGGTCAGTTTTAATGACAAACATTTCTGACAGGACATAATTGGTAACTCAGAATTATTACTCCCTCGTGGAAGAACAGTGTAACTTTATATGCTTGCGTATATGCTTTATGGTCGTATACTTTACACATTTCTTGATTGAATTTAATGATATGCTATTGTGCATGTGAAGTATGCACAGTGGCCCAATTCTACATCCCTATCGTATGGTACTTTGGTAGACTTTCCAAATTCTGTTAATAGCAATATATAAGTGCAAGTCCGTTAATAGCAATATATAAGTGCAAGTCCGTTAATAGCAATATATAAGTGCAAGTGCCATAACTGCATCAAAGAATATTTTTAAAAATAATAAGAAAAACTGACATCAAAGAGCACAACCAGTCATAAAGGAAACAAATCCCCCACATATACTGTACGTACGATTTAACACACAAGGATATATATATATTTTGGATGAAAAATATCAACATGCCTTAATAATATAAATTGGAAACTTAAGAATTAATGATTTGTGATAGCAGATTGCCTATTAATAGTTGTATATACGAAACCTGAATAACAGAGAAGGCAACGATACTAATGATATATGGCAGGCATAAGTTATTTCTTGTAATAAATTTTGACAGGATGGAATAAAAAACAAATCATTCCTCACCATATCCTCTTCTGATATTGGTCCCATACTCTTTATGTATATATTTGATTTTACCTCTACTGGACGACCTGGAAATAAATACAGAAAGAGCTATAGTTATATTCATAGTTATAAGAATGTCAAAAAATTATATCATGAGAATTGATCAGAGTTAAAAGCACTACTTAAATACGACCCTATTGAGATTCAAGTATTCTATAAAATTAGATACATCTTCGAAATTGGGGTAATTCTTTTGACGTGTTCGTTATTAACTTTTTCTTTTCACTTCATCGGACCATCAATTTCAGATGTTGTCATTTTCCATTTACTTTATCAAGTTTATCAATCATGTTTGAAAAAGTCAATAACGTTGCACTTTTATAATAATACTAAGTTGACGTCATATAATTGTTATTTCAACCGTAGAACGCGTGACGCTAGCCCAGTCGTTGAATTCCTGTTTAAACCATTGTTCAACTGGCCTTGTCAGTTCTACTGAACCGCTGATTGCGAGTTCTCCCTGAATAGATTTAATCTATCAAAGACAGTTTTATATTGACACATTCTGCTTGGCTGATGGCCTTATTAACTATTCTAGGCTAATGAATCGAAAGTTATAAAACACATGCACTTAACATTTGGCGTTACTATTACTTATAATTGAAGTGGGATTCTGGTGCCTGTATGCTGTCCATATCCATATTGTAAAGTTCGTTCAACATTTTTGAAGTGACCAAATATAACATTGTAAAATAGATGGCAGATCAAACTAGATTATACTCGAAATTATCATTATGCCGTTTCAATACCAACTGGATTAGTATTATCTTTAAGAACAATATCAATACAATTGCACATCGTTTTCCCACTCAGAAACAGCACTTAAGGGTGAAATAAAGTTTCTGAAAGACTCGTGGATAATACAAGGAATGATATTGTCCACCTATCACACGTTTGTACAAATATCATCAGAGGGACGATAATTTCACACGTTTCACGTAGAAATTCTTCAAATTTGTGTTAAGTTAACCTCAATGAATCCCAAGGATTTTTACATATATATTAGATTACCTATTGGGGATGGTTTATAGGTTACAGTATGATATTTGATTGATTTGTTTAATTTCTGGGTGATTGGTTGGAGTTGTTTTACGAGTCTTTTCCAACTGTTGCACCTATGCTTTCTGCCATAAACGACGGATATTCTGTAATTTTTTCCTGAGTTTGATGGAATGATTATTTATATTCGCTCATGCTGACTCTACTAATAAACCGAAAATTGACCTGAAGTAAATCCGAATTGCGCTTGCAAATGTTGCTGACCTGACAGCTATTGACAGTTGATATAACAAACTGACTCCTGAACTTCCAACTCCATTTCACTGAGGATTTAAGATCTAGCAAATACTAATAAATATAAAAGACATTTCCCAGATCTCCATTTTCACTCACACAATGAGTGATTCAATAATAATGTACACTCTCCTCCATACGTTTGGCAGTCTTTTTCATAGAGGGGCTTTAACACGTAAGCCTATGGGGCAAAAGGTTGCCAAATTTATGAACGGGAGTGTATCTTAACTGTGTTTCAACATTCCTTCACTTGTTCTTGAAATGGCCAGCGAATTTGCATATGGTTCATGGTTGCCATAACTACGTAAACATGTCATACTCCGATGAGGATGCAATTATGGTAAATGGGATCAGATGTTGGATCGCTCGTTAAATGTCACAAATATACTTGTCTAGGTTCCTTGAATCAAAGATGATCAGATGGCCTGGTCTGAACTTTGAAGATAATTGGTAAAGTTAATGAGCAATTAGGTGAAATATTCGTATATTATACCGGGAAATTTCTAAAGACTGATGGGATTTGATCCTACGTCTTGAACTTACTAAATAGCATTTTAAGTTTCTTTGTATGTGTGGATTTGAATTAGATCATCAATCGAGTCGTCAGGTCGTATTTGGACTCCTTTTTATTTCCCTTAATTAGCCTATTTCGCTCCTTAGACTATTTATTAATGTGGAGAATTTATGGGACTTTCATATGTTTTCCAGTACGATAGATTGCTAGCTTTGGTCTTGATGTATTGGACAGGCTGACCTATCAACTGTGTCCATTTCTGATTAGTATCCTGTCATGTTTAGACACTTTGATATTGTAATTGGACTGGTGGTAATCGCACGTTCTTATTTTTCGGCAAACTCAATTGGAGAAAATGATACCGTGATAAGAGGGGGTTTAGAACTGACAACAGAAGCACTAACAGTAAGAATATGGAATTGGATATAGCCATAGCAAAAAATCGGCCATGGACTGAATGTTCTGAAAGAAATGTCTGAAAGATTCTAAAATGCTATGACATTTGAGATAGTGTGACCAACAAAATGCTATAGAACATAGAAGATGCATAAAAACGTCCATAACAACTCATCACGTCAGAAGTACACGAGATTTAGAACAAGTGAACAAAAGTCAATAATACAAATGAATAAATGTCCAACTCCAAAATAGTTACACTATATTTAAATCTGGAAATATCGAAAAATATGTTATTATTCTATTGTGTGAAGGGATAGCTTCAAATTGAGGATTTTCTATGCATTTAGATATAAACAGAGACAGCTGGTTAATCAGCATTAAAACTAGATTTTTGAAAGCATTTGCTTTCAAATGCAGGCTCTGACAGATAATTGAATTATTTCTAACACTTAAAAGGGAATGTTCTATGGAGCAGAAATCTGACGATCGCTTCTATCCTTTCATTGCAGATATCTCCGATTGTATATTCATTGAACAGACAGAGATATATTTCTCGATGGCAAGTGTCTTCCTTTGCCATTGTCAACCAACGGAATTCATTCGCTACATTACTTTGTAAATGTACTGATGTATTTACTGAAGTAAATGTGGATAAATCACTGACTCTCCCGTCCAAAATACTACCCCGTCATAATTTTGTGATCACCATGGCCATCGATATTCGCTTTTCTCATCTTAGATATAGAGTTTCGAATCTATAAATATATAAGCGCAAATGCCAAAGGGAAGGGTGACTTCAAACTTTAAAGAAACCCAACAAGAAAAAGCAAACTGTAAGTGTACATCTGTCATAAGAAAAGTAGACCCTATATATCCCAAAACCATGATCTAACGTGAAAAGAAACAATGTCTAACATCCCCCTCCCCCCCTCCAATCGAGAACCAATATTACAATCCAGGACCAGAACACCAAGGAACATTTCATTCATACTGAATTCATTACAATACATGTTGAAGAAAAATTGAAAAAATTGATGGCCAATATTCATAACATCAAAAACAGTTGTAGATACTAGTACTCATAAAAGAGTATTCAGTCTCAAATGATGTGGGATAGATAAAATCCAGTCTCGAAGTCCATAGGCAATTCGAAGGGTCAAGATCCGTTCGCAAAGCCGTCATCATAATCCATAAAACACAACAATTCACAATGGTCATCAGGAGAAAACTATGGCTGGTTTCGATCCCTATTTCTCAACCATTAATGCCATAGCCGGTATCCACCTCAAAAGTTCATTGCCAATTTATTTTACCATTCCTACATCCTTCAGCATCTCAAGTGGTAAAACTTGAAATTTCGAAATTAATGACTTGTACTTTTCAGCAAAGCCCAGAAAGGATTTCTTAATTTTTTTACAAGCATAACCTTGACCTAACGGCTTGATCACTAAAATATGGTGTCTTGATTTGAAATCTAGATATTTTGAACACGCCCTGCTATATCTAATAAGCTGGGATACTTAAACCCCATATGCTGGGTTTAGTGGAATATTGCTATCCAAATGTGGAAAATTAACAATGTCAAAATTAAAGTAATCTCTTTTGTCATACAATTTACAATACAATATATACTGTTGTCTCATTCAATGTTAATAAGAAGATCAAGATAAGGTGCACTCATATCAGATTCATTAGTCTTTTTCAATTCTAGCTCAGTAGGATATATCTCACCTACAAAGCACTTTATGATATTTAATTTTATTGCATTGTTTGTGTTGATTGTACATGATACATCACACTACTCTTACCATCCTCTCAACAGTTGCTTCAAGACTGTGGACCCCCAAAATCACTATCTGATACTATGATAACTTCAACTCATATAACTGAAGGATACCAGAGAATTTTCATTTTTGAAATCGATAACTTGAATATGTTTTGAATCTATTTACTTTGAGAATTGTGTATTGACCTGAATGACATCATCAAAAGGGTTTAGGAATTCCTTCACTGTTTTTCTGTGAGAGGTCAGAGCCTCATTATGAATATAGATCACATGACTTATGATTGGGGAATCGAAATAAAAACCGGGGAAAAAGCATAATATTTTCTGTTGTTATTGTAGGTTAATATTAAGTAATTTAAACTAACAATTTTCAGTTTCCAAATAGCTTCAATCGAGGAGTATATTTAGGTATTGCCCCAGCGATGTTTTCCTTGACATTTTCTCAAAATAACCAAGACAACCAATCATATAAGCTAGTCACGTATGATCAGCTCACATGCTTCAATGGATACTCAACTCTTCCGTTTACTGTATTACTTCTATTGAATGTTCTCTTTGAGACATCTCCGTTGTAAGTTTGAAAACACTGGTTTTGCGTCAGAAATGTTTGCTGCATCATTGGTGTTCTTGACTGACCATCATCATCTTACAATTTCGCATTGTTTAGACAGGAACGGTGATTAAACTATTGAGGATGACAGAAAAAACAACTGATAATGATGGATAGAGTTAAATATTTCACATTATTTTATAGGCACTTTGTAGCCATTTAATGTTTCCTTGTAGTAATCAATGTGTTATTTATTACCTCGTTGAGGTAATCAGAGTTACTAGGGATGGTACGAGTCTAATTGTATGCCGTTTCATTCACTGCATTGCGTTAACTGATAATACTATCCTTATTCCCAAGAACTATACTTGCTTTGGAGCTATGTTTTGCAACATCTTTAATCTGTAGAATATTTATATTTTCTATGGCATATGCCCCATTAATTTTCAAAATGATGAAAATGGAATTTATTTAAACTTATTTT